AATACGTTGACAATTGGATATAAGCTTATGCTATATGATTTTGTATGGAAATGATTGCTTGTAAAAATAATCTAAGTCCGTTTATCTTAACCGTTTCGACTGATTATATGAGAGATGAAAATTGAATTCACTCTCACGGACAGGCGGAATAATAAATGTAGTTTTAAAACTACTCTCTTGGTTGTGACGTTTTATTACATATCATAAGGATTTGCTCAACTTAAATAACTCAGATTAAGAGTTAGAGGTCGCGAGCCTATAGTAATAGTAAAAGACTAACTCGGTCATTACACTAGTATGCGCGTATATTTCAATTTTGACTATTTTTTACAAGGTTAACGAGGTTAAATGTCTTTAAACTGTAATCGGATAGGGACAGATATATGCTTAGTTTTTATATCTATATTTTAGACCAGGTGCTGTGACGAGGTAATGGATAATTTTAAATTCTGCATCCATAACTAAAGCTCCTGTAAGGTTCTAAAAAAATAACAACAATTCGTTTTTAGAGAGACCTACCAATCATGAAACTACATAAATTTACCGGCATATTCATGTGCAAGTGCATAATACCTGCAATAGCTGAAATACAGTAGCAAATTTTTCATCTTGACAATTTTAATAGAGTGACGAGATCGCGAAAGATCAAGTTATTTTAGGCAAAATTTGATCTTTCAAAATTTTTTTACAACATTGATATCAACTGTCATCCTTTTACGGAGAGTGATTTCTGAATCTTTGGACGAAACAGAGTGAGAGTTTCCAAATTATTTTAATTCGTAAAGAATATCGATATTAAAAATAAGATTATATCAATTTGACTATCAAGCCAATTCTACTAGAACAAATAATTGTCTAGCATTATATTATATGCCAATAAGGTTTCTTGATCTTGTTCTTCAAACTAATTTTAATCTCTTCGTGGTTTTTGATCGTAGTCGACGAAACAGAGATATTATACTTAGGCTTAACTACCCAGGGGAGCTCATGTGGTACTTTTCTAATTGTTCTAGTTCTAATTTCATTACTGATTGTTTCAATATGATATTTACCGTTACGCTAATATTAATTTCATTGATACCTTAGTCAGCATTCAGAGAATTCCTGGCCCCTTCACTTCTGCATTGTATCTAAAAGGAATTGTAATCAACAATTTATATTCTATACAAATTTCTTTTTCCTAGAAATCAACATATGGCATCTTTTTTAATGAAGGTTTCATGATTGAAGATATTTTTCACCCTTTATCATAGTAAATTTAATACTGTACTAAAAACTCAGAAAATATTGTGGAAAAGATTTCGTTTGATAAACTGTGGATAGGCATAAGTTACGTTGATAAATTTTTGTATAAACTGCTTACAGTAAATTAAAAATTAAATATGGAACTATAAATTGTAATGTTGTAGTCAAGAATTGGTTTGGTATTACAGCAAAGAATTCTTTGCAATATTTAACATCGCTATTAATCCAGTTTATCTAAAGAAACACTTGTAATATAAATCCAAGATGGATCAAGGTTATGGCCATGTTATTTCCGTAAATACCCCAGACTATGAAGGTTAGTGATTCTATATCTTTTAAATTATGTATTATTCAAATCCAAAACTCTTAAGAATTTGCTTTGGATGTAACTCGTTTAGTTTCTATTTGAGGCTTATAAACTGAAATTGTGATCACAGTTATCATGGTAGTCGTTTTAATAGTAAATTTTTGCTTCTTTTAATCTTCAACTTGTAAATCAAATAGCCTTCTATATTTGAAAAACAACTGGAATCATTGCTAATAGCTTCTTTTCCTTAAAATGATTTCTGTAACCTTTGATGGAATACTTGTAGATTGGAAAGATTTTAATCAAAACAGAAAATGTATTAACGAGCAAATTAAAAAGAATCATTTAACAGGAAAGCTCGTTAAGGATTTCGATCAACAACAAACTGATGTAAGCGGTATTTTATTTCGTTACTACTGCTATAGAAGTGACTTGCCAAATACAAAAATTCTTTTAAAAGTTTCATGTAATTAAACTCATTTTTATGTTATAGATGCAAATTCCTACATAAAAAAATTTGTTTAAATATTCCTTATGATAATGTAAATGAAATTATTTAGTAAATTTATGAAAAAGATATACCTTCCTTGCGGTGATTATGCAGTGCATAATTTTTATTTAAATAGATTGGTAACTGCCAAGTTTCTAAAAATTAAACTACTAAGCTTTAATAATTTTACGATCATAATACGTTAACATTCAAGTAACTTCGTAAGAAATAGATGAACCGTCTGTCATTATATTTATATATAGTTTGGTCTTGGAAGTGCTGTACTTCCCAAACTAGACTAGTTTAACTAAATCAAAAAATATTACAGAGATATTATAGTACGGTAGTTATACATCCTAAGGATAACCCTTTCGAGTAAAATGCTTTTTCATTTCAGACTGTATGCTTGCTAACTAAGCGGATGAATTCCTATTATGTCTATCGTTATAATACAAGCAACTCTCTTCACTTATTCCCTCCAAACAATCCAATTCGATTGATTACGATGCGAATCACTTCGAATCAGTATCCTGCTCTACTTACATAACTCATTACTTTATATAATTAGAATCATAGTAACATCATTTCTTTTAATCTTTTCATGGCTAAAGTTCTTGTAGATTTAGATAGATTTTAAATGCCTTGAATAAAGCATGGCATGACATGATACAATTTACAATGAGGCATACTTTTGGCATTGTCTATAGTTCGAAGTATTTTAGACTTACTATATATTCATAAGGCATGATTGTTTTTCGGTTATTAAGATAATTTTAGTATTAATATGATACTAGATAAGTTAAGCGTTTCATTTATCATGTTCTTTATCTCACTAGCATAGAAATATTCATTTTAAGCCAGTTATAATTGCTTTGATTCTATAATCCGTTATATTTCTTGACTTCCTTGTAGATTTTTTGATCTTTTTATATTTATAGCTATTTTCATTAATTGTGTTTTGATGGCCTTTCCTAATGGCATCGATCCTTCGATAGAGTAAGTTAAAACTATTGCTTCGGATTTTTTGGCCGTTTTACGGTTTTATACAATACCTTATTGTTTTTCGAATTGTTGTAAGCCAAAATACATGCTATCGTAAAAGTTAGCAGTGCATGGTAGGAATTCAATCGCAAATTTATACATCTAAATGTTTGCGTATCATATAAGAAAAAATAGGCTTTTGTTACATTTGAATAAATTTATGACATAGTTATAAGCATCTACGAATATACTGTAAGTTATTGCCAAGCGAGATAATGAAATAGTAAGGGCCTTAAATAAATTAATTAGATACAGAAAGAGAGAGTAGTTATTGATGCCTGGATAAACTTCGATAAATTTGTATCTTATAAATGGAATGTTGACAAATTAAAATTATGTATAGATATCATTTGAAAATCGACATATTTAGTGCTCTGAATTATAACTATTATAGATGAGATACTGCTTAATAAGTCTTCAATTCTATGATAAAGGTTTAAATATTGGAAGTTAAATACCAGAAACTAGTCTGCTATTTTGAATGATTAAATGAGTTATACTTGCTTTCTGGAAAGTTTACTTAGTATTATATATTAAAAATATACTAAATTCGCTAATGTTGATACTCTTTAATCGTTATAGAAAATAAGGTCTTACTTTAATCATTTTTAGGATTACTTTCAATACCATTTATACGGTTGAAATGCTATTAAAAATCATGGCAAGAGGTTTTATTTTTCACACCTATGCTTACTTGCGTGATCCATGGAATTGGCTTGATTTTATCGTAGTTATTGTTGGGTAAATTTATCTTATTCTAAGAGTTGAAATTGCCAGATCTCATATCCTATCTTTATCGTATTTCTTAAATGGTTTCTACTACTTGCTATACAGCTATCTTACCATGATTCCGGCATTAAGTGTCTTACCAGGTGCATCGGTTATTCGAGTTTTACGAGCGCTAAGAATGATTACAGCATTAGAAGGTAAAGTTATAGACATTACGTTATAAGATAATAATAGTAAGTAATTAATAGGCTTATTGAAAGTGTTATTAAGCTTAACACTTACTAAAGCTAAAGCTTCATAGTTAAGAGCTGCTTTTAGTTAGTAACTGATTAAAGTCATTTTAAACGAAAAAATGATATATTAATGTTTCTTTCATTTTTCTTTCTCTATCCTAGGCTTAAAAGCAATCGTTAATGCTCTATTTAAGTCGTTTAGAATGCTGGCTGACGTCTTTTGTTTAGCGCTTTTTATATTAATTATTTTTGCACTAATTGGTGTTCAACTATTTATGGGTATTTTAACGCAAAAGTGCTGTAGACCGTTTAATTCGACTGGAGATATTGTAGGACCATTTACAACGACTAAGTTTAAAAATTACGTAAACGTTTCTTGTAAGTATAATACGGTCAGCTTAAGGAATTTATCATCCAAATGCGGTTAATAAATCTCTAACTGATTTTTTACAATTGTACATATTATTATAATAGCCAACTGGTATTTTGAAAATGGCGACCCAGTCATATGTGGAAACGAATCTTCAGCGAGGTAAAGTGTTCTAACATCAATTTTTGTTTCGTTATATATTCCTTTAGATAAAGAAAAGACCATTTTAATTTTTTAAACATTAGATATTGTAGTAAATAGTAATTAGATATCTGTAGAGACATGATCATCATCTTAAAGGACTGTATATGATGATAGTGCCTAATTTATAGCCATTTGTTCAGTTATAATCAATAGTCTACCAATATTTACGACATTAAAGGAAGAGCTAAGTTTATAGATTGCCGATTACTTAGTAAGTTCTTTCGATAGCTTTTAAGTGACACGAAACTAAAAGCTACTATTAAATTATGACTAATAAGAACGATCAGAAATTGATCTACTGTACATATATTTAACATTCGATTTTGTTAGGCAAATGTATTGTACGGTAAGAGCTAAATCTGTTTTTGATTAACTAACGAAATACCGGTGCTGCAGTTTAATTTACTCTAAAACTTTATACTCATACAAATCAGAATTTGAAACTAATATTATATTCGATGATGGACTAGCTGAGAGAGTATAATGATGTTTTAGGCGTATTATAATTCGTCAGTGTCGAAGGATTTTAATTATATTGCTCGTATCTTCTACAATGAAAATAACTATACTTGCAATTAGTACTACAGTATTATCATGCTAATATACTGAAAGTGAAATTGAGGAATATGTGTACATTGCCAATTCAGCTTTCGCTTGATATTTTTCCTTGTAACATTATAGGCATTGCCCAGCTGATTATCTTTGTTACCAATATGCTTATCCCAATCCTAACGATGGTTTCACTAGTTTCGATAATTTTCCAGTTTCTCTATTAGTATCATTTCAACTTATTACTCTTGATAATTGGGAAGATATTTACAACAAGGTATTATAGGTCTACTATTTAGAAATATAATTATAAAATTACTATAAGATTTAGCAGTATCTCATGGATATCAGAATTTTGTAAATCTCATCATTAATGTGAAAACTTTAAGGGTATACAAGTGCTTGCTAGATATGCTAGATATCGGCTGCGATAAATAGGTTTCTTTGTACTGATGGAATAATCTCTGTTCTTGCAAGCTGTAAAGTTAATCTATGATTATTTTTATATAATTTCCCTTTCCGGACAGGTTAATGATGCCATTGACTCTTGGTGCATAATTTATTTTATACCAGTGGTTTTGTTGGGCGCATTCTATGTGATGAATCTAGTTATTGCCATTGTAGCTATGGCCTACAACAAGGAAGATAAAATACTGCAAGATCAGGTAGGCGCAGGTGTACTTTTAAATGCTAACAGTGAATGCTAAACACGGTTCATACAACCTTGTTTCATTTTATTACTTTAGAAATATCTACAATAGAGATAACTTTACATCTAGACATTTTAATGAATATGTACTTTTAAAATTGGAGATCGATTCCATAATTATATAGTGTGTAATTGATCGATAAACAGATCCTTTCACCAATAATAGTAATAGTAGATAAAGTAGCAATATCCCGCGCAACAATTCTACTGAACTAAGTAATCTTTTTAGGATTGATACAGTTTTTGATGTTTTAGAAATGTGATATTAGACATATGAGAGAATCGTACCGCAATTCTACAGTGTTTATTTTCTTTGAAAATGAAATACCGAAATTATGGATTCCAAAAATCGGAAGTAATCCCTATGGCAATGGCCACGTTTTAAAAATACGCAATCAAAAAGGAGTTTTATCATCAAGAAGTGAAGGGGATATTGAAATGAATTTAATGAAAGGAAGAAATGGATATAATGAAGAGAATTTCAAGAAGCTAGGAAAGAATATTGGCAAGCCAGAACAAATACCTAAAGGCAACCATATCGACCAGGGTAGTCTTAAGAAGAAAGAAGGAAAAATCAATATTATATCGCTGAAAATTTCGGCCGCTATAGATGATCCAGCAAAGATGCAACCACATGAAGGCAATTCTAGTTCCACAAAAATTGAAAATACTGCTCTAGATAATCCTATAAATGAAAATAGAAAGACCTCCAGATCTGCAAGATATTCAGCTCTTTCTCGTAGCGACGGAGAAATCGATAGAATAAAGCCAAATGTTGTTTCAGTTAGTCATACATTTACCAGTAAGCTTAGTGCTGCCAATAAAATAGGAAACAATGGTGAAGTAAATGGAAAGTCTCCTTCAACTTTGATGAAGAAACGTGAGAAAGTTATTCGTTTAGTACCTGAGGGTAAGTTTGCAGTCGTACACCATCACCGAGGCGAGGGGTGAATAGTAGTGGATTCAAATTTGACGCATAGGCGTTCGCGCTTAAACTGCTATATATTGACTATTAATTATCAAATAGGATATACCTGGCAATAATACTATTTTAAGCATTAATCAATACAGAATTAAGCTAAAAAATTTAAGTAGATCAGTGATTCTTTCTCAGAACGGGCGATGCAGCTAGTTATAAATGAAATAAAATTATTATAATAAGAATTTAAACATATTAATGTATTCGGTATACTCTACATACTATCACTGTAATCCTTAACACATAACTACAGCAATTAGCTGAAATCTTTACACCGTCAGACTATGTTGACCCTGATTTTATGACTAATTCTTGATATTTAATTCTATCAAACATATTGATAGGAGGCCAGTCGTCGGGAAGTGCAACTGTTACTACTGTTTCTATTGTCCTTAATGCTGAAACCACATCGACTAAATCAACAATATGGCGACAAATTCGAGTTTTAGTGGGTCGCATAGTAGACGATTCTTTATTTGAGTTGTTTATTACCGGCTGTATCATCCTCAATACAATATTGATGTCGATGTATCAGCCATTGGAGGAGTACAATTCCAAAGTACCTGCCCAGAATATTGATAATTACGTAAGTTATTCATCTATACATAGTAGCTTATATTAGCAATGCATTACAATGGTAAAAAGGTACCAGGTATATTATTTGCTCTATGTGGTTAGGAGGTAGTATAGGATGCTCTTTTAAAATGAGGTCTTAAACGCTTCTAAGATAAATTAAAAATCATAAATTATATATATACATATGTTTAGTTTTCTGAATTTATGGGTTTTGAGTTTGTAATAGCATGCCAACTAACGATATAAGTGATTAAATTATTATATGCGGAGCCTATCTTGTAATTAACATCAAAGATAAAGATGTTGCTAAATCAATTATGATATATAAAGATTACCTTTCGCTAATATTAACTTACGATTTGACTTCATTCTAATAGAGATAAGTTAAAAAAACATAATTGTACGAAATTTCGGCTATTCGATTATTTTGGAAACCATAATCAATGTTCTTGTTTATTTTTAAATTAGGTTTTTACCTGCATATTTACGACAGAAATGACTTTAAAATTGATTGCTTTTGGTTTCACTGGCTATATTCAAAGCAAGTGGAATGTCTTTGATGGAATAGTTGTTATCATCAGTTTGGTTGATTTATTATTGGAATTTATATCGATTTCAAGTAATTCTTTATCCGTTCTCAGAACACTGCGTTTGGTAAGATTTACTGTTATAAATATATATTTAGTTTGATGATTAAAATTGGAAAATATTTCATATATACTATATATATATGTATACATCAATTTGTAAACGATATGTTTAAAATGTCCACTTCTTCTTGTAATAGTTTCTCTCTTAATTATTTTTATTTTGCTTTAACCCTCTCTTAAAATTTGGATCAGCTTCGTGTATTCAAATTAGCCCGTTCATGGACGACCATGCGCCGTCTGTTATCCACCATAGTGTCTGGTGCCAAAGCTCTATTGTATATTTTATTAATCCTCATTTTAACTATTTATGTCTTTGCTGTTTTGGGGATGAAAATTTTCCGAGATGCGTATCGAAAACATTTCGAAAATCTACCACGTTGGAATTTTGATGATTTTATTGATTCATTCATGATGATTTTTCGAATATTATGCGGTGAATGGATAGAGCCTCTATATGATGCAATCCAAGCAACAAATATTTCGTCTATACTATTTTTCCTTGCAGCATACGTGGTTGGAAAGCTTTTGGTAAATACTTTTGCTCTATACATTCAATAACTACTCTATCCTTATGAATCAGTTACAGATTACTAAGCAAATATAGTAACGGTAGTTTTTGAGCTATTTACGTCGTGTAATTATAATCATACGTATTTCTGAATTATATTATAGTTACAATCAACGTTTTTAATAATTTAATTCTATTAGTTTTGACTGATATTAGCTAACTAGCTATTGTTTTAAATTTTGTCCCTATTGCTGACTTCCAACATTATAAACAGGGGTATCTTAATATTAACTAAGTGAGGTAATTGATTTTGATGGAATATGCTCAAAATCTCTTATTCTGAAATTTCTTCTCTTTCTAGGTACTTCATTTATTCCTTGCGTTGTTGCTAAGCTCCTTTGAAAATCAATCATTTCAAGAAGCTTATTCTGTTAATTCTGGAAGTCAAAAGAATAATGGCAACTTATATGACGCATTGAGATACCTCATTGTAACTCTGCGGTTGAATAAACTTTGGAACTATACATTTGCAAGAATATTGCCTCAAAAAAAAACTAAGCCGAAATGTCCAAAATTAGAATCAGCAGGTAATGTTAATCTGGCCAGTAGTAATTACAACCCTCAAATACTTCAGCATACGGAGATTCTAAAAGACGAAAATAACCGAAATGGATTGGATGAAATTAATACTTTATCAAGGAGTATTGCCGAAGAAAAGATTTCTACTAGCGCTAATAATGGGAAAGGACAGTCTAGTAGCAAAGACCCTAAACTATTAGTAGAGTATAATGAATCTGCACTAGTATCAGATCAGCCACAACGTAAAAAGAGCGCAAATCATCGGGAAGTACGTAATACCCTTAGCGATGGCGACGCTCATTCTGCTTGCGATTATAATTACAACCAAGAAAAAAAGCAACGGTCATTAAATCAGACGCAGGAGGATGACTCTGATTATCTAGATTTGCAAAGGACCTTGGGACTATTAGTACCGGATCAAATAGATGATGAATCTGATTCTGGCCAGATTATCGATAAAAGGAATTATCTATCGGTTAGGAGAGCAAGCTCTCGGAGAAAGAGTATGACTCAGTCTACTTCTTCGATATTTGATAGTAATTCTCGTGATGTTTCCAGTGACTATATATATTGTGAGACTCCTAACGTATCAAGACAAGACTCTGCTCGATCTGATTCCCAATGCACGGATACTGAGGTAAAGCTTAATCGCAATATAATATCGATAAATAATCTCATTTAATCATGTTAATGCATGGGATGCAAATCATTATAGCTACACTCCAAAATCAATTTCCACCAAATATCTTATAGCTTGCCGTAAATATTATATGCTCAGCGCCTAGTAAATGAAATTACTATGCTGATGTACTTATCAACCTTTAATGTGAAAATATTAACCGTCCTTTCTTTGCTCAGTAATACCAAAAACCAATTTTTTTTAAGTTATTAACTTTGAAACTTTATTGCTTGTAACAAGAAAATTTTTAGTAAAAGAATGCTTTGATAATACGGTAGTAGAAATCATATGCAATGAAGAGGCTTTTTCTTTAAAGCGTGTCAGTGCTACCGTGTTAATTATAGTATGCTTACTTCAGGATCTTCTACAATATCGTAAATGTATATCTGAATAATCTAACATTGCTACTTTTATCCTAATCATAAGGTAAAGCTCTCACAATACGCTTTAAAATACGGACTGTTATTATTATAAACGATACTCTGTTTAGTAATATTGTTAGATATTTTCTAGATTTAAGATGATTCGAAACTATGATGATATCTAAAATTCTAGGCTAATAATTCTGTCGGCATGAAAGCAATGTCCAATATATCATGTAATGGAGGACTTCAATATTCCGAACGAAGTATCTCTCAACCAATTGATTGTTTTCCGAAAGTTTGCATGAAACGGATACCATACTGTATCCAAGGTGAAACTTCCCTTTGCCAAGCGTGGATGACAGTACGAAATCATGTTAAGAATGTTGTTGAACATCGCTTTTTTGAAGGCATCATCTTACTTCTTATTGTTGCTAGCAGTATCTCACTAGTAAGTACTAATATGATTGATTTTGATTGATAATATTATGTAAAAATCACAGCGAAATATATTATGAAGAATTTAACATACCCTATAAACTGTAACGCGTTGAAAAGAAATCGGTTCATAAACTTTCAAAAGAGTTTCTTGCTAAGCCCATTTCTTTTACAGACATTCGAAGACATACACCTGCATAAAAATCCTACCCTGATACAGGTTTTATATGTTAGCAATATTTTCTTTGCTGCGGCTTTCTCCATAGAAATGATATTAAAGTTAATTGGAATTGGCGTACATGGTTACATTTGCAGTCCATGGAATATTTTAGACGCTGCTATAGTAGTTGTAAGTTATGCTCGCTTATTTTTTCATTATATTTGTTCTACATGAGTTCAAATATTTAGTATTCACTTTATATTTATATTTTAACTATTTCAGTATTGCTATTCTCATCATAATTAGTAAAAATAATATCATTGATACAATATATGCTACATTTTTAACTTCTTCCGCGAAAATTTATTTATTGATCAATGATGTTTAATTTCAAATAGTTATACGAGAATGTACATTATTGTCCTGGATGATTAGCTCATATTTATTTTCTTGTTTATTTTTTAATTTATATCAGGTATCAATTATAACTCTGGTATTGGAGAACGTCTCAGCATTTCGATCTTTACGCGTCCTTCGAGCTTTACGCCCTTTGAGAGCTATTTCACACTGGGAAGGAATGCGCGTAAGTCAGACATTTGATTGAAATTAACGTCACAGAATAAGTAAATGTTTGCTAATATTTACTACTCAATTAAATGTAGTACGCTTATCTGAAAAAAATGAATACAACATATGCCGTTTTTCTATTCAATATAAGCATGCAGTAATCGATCAAGCGTACAATTACCGTTATTACTGCTATACTTGTTTTAAAGTTATCTGTTTTGTGGTAAAGAAAATTAACTTCCTTAATAAATTTTAAATTATAATTTAATATTAATTACATGAGATCCTCAATGCTATACGTAGTAACATTGCAGATAATATTTCAAAACAAAAATCTTAATTTATTAGGCTGTCGTTAATGCACTCTTTGGTTGCATACCTCATATAACCAATGTTATTATTGTTTGCGCTTTCTTTTGGTTGGTATTTTGCGTCGGTGGAGTTAATTTCTTTGGTGGTAAATTCTACAAGTGTTTAGATTTGGATAATAATTTAATACCTGCCTCAATTATCAGCAATAAAACCGATTGTTTAGCGAATAATTATATATGGAAAAATTCTCAGATTAATTTTGATAGCGTACCACAAGCCTTCCTAGCGCTATTTGAAGTGGTAAGCGAGCTTTATTAGTGCTATGTAGTTTATTCATTGAAAAAGTATTATCATCACATATTACTAACATAGTCATCGAGGCAATAAAATTCATAATATTAAATATTATTTACTTAAAGATAGGCTTTATGTATGGGTACTGCTATTTTATATGTAATCCTTGATGATTTCAATATGTAACTTTAATATGCATATACGTTTCTGCCCGAATACATTCTGGTATACATTTTTTCTAATCTAAGGAAAGATACGTTGACATTTCTATTTTAAACTATAAAATGCAGAATCTAGCAAACCTGGTACCACATTTTACAAAGATATTTTATTTTTTATTTCTGTTGAATGCCGCAATATTGATATGGCTATAATTTCTGAAAGATTTATAATACATGTCCATTTATTATCTAACTATTTCTTGGATTGCCCTATTCTGATTCATATAATAGTTTAAAAGTAGAATGTTTGTTTCAGAATTGAAATTTATTCATTGATTGTGCATATTATCGTATACTTCATGATGCTGTTACATAATTAAGACATTTGATCCTGTTAGTTTTAATTTAAAGATACTCGCATGTCACAGACTACTTCCTCAGGAGTTTAATAATCTAACGTAAAGTACTTACTTTGAGTTGTTTCTACAGATTACTACTCTAATCTATCGAAGATCTAGTAAGAATATAGTATTGCTACGATAACGCTTAAGAACTACCCTTCTAAAAAGTTCACAATCAGTAGACACGCTATACTATAATCTACAAAACAGCTTTATACTATAACACTGAAACACTGTGAACAATAATGCTTTCTTAAACTCTATAATTTAGGCAACATGGTGCCGTAACATCTAATGACTTATTTTAAAGAGGAATTTCTAATTTAAATTAGTTGTATGAGAACTAAGTAATGAAATCAAATTGTTTTAGGCTACTTTTGAAGGATGGATTCAAGTTATGGGTGATGCAGTCGATGCTAGAGAGGTGAGTTAAAAGATTCACTCGTATTTTGAGTTAAGGGACTCTACGAGAAATTGTTCTCTAATTCTTGATTAACTTTAATCGGTGATTGATAGCAGGCTACAATCTATCATAATATTTATCATTGGTGTATATTGGATCTATTTTTATTATAAACTAGATCGATCAGCAGCCAATTCCTCTAAATAATAAAAGCGCCTACATCTATTTCGTGGCCTTTATTATCATTGGATCTTTTTTCTCATTAAACCTAATTGTCAGTGTTATCATTGATTGCTTTTATGCTCTCAAGCAAAAGGTAAATGGAAAAAGTTACGAAATTAATGTTTTCTTCAAGTCTAATCTCTTTTATGATACTAATTATTGTTTTTGCATAGTGTGATCAGTGGAGAAATAAGATAGTATAATATTGTCACGAGATATCTAATGTAAATTTCAAGCATAATAATTTCATTTAATACTTTATAGAGTGAAAGCGGTTCTCTTGGTATTCCTACTGATTTATTTATGACGGAATCGCAAAAGCGATGGTATAATGTAATGAAAACTATGTCTAAATCTAAACCAGTGAGGCGGATACCACTTCCTAAGGTAATTATCAATGTAGTTAATTCACTTTCTACTTTTAATTGTAGTTGATAGCAACGTTTAGTTTACAGCATTCGTCGTAATCCCATTAAAAGTTATTTCGCTGAAGTTGAATTACTTGCAATATGGTTATCTTACAATCATGATTTAGAGCACTTTTTATAGCAATTCTGAGGCTATTTTGTCTTAAATCTTGCTTTTTCTTCATCAAAAATTTTAGCGCGATAGTCAAAAAAGATTACTAGCAATTGTTCAAAGCAATAAATTTGAACTGGCAATTATCCTTGTCATCGTTGCTAATACTGCAGCTATGATGGTAGTCCATTTCGATCAATCTCAAGAAGTTACGAGAGTACTTGATATCCTTTTTTTACATCAAAATCTTATAATGAAATCTTAGTATAAGTCTTTGGATTTATATTAAGTTGCTATGACTACTTCATGAGGACAGATTGACTATGACCCAATATATAATGGATGCTTGGTATGAACGATCCTATTTTACTTTAGCTGTTAATATGGCTTAATAACTATAGTAAATGTATCTTACAAGCAGTGAGAATAATGATAGAAATACTGCCATTAAATCTTCTCTTACTCTATCCTATTTAAGTAATTTCATTTTTAAGCCTGCAAAATTTAGAAAGAATTATTGTAAAATATATTTTTTAATATATCATTACCGATTCTGGATAAAAATTGCTCTACTCAGTGTTTTTAATATTAAAATAGTATTAGGAACAACATCAAATAATTTATTATTTTGCCGATTACAAAATTGTTTAGATATAGATGTGAGATATGGCAAGATTAAATGCAGTCTTTACGACACATTCCTACTACAGCATATAAGTCCAATTCTTAAGAGGTCACTGTAGATTTTAAGTACATCATCAAGAAATTAATAGGCATTGCTGCACAGCAATACATGTACTTGACATGATCAACGTTTAAGCTGTGATTTCATTTTTCTAAAATTTGATCGCTACTATTTCCATGTTCTATTCTAGAACATTCCTTAACTCTACACGCTATTTTTTGCATTGGAACCAGCACATACTTTAAATTATATTTTTACAGCCATTTACGTCTTGGAAGCAATTCTGAAAATCATTGCTATGAGACAGCACTATTTCAAAAATTTGTGGAATCTCTTTGATTTCATTATTGTATTGGTAGCTATTATAGGTAAGTTGTTTTTGTATTTAGAAAGATGTATACGATAAACTATAATGCAGTGAATTAGAACACTTTTAGGATTGCTAGACTTACTGTATGCAATCGTGAGTAGAAATGTCATCATATCTGATTTCCATGATGATTATTAATTATTTTTCGCCACATATCGGTATTTATACCATTGTAAACTTGTAATAATTGAATTTAAATGTAAAGAGAAATCTTAAAATTACTGAATCATACTTTCGTATTACAAGTATAATATATCAGTGTTAGAAATGCTTCCAGTCTGATGATCGCATAATGACAACGACGTAGGCCCTTATGGCAAATCGTAGCAAATCTATTACTAAAATACGAAAGATTGAAAAGATATAATTAGAAAGATATATCATCCACGAAGGTCTTTATATGCTAAAAATTGTATAGTTTAGTCAAAATTAACATTTAAGAATGAGAATTCCTTAAAATTAGCTCGTTGTAATTAGAATAAGTCTTGTAGTATGATATAATTGTACCACGTCTAAATGGCTAAAAATTCAGAGTTTTATGCATGTATACTGTAAAATCTTAAAATCTTTTGTGGCCCTACAGAGAGTTTCTATTTCAAGATTTAAAAACAATATAAATATATTAATATGATGTTTCAGGTATTATACTTGACGTTATGGACAGCAGCAACGCCAGTATCCCTATCAATCCATCGATGTTGAGGACGTTACGTTTATTTCGAATTGTGCGTATTCTTCGAGTATTGGAATTTGCCAAAGGCATTCGTAAGCTTTTAACGGCATTCGCTATGTCTATGCCCGCACTTTTTAATGTTGCTTTACTGGTCTTCTTGGTTATGTTTATTTATGCAATTGTGGGTATGTCATCATTTGCTTATGTCAAGCACCAGACAGCTATAACTAAAAATATGAACTTTGAGACATTTCCTAACGGTCTTTTGCTCTTATTTCGGTTGAGCACGTCTGCCGGTTGGAATGATGTACTGCATGATTTAATGGTCCAACCGCCTGATTGTAATAACTCAGCGACAGCATTTTCATGGAATGGTGATTGTGGAAATCCCCCAGTGGCCATCACCTTCTTAATTACCTACATCTTTATTACGACATTTGTCTTAATTAATATGTATGTGGCCATTATATTAAATAATTATCAAGAGGTCGAAGAAGAAGAAGAAGGATCCGTCATCACAGCCGAAGATATCAATGTATTTTATGAGACTTGGGCCAAATATGATCCTGAAGCTAGTCAATTTATCAGCTTTCGCTATTTATCACCCTTAGTCGCCGAATTAAAGCCGCCACTTCGGATTCCGCAGCCCAATAAGTATCCACTGATTGCATTGGATCTAGCATTATACGATAGTCGGCTTGTCCATTGTTTAGACGTTTTAGAAGCATTAGTTGAAAGAGTTATTGGTCAACCCAATGCTGATGAAGCTGGCGATGTTGTAGAAGAGATTAAAAGGCAAATTCAGAAAAAGTTTAGTGAAACTTTCCCTTCCTCAGGAATTCCTAAGCAATATGATAAAAGCAAGAGGTTAAAGCAGTTGGCAGTACAAGAAATTAAAGCTGCTGTTATAATTCAAAGAGCGTATCGACATTATCGATTGCGTAAAGCGTGCAAGGAACATTGTCAGCGAATGCGCCGTCAATCGGTGATCCATCTGTAAATTGGTTATCTATCTTCATCCTGATTTTATGTGTAAATTTTCTCAGAATGGAGGAGAAAGCCAGTGAGGGGTTGATACTACGTTACATATACAGTATATAAAACGCCGTGTGACATTTTAAGTAAAATGGAATGAATGACTTTCATAAGAAAAGATAAGTAGGCTACGATAGCATTATACTGCACCTTATTACTTGTATGCGTAGATTGACTACAATGATAAATAAAACTGACTTGCTGCAATTAAAATTGCACAGAAGCTGTAATGTTTTCACGTAATAATTAAATTAACAGTGGATACTTCTGTCTTTGGGGTGGAACTATAATAATTTTCGATTAAGCCATAATTTTTACTACTGTACTCATTTCAGAGTTTACTAAAAGAGAATTTGCCATAAATTGAATATGATCTTTAATGACAAATTGTATTATGAGAAATTACTATCTAATCCTCTCATCTGGTGTTGTAAAAGTGGCTCAATCCGCTCTAATATATTCAAATGAAAAGGTCTAATAACATCAAGAGGAGTCATTTCGATCAAGTTTTCTATCAGCATACTGTTCTTTGAATAGTGTACTTGCTAGTATTCAATAACTTTGATTATTTCTTTATGCTCTCAATACGATGATCTATTCTAGCTAGCTAGTATTTTATTTAATTACGATATACTTGTAACGATTAATTTACATTGGAAATTGATTGCCTGGTAATTACTCAGGCAGTAACTTACATCTAGTAACTACTCTGTCATTGCATTTAAATATATATATATATGATTAACCGATGACAAGATCAGAGCTACATCTCCACTCCCAGTTTGGAATATTATAAGGCTTCCCCTGTAAGTAGTTTGATTACCGTATGGGATAACGCAGTTGTTTAAATGGAAAATTGAAACAAGTTGATTACTATTTCTGCACCTAAAACGGGTAATCCTGGACATTATAAGCAATTAATGGTTTCGTGTAGTATAATATCATTCGAGACATTGATCATCTTGCACTGGATTTGTACGTGTGCGTCATAGCTTAGCATTGTCGTTTTGCCGCTAGTAAATCGATATTAAAGTTTTGAAATAGTAATCTACTCTTTACTTGCCGTTAGGTTGATTTATACACGTATACGAGAGTATGACTGCAGTGATGGCAATGTCTTTTACTAACATTCTTATAAAAATAAAGGATAGCATAGACTTTTAATGTGTCGCGGTAATTTCGGCTAATAATAGTAGTGTAGGAGTATTTTAAAAGCGGATAGGAATATGAAATAGAGCATGACGTGACTTAGAATAGTCAATTGCGCTTACAGTTGATCAAGTAGTTGTAGCTTATGGCCGAGATGATGAAATCATTCATTGAACATTTGGCAAGGAAAAGAAAAATTACATCACTAGAAGGTGTTACAGTACTTGTTCAGCCGTGCGTATATCAAGTTTTAACTGCTTGATTTTACGATTTTAAGAAAGCTCCTGCTTGGCTACTTGCTACAGACTGGAAAGAGCATAGCAGGCTCACCTTCTACGCGTATACAGTACTGATAGATTAATAATCCGCTTGAATACCCTTTAAACTAGACTCAGTGAAATCAATTCAAGCCGAATTCGATCGGCGAAGAATTCCATGTTGTAAGATAATAGATTCTATAGAGATTCCGATAATCGCAAGTAAGATGGCGAGACTAAACCTGTCTGTACTAAGTATTGAGAGAAATAAAGTAATTTTATACAACAATATATCACCATTACAGTAGGCAATGTCTTAGCAATATAGCAGCATATCAAAAGGCACATTATAAACTATAAATACACAATAATGGCATTCTGGCATCATTTGATCCGTTCTTGAGTGTATCATTTAGAGACGAAAGCTGTAGTCTTAAGTTAGAATGCCAGTTGCAATGAAGGACATTGAAGGCTGATTCCTTCAGGAGGGAGTTTCAGTTTGAGAGCTAGCTGTGCATAGCGTACGTAATCTAAGTTCGCTACTGTCATATTCAACAATAGCTTTATTTTAACTGAAGTAATAAACTATTTTATCCGCTACATTTGGGAAATAATTTATATATTATTGAATGACTGGTTCAGGGTAGGGATAGAAATACTTGATACTTTTAAGACTTGACCTGTTAAACACTACCATATCGATAACAATTAATCTCAGTATCTGTTTTGCTTGAATTTACTGTAGTCATTGAAATTAGATTCAATAATGTTATTCAAGCAAAATTTGATCGATAAAGACTTATAAGACCAGCAATCCTGCCAAGTATTACAATTGTCGATGATTGCTTGCATATCTTCAGTTATTAAGTACTATACTACCAAGTTTTTCAATGGCTTATCGAGCCATACAATATGCACTCTTGTACACTTTATACGACATGAAAGACGCTTATATGTAGTATCTTGCTTGAATTGTGCTATTCAGACTAGATTAAAGGATTTTATTGTCAATTCAAGCAGATTCTAATCGATGGAGGTAGAGACATGGACTACTAGAAGAAGACCTGGATTGATCGCTCTTGGACGGGTAGACATTTCGGCCTCACCTCGTTATGACAGTACTTTAGTGTGTAGACGGTCGATTTTGAATTGATTAATTTTTTTCTAGATTAATCAAGTAATATTAAGTTGAATCTTATTATCTTTTTCTCACATCTACTTGGAGACAGTTATGTAAGATTGTCGATGTTATATATTTAAATTAGTAACAGTAATTACAGACACAGCAGATCTATACTAAGCAGCCATTTTAGAGCCTTATTTTTGGTAAGGGAAGTCCGTCCATCCGAGGAATGGTCGATCTAGGAGCTGAACTCTGTCTTCTTCCGAGTAGTCCATGATAGAAGTAAAAGAAAGAAAGATTTTTCTTTCGACTTCCTATGCCAACAGTACTGCAAGTTTTATTATTTATGTAATGAGTTCTCCATAGCAATCTGGATGAGCTAATAGATCCATACACGTTATAGTATGGTGCTGCAAATGTATTTGTGGTAGCTGCTTATGGTTTTGTACAGTATGGAATACGATTTCAGTGATAGCGTATAGTGCAATGACTGGAATCATGGTCAATCCCATTGTTATTTTGCAGTGAACGGCCATTGCTTGCCTTCTCTTTCCTTTTAGTAGTTCCTTTATCACTGGTGACTACTTACCTAATTGATACAATACGGAATCAATTGGATGGCTACTATTGTACAAATGAGTGTCCATCTGTAACTTTACAGTTACTTAAGATGACTAACGTTGTATGTACAGAACCAGGCTCCACATTTCTGCCAATCAGCAGTTGTTGGTCGTCTCTTGCTCTTAGTAGCAGTTTCTTCCAAAATGGTGTATACCAGCAGGGATAACTCAAAAGAAAAGAGAGGGAATAATGTGGATCATTTTTCCGGTGATTCTATTAGACGGCATTAATGAAACCGTATACCATACTGTGCAAAACCAACTTAGCAACATGTTTGCAGCCATGTTGTAGCTCATTTGGACGTGCATCGTAGACAGTATATAGCATACCGCTGCAGACATGCGATACAGTTGAAATGACTAGTAAAATAATCCGTCTCCACATTCTTACTAGGTAAACTACCGTTTCCTGTACCTCTCTTCCTTTTTAATTAAGGTTTTAGTTAGTCAACAGCTTCTGAGTATTATCATTTTGAGAAGCTCTAGCAAGAAATCGCTGAAACTGTATCTAGTACAAAATTAAGAAGTTATCTTCAGCGGTACGGTAAGTAGTACGAAGTAGTCTCCTTTGAGACGTTTCAATACCACACCTGAGACATTATACAGTATATTGTCCAATCGATAGTTTTAGTGCTTGGCTGCAAACAGGTACCAGAAACTATTTCAATAAGTGCTGTTACGATCACTTAAGACATTTAAACAAGAGATTGAAGACATCGAGGATAAAATTGAGCTACTTCAATGCCGTCGAGATACGTAGACTGCGATCAGCAGTTACAGTAGATAGTGAAGCCATACTGACACTGTTCTGCAATGTGCAAAATCAAATGTCACCCCCTTGGATCGCATTTTCGATCAAGATAGACAGCAATATAGGAGAAAATAGACTCTCCGTGGGGTGACAGTATATTTTGCACGCTACCGACCGTGGTATAGAACGTGTTTAGGCTGGTTGGCCATCGGTACTAGTGTACTGTAAAATAAGTGTACATTGTACAACTGTACAATGCATACAGTGCAAATCAGTTGTCATGTCTACAATATCGATTGAAAAGATTATCAAGTTGGAATGATGGACAATTCTTAAAGAAACTAATCAAAAGGGTGACAAAAAATTTTACAGATCATCGGTGTTCCAACGCGCGTAAAGCATATCGTATTTGACTTGGATTTGCATGGTAAACACCGCAAATTGATCGGTGGTTATCCTCGCTAACGCTGATTCTAATTACTGAGATCCTATTTCAAGTCTATTAGCATTATTTTGGGTCGAAATGTCAGGACGTCCATCTTCAAGCGGAACTCAGTCAAAACTCAAGCAAATCGTCATCGATTTTGCGAACAGGTTGAGACGATATTTGCAATATTTTGATTCTTCCATGCAGTTCATGTTTATGTGTCGCTACCTTGACTTTAGCTCGTTGCTATATGAAATGATTATTTGGAGATTATTTTGATTTTACTGTTGATAGAAGTACAACTATTGCAGTAGTATATTAGCCACTACAACGTTGATTGCAACACTCTTTTAATCTTCATCATTATTCGCTATCGCGGCATAGTATTGATAGACAGGAAATGCTTAATATGACCATCATGGATATTTACAGTATACGATGCTTGATCATGAGGTCAAAGCGGTAGGCTATCAACATGGCCAAACTAGAAAGTAATGCGTAGTCTACTGGGTCGATAGCTCGCCTTGAAAGTTGTAAACAGTGCAATGCCTACAGGATAGTCAGTACTGTACAGTGTTTAATTTCCTTTAGCTATATTTATAATACTCAAGTTGGAATGGAATGCATGATGTTTATTCTTTTTTATGATAATAATCGCTCTCATCATTTCCATACCTTTCATTCAGCTACGTTGTACAAGATAATTGCACTCCTTTTTGATACTGTGATTATAGCCGCAAGTTCTTTCCTAGGCGATTTCAATATCCAAAAGGACAGACAATATTACCCAACTTCAGTCTCGTACAATAGGAGTTTAGCGTACTATACATAGGTTGTTATATTTCAACATCAATATATTTTTCTTTAAACTACTGTACTATAGCTATTTCTTTATTACGAGCAGTATCTATTTGGTAGTTTGCTAACGTTCATTAATCGAATCAACAAGAAACAATCCGCTAATTTTCCGAATTAGTATTGCATACAATACAATTGGTACAGTAGTCGGACCACACCGGATTTGACATGCTATCCAACGAGCTATAATACATCCAGCTACTAATACGATTATTTGATTCAATATGCAGAGTTCAAAATGTCGAACCTGATCAAAGAATCTTGGAAACACGTAATTTACTCTGCCATTTGGTTAGCAGATACTTATTGAACATTGAAGAAGGTAAATTGTTCAAAAGTATCCATGCAATAGCCATATAGTGATTCACTTTGGATAGTTTAAATTTCCATGACTTATTTGTAAATTCGGCAATTTTTACCTGTATGCATACAGGTATTTTACTTGTTCCTTATTCATGATACAATGTTGTATCATACTGTGACATAACATCGTAATTTTTTACAATTTCTTAATTTCTATTTTAATATCGATCTTCTTCTGGCCACATTAATTCCCGAAGTGTCAACGCAGTTAGCCAAAAAAACTGGTATTAGTTCACAACCGGAAACATTACTCTCTTTCATGCAACATTTGGTTAGCGACCAACCGGAATGTTTTGTGCCTGAAACTTTCGAAGCAATCGACGTAACATCAAAAGGTAAATTACTAGTATCGGCAGTGTAATAACCGTAAGTATGTATAACATGCAAAGGGTAACATACGAGGATAGGTAAGAATTTATAAATAGAAATAGAGTTTATTCTTGATGTCATTAATGGAGCTTACTTCAGTTAATATTTTTTTGAATACCTTTAATAGCTTTCATCAAATGGATAACGTGTAAATTAATGCATTTATTGGCTTCATCGGACTGTCAGAAATTGCATTCAACTTCCTCACAGATAATTATCAGTATATTAAAAGTAAGTAAAGTTGAGCCTATAAATGATAGTATTTCTTATTTCTATCCTTAGATTTATGCAGAATTTGAGGGAATATTTTGCTTAGATAAATACTAATGATGACAATTATACTATTATGTTTATGGATAGCTTATAGAATTGAAAGACTTAATTTTCTTTCGAGAAATAATAGAAGAATTTGTCATGATCTTGATGAGTGAGTAATAGAATTCATAACTACTTATGAAATAGCGATTGTTGTGAATCTATTCATTGTACCTGTGTGCATGAAAGATATACCTTTAATGGCAACTATGTGTGGATACCAAATTAGGTTTAAGCAATACCGAATTTACCGGTTTGGATTTACAAAATGCTATAGAAATTAATTGCTTTGTTTTGGAGGACAGTGAGTTAAACTCGGTAATAAGAGACTTTCTGCTTCACTATAATGTATATTTCTATTATCCTGTATGATATCTAAATATGTACTATATATTCGCATAATTGTATACACTCTTTTTGACTTGTATAATTGCTGTAATTTTATCTATTTTATTAGATTACCTTTATGAAAACAAGTGGTGACGAAGACTTTTCTCACAAACCTATAAAAATTTCCTCACCCAACAATTTCTTCTCATTACAATTACATATCACGTAAATCTATATTTTTAAACTGTAACTGTTGCATTCACTTATGATGCATATATGATACGATACTCTACTTACTGACATCTAAAAATACAATTTACCTTCCACAGTAAAATGTTGCTGGATGTCTGCGATTGCATATGCCAATTTGTCCTTGATTGCGGCATAGAGTTATGGCCAATACTAATCTATCAATTAGATACTGGCACTATAGAGATCAAGAATGTTGGTAGAATAAGAAGCTATGACTTTAAGCTTTTTATTTTTCATATTTTAAAGTATCTTATATATCTCATTATAGGTTACAGTTCGGCTATGTTCGGCTCTAATTGATAATAATATTATTCCAAAACCAACATTATGTGAATATTTTATTAACTGTGTACTGGCATTACTAAATTTTGCATTATATTCCCATGCTAATTCTATTAGGTTTGTATAATTTGTAATCACTTTAGTATTAATTTACTAATGGCATCATTTATTGCTTTGCAAAATTTTAGTCTCTGTGTGTTTTTATAAAATATACTAACAATTTGTACCCTACATTTATTTATGCATAAGTTCTGGATTGGAATTGAGCATTGATTCATGCTTTAATGTTCTGTTACCATACAATACATCGGCTGGTATCGTTCAAGCTACACCTTTGATGGAAGAATTTAAAATTTCTAGAGAGTATATCGAACAAATTTTAACGGGTGTTGTTACTTTGCTAAATTTACATCCGAATTTTTGTATTCGGGATCAAAAATCTCTTGCTGTGCCTGTTTGCCATGCTCTATATAGCATTGGATGTTACGAAGCATTGCAAAGGCGTAAAAATAACCAAACATGCTTAATTGGCTTTACATCTGAGGTGTTAAATTGGCTAATCTCTCAAATTGGTTCCGACTGTAATCAACAGGTTCAATCAATTACTTTCAATGACTTAAAAGGATATCGTTGTATCATTCACTTTACTTTTTCAATTTGTATAGCCACTTCTAGGTCCACTAAGCCAATGGTCATGGCTTGAAATATCTTACCAAGATAATTTAAATAAGGTAATTCTAAATTCAATAGTTTCATGAGTTAGCATCTGAAATCAATATTCTATCCCGTGTAGATCATAATGCTTTTTGATATCTTGTTTGAATAGCTGCCTCAGACAATTAGCCATGGTTTAGATGCGGAAGAGTAAGGCTTCTATCTTTGAAGTATCCTTGTTTTAAATTATTAAAGTATGCTTCTTCAGTTATTTAAGTCTGTATGGTGTTGTACTATATTTACAGTCAACCGAGTCCAAAGAAAGCAAAACTGGATGATTCTGTTGTTAAAAATATAAACGCATCTTCGACTGGGTAAATAAATAAGCCAAATCCTATTTATATTTGAGAGGTTTATATTATAGTTACTTATTGTTATACTATTTGTTGTATAGATGTGCATATCGATGAAATTTGTTAATGATTACCAAAATGCTAAATTTTTATTTTTTAGTGACGTCACGGATAATTTAAATTATGATTCTGTAGCTTTTGCAATGATGTCCAAAAGGTATTTTGATCTATGTAGTTTGCTATCAAAATCTTTCGAGGGACTCGACGTACTGGAGGTAAAGCATCTTTGTGAATATCGATTGAACCTCTAGATATCCATTTTCATTGATAAATTTTTGATCAGGCAATTTTTCGCGTAAATGGTTATTAAATATTTAACCCCTATAGATTGTCCAAACTATGGAAGGCATCCGCATATGTATTGAAACTTTTGCGAGATGTAATATCATGGTATTATCATTAAGCCCATCAACTCGTAATACAAGTAGCATCAGTTATGGCTGTGCAAAGGGATCACAATATATGTCGCAAAATTTAAATTCAGATAATGTACTTCAAGGCAGTTCAGAGATTGTTAACCCAGAGTCTGGGATTAATCTTTCATTATATGCGATTAAGAATTCTTGGTTTAATAGTGATCAATTATCGCTATTATATACTACATGGAAAAATATTTTACTGCGCTTAAAGAGTATAGTAGAGGATGAACTAGAGTTAGTAGTTAACCTGGAAGCCGTTTATAAAATTATTATCAATTCTGCTGGTGCTATCCTGAACTTGTGTTATCCTAGTGAAGTCTTAACGTTATCTGATGATTTATTGTATTATCTAACTAACCTGGTTTCTTTACCTTGGATTCATGAGATTAACCAAGATTGTATAGATATGATTATAGATAATGATATCAAATCTATTAGTACTGCCATTGCCAAGTATTTAGGTAGGTTCTCGCCATTATTCAAGTTTTGCGTGAAATGGAGATTGTACAGTATATTAACCTTAATAATTTTTATATGTAGATGATAGCAAGTGTGGTAGTATCCACAATCTTGCTTTGCTACCTTACGGTGTTGCACCTTCTTTTCGAATGGAAGTCTTTAAGAAATGCTTGTTGCCATCCAACAATGAATCATTAAGAATAGCAGCGGTAAAATCAGTACCTCAATTTCTGACCAATTTAGGGGTGCAGTATTATCATGAAATTATATCTTATTTATCGTAAGTCTATAATATTTTCAGCTTATGCATTCATTGCAGCGATATCCTTAAAAAGTTTAAAAATGTAAATGAATTTCTTTTATCTTCATTCAGGAATATTTTAGATACCGATTCATGTAGTATAAAAGAAACTGTTGCATCTTGTATAGGCAGTATTGCCTGTGCGCTTTCGCAATCTCCGAAATTACAATGGTATGAGGAGGGTTCGCATTCATAATTACGTACGGGATTATTACAGTTATTCTATTATATGAACATTTGCAGGTCAAGCAATATCTCATTCGATAGCACTATTGCCGATGGAGCTACTCTTCACTGTTCGTATTGTCAGAAGCTAATTGAAGATAGTTATTCATCAGCGGAGCGCGGTTCTGGTAAATTTCATCGTTTCCCTGTTATTTTAGTTTATCAGAAGGGTTATAGCGAATTTGTGCTTTTTCTGTCTAAGCGGTTTTATGTGCCGACGCGGAAATTTTATTGCCGTTCATGAAATTGTTAGACGTAAAGTGTTCCCGATCCATAAAGCTAGGTAAATATTTAATGTATAATAAAATACATTATAGATTATGATTGATAACACATGCTAAAAGATTTATCTATTTTTACATTTGGTAGCATTTATGAACAGTATACCAAGGCTCATCAGTCATCTAGGTAAAGTCAAATTCGTTTTTTTATGAAGATTTATTAACGAATTGATATAATATAAAAGAGTTTGATATAGCATTAATTAAATTATTCTGTATTCAGTTTAGGTAGTTTAAAAAAAATAATAGTGTATGTCACTTTACTAATATACTTAATATTGTGAAGTATATTAAGTGACTCAATGCAAAATTACCAAATTTTATTTGTTTCAGACATAGCTGCTTTAAATTCGGATTCGTACAGTCTGGCTAAATCAATAATGGGCTTGGTGGATGATCCAGATCATGAAGTTCGATTGATATTTAGGTAGTGATAACTTAATTTTAAAGTAATAGCTACATTCTAAGATATTTTATTGTTGTGAAACGACAAATCAATTTTTTTATTGCAATTTTCATTTTAGCTATTTAGTACGGTTTCTCCTGTATGAAACATCACCGCCTACAGAAGATCTTTTAGGCAGCATTCAAAATAATTTTGCTGCCACGCCAGTAAATTCGTTGAATGGATATGTGGTTTCGAAAATAAAGTCTGTTCTAAGTAAAGCCCTTAAAGAAAGCAATCATAGGTAATCTAATTCTTAATGTTAATAATTTAGTGTGAAATGAAGGTTTAAATTTTAACAAATTTTTATCTTTTTTGTACGTAAATATTTAGCTTGTTGGAAACGATATATCTTACTATCGGTCAAATTGGAAGGTGCTAATATTTACCTGCAGCTCTGTCAGATGTTTAATCTTATAATTTAAGTCTTCAAATAGTCATTGTAAAGGCATCTTTTGTATTCACTTCAAACAGAATTGCTGAGGGAGAACTGTTACTTGTTGTGGTTATTGCTCTTTTGGAAGGATTACTGTCAACTTATGGTGCTGTAGTAGCCGTTACGTTCGATCAGGTTACATGTTGTTTAATAATCCGATTTCGGATATAATTTCGATATTATAACATATCGATAATTGATTAATTACTGTAGATACGACTTGTTGCAAAGTCAAAGGCTCTAAGCCCTGAGAAATTGTTTAACCGATTTAAAGAGAAGCTTTGTGAGGTAAGCATCTCTGCATAGTGAAATATTCACTCTATGTCTGGTTTCATCGTTGAAGCATTCACAAAGGTGTAACAAATACATCTTAGTTGCGTATTGACGATTTAAATTCGTAAAATAAGAGATCACTTGAAGGAATGTATTCAGCATTATTGATGTAAAATATTTTGACTGCAAAACATGAAAAGGTGTTAGTAGATAACATTCATGATAATTCTTTGGAAGCAAAACAAGCGATCGAAACATCTATTGGAGAGGTATAGTATCTAGTTCAATTATGGGTTTAAATGATCTTGTAATTCGGGTTCAGCGGTTCCAATATTTATTTTTCGTATTATACTTACATGCATGATTTCTAAGGTGGTTAGGGTTTTCGCTTTCAAAGATATTGGAACTTTCTTAAAGGTAATATTGAAATATATCCACAAGATTTTATGACATGCCAACTTAATTGGTACATCTTCCTTTTATTTGGTAAAATGTAGAACTTTTTATATCTGTTATTGCCGCGGTTAACCAGTAAAGCAAGTAAAACCGCCTCTGGATTATTGCGGGAAATCGCGACGGCGTTAAACATGGTATTTAACTTGTAAATTATTCGTTATATGATGGATATAATTTCTCTGATTCATGCATTAACTTTGGCTTATAGGATTATTATCTTATGTACGTTGATAATTTTCCATACGTAGCAACTTTTTTAATCACAAACTGTAATAGTGAAATACAAGAGAAAGCATTTCATTTTGTGGAAGTAAGAAAACTTCACTATTCGCTTTCGTATCAATATTACGTATGACTTAGGCAGTCTATTTTTTTATTCTTAACAGGAAGAAAGTACGGTTGATTTATTTGGCTTACTAAAATCTAGTAGTCAGAAGCTACTTGGCCAGTTATTACTTTATCTTGGATCTCATTTTACTGAGGTACGACTTCGTACTCTGATATACGCGTATGATTAAAAATTGTCATTAGTTTGATCTCTTTGTAATAATAAATTGCCTTCATAAGACTATAACGTAGTGTAACTTATCATGTATAACTTTAGGTTTTTAACGGACTATTGATGCTAGCTGGTTGGGATGAGACGTTCAAATGCGAATTTGCTGATCCAGAAAAGGCTGTTGTAAGTAAATACACAAGTACGGCAAATTTAGAAGTATTTTTGGGTGAATAATATTACTCTTACATAGTTTTACGCTTCTTTGTAGGCTGATTATTTGCAACCAAAATTACTTGGAATACTTACATTTTTTAACTCAAGCTTGTTGCGAGCAGCTGATGCTGAAGAGAAAAAACGAGTTCGTGATTATAGCATCAATATCGTTAATATTTTTGGCGATTTTCAGTGTCTAATTTAGAAAAACAATTGCAAACTTTGTATGTATAAATAGACACTTGAAAGCCTGATACATCTGATGGAATTGATGGGAGTAAAATACATTACGGCAGTTAGGGTCAAGATCATGGCCATACTGAGGTTTATTTAACCGTGCATATACAGTATAGTGTTCACCACTTCTGTCCGTAATAATAATCAAGAAATTTTGATATGTTACAAGGCCATTATTGTTCTATTTATACTTAGGGCTAGCCTACAACTTCGTGAAGAAAAATTGCTCCGCCTAGCGTGTCGTGCGTGGAATAGCTTTGTCAAAAGGTACAACTGTGACCCTGCCAGGAATACGCGATTAATAGATATTCAATTTAAATTAAATCAATACATGTAATGCATCTACGATTATTTATAACGGATATAATATTTTGTGTAGTGTTGAATTGAGCAGCTTAGGTCCGATGTTAAGCCAAATTATTGCCATTTTATATCCTGTGATGAAGAAATACGCTGAATTTGTCTCACCTGTACTTGATTATTTAATAGTGGACAATAGGTCGGTTATTTGATATTTTACGAAATGGTATTAGAAAAAGTTAGTTGTGTGATTTATTGATTTCTATATTACAGATCACAGTTAAAGGAATATTTTCGGGAAATACCTTTTATACCGGATGTTCCACAATTGTTAAAAGCAAACAATGTCTTAAAAGAAGAGCTAGAAAGAGCAAACAGGTTCGTAGTAACATATAAAATCGATTGTAAGATATACAGTATTACATGAAGTAATTACAATAATTTATTTAACTGTTAGCGGTGAGATTGGACCTAAAGAAAAATTATCCCAGATCATGAAAGGAGTTTGCCATGAAAGTGCTGACGTTCGATTGCATGCTTTATCGAACCTAAGGAGAGTTCTTTACGATCTTCAGGTACTATCACTTCTCCTTTATGGCCTCTGTGATTTTGTATACTCTTTAAGCAAGGCTATTTATGGTGGTTAATGCTAATAATAATTTTAACTTACCGTTTTCAGAGTCAAATACATGAATATGTTTTATCAAGTGAAAAGACCGATCCAATCGTAACTGAAATTGTTAATGAGGTATCAAAGATTAAACTTAGTCATTATTTTATATGTAGCTAGAAGGTTTAGAAAGTATATATCAATAAATTTTATCATTTGCTGACATTTTCATACTAATTTTGTTAGCTATTGCGACGCTGCCGATTAGCTAGTAGCAAAGAGCGTAATCTATGTGGTGAATGCTTAGGCATCATTGGAGCCATTGATCCCGGCAGGTAACTTATGCATTACTGATAACCTTCTCGTAGTTAGAGTGTATCTCTATCATTTACCACATTTTTCGCCCGATTTAGACTCGAGAAAGTATCTGAACTATCGTCATTTGGTAGAAAATTTTTAGAGGTTAGCGTATTCAGTTTGTAGTCTAATTGGTTACTCGGAATCAGTATTATCAGCGCTTTCTAAGATATTGATTCCTTCATTTATTTACAACGAAATCTAGCAGTTAATCGTTTATTATAATTTCTATCCACTGTTTTGCATACCCTACAATATCGATGGTTGCAGTCGGACTGCGATAGCTTAGATTTCGCCTTTGAACTTATAAATGAATTAGCTCGGGGATTTCTTGCTGCGCCTGATACGAGATCGCAAGTAATTCTAAACAAAATTGTCATTTAATTAGCAATTATCGATATAACTTTTGTAATACTTACGTTATTACTGCAGGATTGCTACGCTTACGCAATTCAAGAAATATTGAAATCGTTCGATTGCGCTTCAACAAATGAAACGAGGTTTTAATTGTGATAAGGACATAAATAAGATAACTTACTAGTAATGAATTCTTTGTAGACATAAATTTCGTTTTTAATTGCGTTAAATAATTGGGCATTGCAGTTTTGGACAACGTCTTTGGAAAATGTTTCCGGAAAATGTTCAGGAAATTTTACGGCCACACTTACACTCTAGGTTTAAGGCTACTCTTTGCGATTTTAGATTTATATTCTTATATGCGTAATGCAACTGTACGATTATCATCCGTAATAAATTTATTTATTTAGTTTATAGCCTTATGATACTGCATTTCTGAATAAGTTTCGTTAGCTTCTATTTTTGTATTATATTGATATACTATGTTAGTACCTAGTTTACATTATTAGCACCAGTTATTACAACTATCCTGTAGAACTGCACGATTTTTACTGTTATTATTTAATTTAGATATACAACTGGGGCAAGCACAGATTGGTCGACAGTCCAACTACCAATTTTCTGTTCTAAGAAAGGAAGTAACTTTAAGGATTGGGTATCATCATGGACAGCATATTTAATATCTAAAATCAAGAAGAAGAAGTCATCCAATATTTTTACTCCATGTATTTTACTCTTGAAAGTATGCTAATCATACACTACTCTATACAGTGACCTATAAGAATGATTGATAGCTGATTTAGGCTGCTATTTTTTTGAATATAGCATGACAGCAACATGGGCTTATTTCTTTTGCCGCATGCCTTAATACATGCCTTATTGGATAGCAGTACTAAAGACGTCAATGAAATTCGCCAGGAAATCTTGACAGTCATGGAAGATGTTAATAAGGAATCTGTACATGATGCTTCTGGTATTAATAATACTAATGTAAAATTTAAGAGATAATAACTTCTATTCTCGTGCCTTTAACTAATCTGTAAACTATACCTTAGATTTCAGTCAGATATGTGCCCAGGCTATTTTTTCGGCATTGGATCATTTAACTCATTGGACGTTCCGTCAAATTAGAAAAGCGGCTCTGGCTGCTAAGAATAAGAAAGAGAAAGATGATTGTATGGAATCAAGTAAATAATTTTGCCATCGTTGAAAAAGCTGCTAACGAATATATTATTTATTTTTAGCTGCCTTACCGGTAGTTAACCACGAAGATGTTTCTAATTTCTTGAAATCTATACCACAGGTTTGTAAGATATAAATCAAATTTTCTTCCAATTGTGATTCTAATGTAAGTTCCTTTTTCTTGAATTATCTAATACCTAGGATATTCTTGCAAATGCTTCTTACAAGTGTCGAGCCAATGCTAGAGCATTGATGCATTTCGAAACGTTTGCCCGTAATAATCCTGATGATTTACAGAGAAACTTACGTTTTCTGCAGGTGATTTTCTGCCAATACTTAGTCTTGTTGATATTTTTCCTTATTATTTTAAGATATTGTTTTTTATATTATATTATACTGTATATGCGCTATAGGAGATATACGTCGCTCTGGATGAGCCGGATGGTGTCGCAGGCGTTGCGGCTGTCAGCGATGATAGGAATTCATTTAACAAGCAGGTTCTGGAGTTTGAAAGCATAGGTAAATCTTTTTGATATCCTTATTATTGCATAGCACAACAAATTTCTTAGTTTCTCATTGATTAGCCAATCTTTAAATTCTTAAATTGTAGGTAATCTTCGTGATGCGTCTGCTTGTTATGAGTGTGCGATACAACTTGAACCTAATGAACTAAACCACCATAAGGTGAGCTGTTTTAGATGTTTCACCTCAAAGCAGCTAGAGAAAATATACTTTAAATAAATAATTAATTTTTGTGATAGGGGCTATTACAATGTTTGATGGGCCTAGGACAACTAAGTACAGCTTTAGCTCACGTCAATGGAGTAATATCGCAACAGGAGACCTGGGTTTCGGCTTTAAATACTTATAGGGTAGAAGCATCGTGGCGATTGGCAAATTGGGATTGCTTACAAGATTATTTAGGGTATGTTGAGCTATATCGTCATTACTGGTTCTCTTTAGCTCTATTTTACTTAGTAAAAAATGAACATTTTATCGCTTCTGTCAGTAGCGATCAAGATTCTAATGATTGGAACGTAGGCCTCGGGCGTTTGCTACTAAACGCTCGTGATCGCAATCACGAAGAATTTGGAAAACAACTAAAAATTGTTCGTAAAGGATTAATGGAATCATTTTCAGCTTCTATTATGGAATCTGGATCATTGCAACAGGGTTATGATAGTCTTGTCCGGTTAGTAGGATTTTGAAATGTATGAAATAATTGCGCATACGTATAAGTAAAATATTTGTTAAAGATATACTTATTTCGTTTTAGGCTACACATGCTGCATGAAGTAGAAGATTGTGTTCGACTTTTCCTTGGTATTTCGATATCCAATTTTCGTAAGATAGATGAGCAAGTGTTATTGACTAATTGGAACTCACGGTTACAAATTACGCAAGTACGTTAGGTTGCTTTCTATGTGTCATGTTTACGGAAATGCTTAAAAAGTTTCCGTGTATTATTTCAGCACTCATTTAAAATTCGTGAACCTCTCCTTAATCTGCGACGTGTGCTGCTAGGATTTGGGAATAGGTCAGAGTCCAGTTTACTGTCGTCATTATTAGTTGTAACAGTGTCTAAGGTTTACGATATTTGTATCTAGTTCTCAGCAATTGAAGGAACAGCAGGGAAGTTGCTGGTTACTAAGTGCTAAAGAGGCGAGAAAGTAAGCGATGAGTTGCTCAAACTCAATTATTTATTATTGATCTTAAATACCTACTGTAATTTTGATTGTATTTTAGGGCTGGCTATATACAAACTGCTTTTAGTTCTTTACTAAATCCTTGTTCCTTCAATCTTTCTGGTTATCATATTGAAAAAGCAAAGTTATTATGGAAACAGGTATACAGACCTGGATATTGTCTGTAAAATGAGATAGTGATTGCAATGGTTCCACTTAAAATTATTAATTTCTTAATTTAGGGTGGATGCAGCCAGGCGTTAAAATGCTTAAAGGATGCTTTTAGGTATTTTTTGCTATACTGTGCTACTTTAGACTTGACTTGAATGTATGATGATATCGAGTACTGCGTTGAAATAATTTCTATTTCTGTTGTAGTGATAAAAATATTAGAATTAATGAGGGTGGGATGATTGACTGGGGAGATAAGGATGGTAGCTTTCCATCTGAAGAGAAAGTAGGCCATGCTAAAGCATTGTTATTAGTGGCGCGATGGACTGAAGATACTAGCCATAGCAATAGCCATGCTGTCTTGAAGCAATATAAGGTTAAATAAACTGTACAGATTGTGATGGCAGTATGTGTCTAGCCCCATATTGACATTATCTTATTCTATATGATCATAGAATATTACGGAAATACGTAACCAATGGGAGTTAGGCCATTTCTACTTAGCAAAATATTATGATCGTTTTATGAAATATGTACCAGACAATAAACCTGCTAGAATGTTGTAAGTAAAATAACAGAGTGATTATGGCCATATTTAGCCAACATTAAAGTACATTTATAACCCTGTAAACGCCGTTAGTATTGCGTTACCTAATCTAATATCTTTCATATATCAGAGAATTTATACCACATGTTATCAAACATTACGCTTTGTCTCTGCAATTTGGAAACAAATTCATTTACGAATCCATGCCTCGATTACTAACATTATGGCTAGATATTGGATCAAAATTTTCGGGTAAGTCCTGAAAAGTATCGTATTTGGTGACATACTCAGGCTCATAAAGGTCTTAGTTATTTAATTCTCTTAGTTAATAGAGTTAAGAGTATCGACAAGACTTTCCTTGCGGTTTTATCAGATGTTAATAAGGTATTTGTAATTGCAACCATTCGACTGTATTTCGTGCTGTAGCTATCGATGAGGTTAAATAATGTTTATATGAGATTATTAATATTGTGGGCAAACTTTCTGACGTATATGAACGTATTTCTGATTGTTTTCATTAGATAATTTCGGATTCTATCGAAAAGCTACCACCTTATAAATTTTTTACAGCCTTTTCTCAGCTTATTTCGCGAATCTGTCACCCGAATGCTTCTATTTTTGATATACTTGAGGTTAAATAAAATTGTTGTTTTATTCATACTCTATATTGCAATGCTTACCTTACTATCAAATTTTTGTACAGAAAATTATTGCTAAGTTAATGGTTGAATACCCTCAGCAATCTATTTGGTTAATGGCTGCTGTTTCCAAGGTAGTCTTTAAGAAGATTTTTAGAATTTGAAAGAATACTGCCACCTAATCTTTACGTGTTTTAATTGTATTTTACAATTTGTATAGTAAATGTTCGTTTTTTCTACCGGTATTGCAGTCATCTTATTCAGTTCGCAGAAGTCGATGTCATGAAATTTTTGCAAAAGCTAAAAGCAACTGTGCTGAATTAGAGAAATTTATCAATGACGCAACATGCTTGTTTGATAGATTACTTGATGTTTGCAATATGCCAGTTAGTAGAAATTGTACAACTATAAGTTTAAGTGAAAATTGCCGTTCACTTGTACGACTAACTAATGATCCGTAAGTTTAATTCTTGTTATTCTTAATTACAGTCAGTATTGTTTACGGTTAATGATATGAAATAACTGTATTGTTTGTATGGTAGATCATTCAGCGCTATCATCTGTCCTTTACAATCTTCCATGACAGCTATTTTATCATCTAAGATTGATAGCCAAACTGGTCCATTCCCAGATAACCTACCAACTATCGTTAGATTTAAAGATAAGGTTTCGCAATTGTGCTTAATTAGTATTAAGTTTTATCCCACTATGATTCTATATAATCATTGTCACTACTTTATGCTTTTAGATTGATGTTTTAATGTCTCTTCAAAAGCCTAAGAAAATTGTTATTCGCGGTAGCGATGGAAAAGAATATATGATGATGTGTAAACCTAAGGTCAGTAGAAAGAACAGTTTAACTTTATAACTTATTATTACTGTATTTTGACTATCCTTATGGTATTAATCCTCCATTCAATAAACATACAAAAGGATGATCTGCGAAAAGACAGTCGCCTTATGGAATTCAATTCGCTTATTAATAAGGTAAATAAATTGATTTTATGGACTTTTCTTTTATTCTGGTTAATTTTTTACAATTTTATTTTATCTAGTATTTGCATAAAGATGCTGATGCTCGACGGCGGACTCTCCACATTCGCACTTATGTAACGGCTTAAGTTATATATAGCTTAAAAATTTTATTCTCAGAACTGACCGTACTAGTTTGTTTATTGCAACTATTTTACTACTCGTACTTTTGATCTAGGCTGTCGTACCTCTTAACGAGGAATGTGGCATTCTAGAATGGGTTAACAATACGGCAGGATTAAGGCACATACTTCTGCAGCTGTACAAGTCAGTACTATATGCGCGATCATTTCTGCTTAATGATATCGAATAATATGATGAATTACCATAGGGAGAAAGGCATTTTATGTACTGGCAGAGAATTAAAGAATTTAGATGCAAACGCGGATAAATATGGGTAAGAATTTCATGATTTAATGGAAGGGTATTATTGTAGAAAACTATTTTGAGAAATTTACGATTTGGCTACGGTTTAATACGAATAAAATATTGCAATCTTGAGTTTTCAATTTTCTATTATACTTTTAATATGCCTAATGCCTAATAAGTAACTTATGCGTAGGGGAAAATTGAAACTTTTCTTAACGGAATTATTACCACGGTACGTAGTGGTTGCTAAATGCAGATTGGTGCCATTAATTTTTAATTATATAACCATTTGATGCTTTGCATAGTCATCCTCCAGTATTCCATGAATGGTTTTTAAGAACTTTTACAGATTCAATATCATGGTAATGCTTGTTGTGGTGCTTGCTAATTATCTCGTTGCATTCCGATTAGCTACTCTTGACATAAATATATTAATTGATTAACTAAAACGGTGATTTCAAGGTATCAAAGTCGCTTAGCGTATGCCAGAACAGTTGCTGTCATGTCTGTGGTTGGCTATGTGTTAGGACTTGGAGATAGGCATGGAGAAAATATTCTGTTTGATTCTACAAGCGGCGATGCAGTTCATGTTGATTTTAGTTGCTTGTTTAATAAGGTTTATTTTCTAATGTAATCTTTGTTGTTGTAGTATCTATTAGTGAAAACTTTGCACACTTTATTGCTTACGGTTTTTACGCTTGGATTTTGGATTAGGGCAAAACCTTTGATTGTCCAGAAGTGGTGCCGTTTAGGCTGACTCATAATATGATCGACGCTATGGTAAGTTAGTGTCTACTATACTTACATCAGTGAACTAAGTATTAACAAGTTACACTCATGTTATTTGTAAATAGGGCCCTACTGGCTATGAAGGTATCTATAGACGAGCTTGTGAAGTTACAATGAGGGTTATGAGAAATCAGTGTGATCCATTAATGACGTGAGCTGATCTATACGAATCACTGGAAGTATTTTTCTTTATTAAGCATCATATAACAGAAGTACCTTTATATTAGTGTTTTGAAGACATTTGTACATGATCCGTTGGTCGAATGGGGAAAAATTAGGAGAAACGATTCAAATAGAGATCATGCAGAAATAACAAATGAATTGGTAAGAATATCGAACAACATTAACTTTAAAAAATTCCTATACCTGATTTTATGATTTAAATCTATCAAGTATAAACTGATCATATGCGAGTACAATAATATTTACATGTGCTCATCCGTCTTCCAGAGAACATTGACATTGATTATATAATTATTGCTCGCTAGTACTGCAATCTATATAGTTAATTGTTATTGCTATTGGTATACTGATGGTATCGTTTTGTCTGACTGCTTTTGCTTATATAGATACGTAATCGTGCTGTAAATAATTTTAAAATTACTAAAGCAATGAGTTAAATTGTTATGAGCATTTGCAAAACTTGTGATTTCGCCTGTCATAGTTACTTGTTTAATCTACGATTGATCCTTGTCTAGAGATATTAGTATAAGGTGTTTTACTTTATAGAGTATTTTTTTTGTATTAGAAACTAGTCCTACATTTTTATATACAATTAGTACTTACAGGATGTATTTAAACTGCATATACTTTGTATACTTTGTTCAAATTATAGGCTTTAAAAATAGTAAAAGATGTTGAAGATAGACTAAAGGGGAATACAAGTAAAAGTAAGGGGCCAGCGTTATCAGTAGAAGGGCAAGTTCATGAATTAGTAAAGGTGAAAATTTTACTAGTATTTTTACTTGAATCTCTTATCCACACGATATTGAACATTTTAAATTTTATCGAAATCCTTTAGGAAGCCACAGATGTAAACAATTTAAGTCAGATGTATATTGGCTGGGCGGCTTATATGTAATTCTACCATCAGATCATCATACACGCATGTTGCAATATTTTGACCAAGTTATTCCTCATATTCGATTCGTTCTTCCTATTAAGTGTGTAAATGCTATGGTATTCAGTATCATTAAGCTTTATACCAGTATTTGTACTGTATTTATAGCTATATTAAAATGTACGTATAGAAATCAAAGAAATATGATTCAATGCGTTGTGGTAAAAGTTTTAGAAATTTACCATAGTTTGTTTTGCGATCACATTAAAGTATCACTAGAGATATTGTACAGTTATAGATCGATGCCAAATTTACTATGTAGGAAAAAATATTTCTGTCATTTTGCTGTAGATATGAGTATCCGGTTAGTGATTTAGATTACAGCAACAAGATATTTGGCGTTCACTTGCAATTCAAGATCGTAAAATTCGTCATTATAGGACACTTATGCTGTAGTGCACTTATCGATTATTTTTAAACCGAAGGACTGTTTATAGAAATTAAATTTGTCATCTAAATCAAGTCTTGCACTTCAATATGTGCTGTACATTTTATTTATTTATTAAAATGCGCCTTTTACAATAGTCGATGAAAATCTATTTTAATTAAAATTTGCAAATAAAGAATAGATACTTTTAAAAGGAACAGATTTGTATGATGTTGCAAGAGGATGTCAAATTATAGTTACAAATTACATCATGATCAATCAAGGTATATAATAGTTTAATACGATTTCAAATGTAAAGGCCGTTTCTTTTACGATATCTTGGATTGCGAAATTTCCATTTAATAAGTAATTTATGCATTTACAGGCAAAGCAAGGCCTAATTAGTCACCATATATATAATTTAATTTCTTTACTACCATAATTAATAATAGTGTTATGATACTGCTCGTAGAAAAATACCATTGCTATAATAGTATACTGGTAATATACAGTCAAGAATTATTAATCAGTAATTTCAACAATTAAAGGCGTAGCAAATTCAGAGTGGCGTATACCCATAGAAAAGCTGGGAGCTTTTTTTCTTGTAATTGTAACTTTATCAGGGCTGTGAGCACCGGGACCCGGCATCGAGGCAGCTAATATAAAATATATGTAGTGTACTAAGCCTTAGATAGTAATAATTTCATAATTTTTAGTGTATATGTAATTTATCAAGACGGTGTACATATCGAATATAATGAAGTTCTATTCCTTACACGAGTGATTTTGTGGACGACCTTGTATGGAATAAGAAGGAGCTTTCCTATTATTAACGTCAAGAGCGATAGGGTCGTACTTTCCTGGTCCGGGAGCTTTAGCTAAATCTTCAGAGAATCCTCCAGCCTTGCCTCGTCCTGCCATTGAATGTGCAGCGGATGAACGTTTGCTGACGATCCTACTTCCTAACGTAGTAGGTAGAGTGTATGAATTTGGTGCTGGTATAGAATCACCTGTAATGAATAATAGAAGATTTGGTTAATAGTGCAAAAATTATAAAGTTGTAAATCTTCTAAAAATGAATTTAAATTAGTCAATCGATCTTAATCGTTTGGATCGAGTGTACTCGTTACTATGATATAAACTACCTAATATAGTGCAGTGTAATTGATAATATGCTTTTTTTTGGTATACCGTTATAGTGCTGTGATATTGCCTATAGTAATGGTGATGTACTGTCGAACTATAGGATTTTACTGCATTGGTACTTGCTGAATTATGCGTTGTTGATGGTATTGCATTACATTGCATCATTGTTTCATTTCTATGAATACTTAACACCTGTCATTATAGTTCTTACTTTTTCTAAATCGAGTTCTTCCAGCCATAGAATACTTTGGTGCAGTTCTTTCATTAGGGGGTTTATTTTTTTCAGGCGAATACTGACCGGGTCCAGGCACCTTTTGATTCGTGTTTAAATTGTGTCTTCCGAGCATAGAATATGCAGGGACACCGTCCTTACCACGGCGAGTACATTTGGGGTCTATGAAATATTGTGGTCCTGGGCTAGCATCTTTTTTAAATACTATTATTGAATACCCATATTGAAACAAATGAAAGATAATTTCTATTAGAAGGTTTCTGTCATAACCATATTTATTTAATTGAAGGAATAAAATGTGGAATGGGTTTAATGATGACGTATCCAAACATGTTATAATTTGTTTCAATTTCTATTGGATCTATAACAATCCATTCCGCAATTGAATGGTAATGTGTATACTTACAATCAATTCCTGATCGTGTTCCAAATGAATAAGCAGGACTTAAACGTTTAGTCAAGTCATGACTTTGAAAACCCATAGCCGATGGTAACCTATATTTAGCGGGTCCAGGTCCTATTACACAAGATTTCAATCGATTAAGATACATTTCATTATTACTAAACTAGCTTGAATCAAGTGAAATGAAAACAGAAACTCTAGCTTTATCATCAATAAAGAGTTATTGCAAGATAAAAATGATTAAGATGTATCCACGATGAAAAGTTATCCTTGTAAAATGAGAATTGTAGTAGAATTGGATTGGGAACTTTTTGTCACGTCTATGATAGGATAAAAGCCTAGTGATGAAAGATTGATTTTGATTTTACCTCGATCCCTTGCAGCAATAACGTGTGTTCGCTGTTCTGTAGTAGCCATGTTGGTATAATAAGAGTTTTTCTTGATTGAATTGGATAGGAAAATTATTGAAGTTGATGATTGAGCGTTGAAGAAATTTTAGAGTTGCTTCTACCAACGATCGCTTGTAAAGTACCCGTTCTCTTAATAAGACGCCAATGACTGACAAACAGGTAAAGTCTAGATTTCACAGTGGGAGTAGATATCACTAGCGATTAATATTGCAGTAGTTCCTTTATATCGACTGTTGTAAAACATGTAGGCTAAGTCCAATAGAGATTGGCCCTGTTGTATATTAGTAATTCATCAACAAAAAAGCTAGCGACGGTATGTATTTCAACGGCATGTTTCCATAGTGATGTAAACAACTTCTCTTTGTTTCATAGTGTTAAGGGAAGAAACGTTGCAGAGCTTTTCTACCATGGTACTGTACTGTACACTGTACAGTGTACAGTGTACAGTACAGTACAGTACAGTATTGTAAAGTATTACGTACAGTACTGTACAGTACGGTACGGTAGGGTAGCAATCGCATGTACTGTACTGTACTGTACAAAAACAGTACCGTCCTTGGTACTGTCATAAACTACAGTACACACTATACAGGAACACCTAAAAAAGCGATCATTCATCAGACAGACGGACTTTTCTTATCCGATGAGACCGTCAATATCGAAAAATGCCTACTTAGCATGGATCTGTACAGTGTACAGTGTACACTGTACAGTACACAGTACGTTCGTACTGTGCTGGACTGTACAGATTTTGATGAATTAACCGTTTCAGTGCTCATGTCGCATACTGTACTGTATAATATACTGTACGTACAGTATGAATGTTCAGAATCTTACAGTACAGTACTGTATGCTGAAACGTCTCAAATCGTTTGAGACGTACAGACGTACAGACGCACAGTTCGGTGTCGTAGCATCTAAATGTACTGTACTGTACTGTACAGTACTGTACAGTACAGTACTGTATACTGGACTATAGTGAATCACTACTAGTGATGACGATGATGTGTACAGTATACTGTACAGTATGTATGCAACAGCAATGATAATGATAATGACATTACCGTACTCTACTTTAGTGAATACTGTATGGCTGAACCTGCCGACACTGCTGGTCTATCAATTTTTGAAGCGGTAAAGACGAGTACAATTTAATATACGACAGCTCAAATACAGCTTCATCAAGTATTTATCGAGTTAGGGACTTCCAAGAGGAGAACTTCTCCATTTTCCTTTACAACTTTTCCTCTTAGAAGTCCCCGATCGACTATGCGCATGCCTGCAGCCGATGTAACTTTGTATCAATGACTGAAGCTGCGACAGAAACGTACAGTATGAGAAATTTTCTGTACTATTGTCGATGGGTTGGATACTACTGTATTTCTTACAGAAATTGAAAGTTCTATTACAACTGTTCAATCAAAACTATGGACAATACAGTGCAGTATATACAGCAGAAGATGGCATATACAGCATAAAGATATCTACGGTGGCCCAAAAGGGGCAACGTAATGCTTGGTAAAAATTGTATTTCTATTGGGGAGGACTTAATTCATGGTACGGCATACTGTACATACTGTACTGTACAGTGTACAGTACAGTGTACAGCAGTCCGTACTGTACAGTGTACAGTGCTTCATTGACCTTCCAAACAAGTGTCTAGTGTCATGTCTAGGTATTCATTCTTCTAGTGGTCCAAGCCCCCGGCTACCGAAAGAAAGAAAGAAAGACTGAACAGCAAAGTACTGTACTGTACACAGTACTGTATGGTCACATGGGCAATGAAGTGCTTGAAGTACTGTACTGTACTGTACGTATTTCAGAATTTCCGATTGGAACTGCTGTTCAACAAGATCGAGTGGTCGAAAAATTGCTAACGGGAAAGCAACTTCAATTCTCGGTACCTTTATTGCTAAATTGCGCTATCATAGACAACGCACAACATGTTAGCATTGTCACGAAACTACCAACGGATCTTGATCGTAAGTATCTGCTAGAATTTTGCATATCATCGTAATCCAAAACCAAACGGAATATATAGTAATATGCCAATAAAGCATGAATTTGCATGAATTGCCATTGCCATCGTTGATTCAGCATGATATCTTTACGTACCGGTGCATTGGATGCATTGCTCAATCGGTGGTGAAATCGCTAACAGCGATACCATTGAATTTTCTTTGAAATAATACCAACCATGTATTGGTAGAAACTTTCGTAAAAGAGTGTTTACGATTCGAACAGGTAGTAGTAAGCTGTTGCGATGCACACTGTTGGACTTTACGCATCAATTCATAACTTTCGAAATGAGGGGCATACTGCTACTCCACAACTATTCTTATCATTCAGAATAGTGCTCGTACTATATTTGTAAACTAGATTAATATACAGTTATGAATTGGTAGATAGTTAATATGCTCTGATGAATTCAGAATTATTATGGTAACGCTGAAATAAATCTAGAACATAGTAGATTGCATCATCATCGCTGTAATAAAAATTGCAATTTACATATCTTATCAACTTCGCTAATAGATTGCATCATATTTTAGAAACCGATAAACTTTGTCATTTCACTATTTTCAATATTACAATTAAAAACTGGTACTATTACATACAGTATTATTATGGTGATCTATTTTCTATTTCTTGAGACAAATTATACGTTCTCTTCTAATGCCCTCTGTACTGTACCATACATAAAGGATAACAAGTCTTTTGAATGAAAGATAAAAGATTTGTATAAACTCGATGAGGTCCAAATTATTGAAGGACAGCAGTGATGTTTCTTTTATAAATTTATTGTACGTATTATGATATGGATAGTTTGATCTAGTGTAGCTTCAATTTTGAAATATCAAGCCACTTAATAGAATTTGGTTCTACATTAGTGATATAAATTCGAGCTAGTAAGCTAACGGCCTCAACGTAAATTAAATCCATTATTGCTATCGCGTATTAGAGATCGACTCGATTTATAGAACTGTTAACTATTACGTACATTATTGTCTGTAGTATATATAACATAGCATCTTTTCGTTAACTTTGATCTGCATTCTTTTGCATCCCTTACAGCAGCAGATAAAAAACCGCCAGAATATTAGAACGATCACTGGCTACCCGTCGACCTATCCTGTCGATGGAAGAAGGAAATTACTACCTAAAAATACAGTATGATATTTTAATAATCTTTATCATACATTTGGCAGCTTAACGTAATTGACATCTGATGACTCTTTCTTACGTCTACACTTTGATTAATGAATGTAGGATAAGTCATTTCTATAACAGAAGTTTTCAACTGGTTTGCTTTCTGTTGTACAGGTCATCAAATTTGTTCCGCAGCAAGAGGCTTGGATTATAGAACGATTTGGAAAATATAACAGGACATTAGAACCTGTAAGACTTTAGCAAAATAATTAGCGGTGCTAACATTAATGGAAAAGATTTAATTCTGCTTATCTATAGAATAGATAATCGATCAGATAACATAACAAAATGCCAAAGTATAAAACTGGGCCATATTTGATCTTGCCTTTATATAGGGTTTAGCGATTTTGCTACCAGTAGTAGATCAAATTAAATATGTTCAGAGTTTAAAGGAAATTGCTATTGAAATTCCATCACAATCCGCTATTACTTTGGGTAAAATTTGTCAAAATACTAAAACTAATTTATGTTACTATATTTCGTAGCAGTAGTATTAAATTGCGTGATAAGTGTAGGCCCTTATGTGCACGTCTAAGAATTCATAGTTATATTGTATGCCTTCAGACAATGTTACGATCAATTTGGATGGTGTTTTATACCTGAGAGTCGAAGATCCATATTTGGTTAGCTATCATGATTGATTTATCGCAGATGTTATTAGGCTCAACGAAGTGGTATCTCTATACAGCACTTGTGTATTTCTTATTTTCCTGGATCTTTTGTATTGTGGTAGGCATCCTATGGCGTAGAAGATCCTGTTTACGCTGTTACACAATTAGCTCAAACAACCATGAGATCAGAGCTAGGTATTTCTTGATTTTCTTTTACCAAAACCACGATTTTATAATCACAGAAGGAAGGTAATATCATAAAGTTTTATTGAGCACTTTGATTTTTACTTAGGTAAAATTTCTTTAGACGTGGTATTTCAAGAACGTACATCCTTAAATATCAGTATTGTAGGTAAGGAATATATTAATTGCTCGTGTTCATTGGCACTGCAGGTAATAGTTGATTGTAGAGCTTATGAAATCTCTATATGATTAAATAATTTTTAGAGGCAATCAATTCGGCATCTGCAGTATGGGGAATTAAATGTTTGCGCTACGAGATTCGTAAGTAGCTCATAAGCAATCGATGTTTTATTAGCTTTGAACTTTATTACTATGATGGACTTGTTATGTAATGGTAAATCTGCTATGATTGCTTCAAATAGTATATCATAAAATTGTTTGTATTTTACTCCTTGCTTGTGATCATAGGTGATATACAACTGCCGTCGCGAGTTAAAGAAGCAATGCAAATGCAGGTGAGAGGAATGCAAGATTCCTAGTGGCTAGAGCTCGTAGTAATCTCGACTTTTATCGTCAATAATTTTAGGTTGAAGCTGAACGAAAGAAAAGAGCACAAGTTTTAGAGTCGGAAGGTAATATCGAAGTTTCAAATTCCATATAGATTTGTTACAATAAGTTAGTTTGTCTTCAGACTGATGTATAAAAAATATTCCATTTAATATAAAGGTGTTAGAGAAGCAGCTATCAATGTAGCTGAAGGAGAAAGGCAAAGTAAGATTCTTGCTTCTGAGGCACTGAAAATGGAACAAATTAATTTAGCTACTGGTATGTATTAGAAAGTAAAGGAATGACAGCATTAACAATATTGCATTTGTCGGGTAATTGATATTACAAGGTATATTTCAATCATTATTTAAATAGGTGAAGCCGAAGCAATTTGGGCTAAAGCACAAGCCAGAGCAAAGGCTTTACAAATTCTATCACGTCAGCTGGTTCAGCAGGTACGTATATTACCAATGAATCGATACGATTACAGCAACAGCGGAACGCGACTAAACTGATTTTAAATCTACTATAGAATGGTGAAAAAGCGGCTTCACTTAATATCGCGGAACAGGTAAAGGGAATGATAACGAAATAGTTCAAGATATATTACTATACTGTGAATATATTATGAGCTACAGTACTGTACTGTCACGGCACTGCTTAATAAGTCAATTCAGATTTCACTATTTTTGCATATTTTAGTATATTGCTGCCTTCAGTAAATTGGCGAAAGCTAGTAATACGGTTATTTTACCCGCTAATACTGGTGATGCGGCTTCAATGGTTGCTCAGGTTAGATTATGCTACTTGTGTTACTGTGTTACCAATACATGAAATAGTATGAACATATCGTGTACATATGTTATTCTATTACAGGCAATGGCGGTATACGTAAACGCCTCCAAAAATACATCTAATCTTTCAAATATATCGGATGAAGAATTAGGTGAAGATGCTTCTGACGTAAGCAATTCTTCAGCTCAATCTTCCTTTCCACTTACATCATTAACAGAAGCAGATGGCACCCACAAAAGTAAGTCGAGTATCATAAAACTATTTTATGTGTGTAATAAATTGTATCTGATTGCTTGGTTAAGATGGATTCTGACATGTATTGCTACGTCAGGTCGTGGCGATGATGAAAGCGCCCGTATTGACCATTATACCGCTGCTGGCTCCCCTACAAAAGACTGGGCAAAGGACCACCTAAGTGATAAGGATTTCGAGAAAATTTTGTAACCTAGACTGCATCGAATAAATCTGATTGGATAATGTTGTGTTTTTTGAACGGACGGTTGATACTATTAATGCGTCTTAACTCTGACGAGACAATAAGCTGAAAGCCATGGTATAACAAATCTTATACGTTAATAGGCCGTGGCTTTAGACACTTTTTTGCTGGCGTAATACCCATCGTTGTAAAATTTTTGCTGTAAAGTGTCTTGTAAAATATCCCGCTGATGTAGGTATCCAAGTATGAGATTCCGTAGTTACAATGATGAATTCTATGAATAAATTACTCGCTGAAGCTTTACAGTACATTGCTGCATCATTACATCATGCTGTATTTTGCATTACCGTAGTTTATGGTGAACATCTTGGATTATCAATAATGCACATTTTTGAATATTCATATTGTAAATGGTAACTGAATTTTTGGTTCAGCACGATGGTGTCTTGGTCAGTTTTGTGAACTTTACTGGTGCAATGGATAAAGAAATTTGAATAAATTGCATTATTGGTGTTCTTAATATTATTATTATTATACTTGATGATTAATAAAACGTAGTATAAACTACAATTCAGTCGCTGTAAATTAAATGCAAGACTATTGAGCAGGTTGCTGTAGCTCACGTCGTAGTAAAGTCTTGATAGTACGTCTGAGCATGTACTGTACGGCAACAATCGCACTATTCGTTGCACTACTGTACTGTATAGTGTACAGTCTACTGTAGTACTGTTACTACTGTACAGTGTGTAGAAATTCTTTCCAGATGAATCAGCGTACATTTTTATGCCATAGTTCGTAAAAAAATCCGTAAAACTTTCCACAGTTTTGACTTTTTTATTCCACTTTTCAAAATCTGGACAGAATTTCTACACACTGTATTATGAAGACCTTGTATTGTAATTCTCCAGTTGAATGCGTCACATGATTTAACTGAACTCCAGGACTGTACTGCACCAGGTTGAATGAGGTGATGATGGAAAGAAATTTTGAAGGGCGGACGACACTTTACAGTATATTGCACGGTCGTTTACAGTATAATGTACTGTACTGGACCAGGTGAATGAGTGATGATCGAAAGAAATTTTGAAGGGCGGACAGTACTGATTCTAGTTACTACGGGTACGGACGGCATACAGTAGCATACAGTCAATACGAATATAACCAGTATGATCAGTTGATCTCATGCAACTGACTATAACTAAGTATGACTACTCTGAATACTGTGTAGCCCTGTGAAGTTTTGTACTCCCATCAGTCCCATGTCTGCGATTTTTTCGTTGGAAGTCTTGAAGACAGTGAGTACAAAACTTAGCTGGTCTATTCTACTCGTATACTGAATAGGATACATGAGTACAACAACATCTTTCTGAGCAGTCTACCAATGATGATGTTAACGTCCATTACAGACCCAGAAACTCGAATAAAGTTCATCACGAGTCATTTGTGTCTCAGACTGTGAACAATATTATTGTTTGATGCCGCAGTTTCCGACTATTGTCACTGCCCACCGAGATCAATGTAAGAAAGGCGTTTTTGGGGGATATTAACTCGATGTATCTACTTTTCGTTTATACCAGTACAATACATGGTATAGCATGTACACTATACACTAATAAGGGTCTCGAATGTCAACTATTTCATTGGCTAAACCGCATATAGGAACTTGTACACTGTAATTAATGAATTAATTCTATGATATACTGTAGTCGTGATATACCGCATACTAATGAACTTCCGTCATTCCTGTACTATACTGGAATGATGCATTACTTTCGAAGCCACAAGTTGCCTGACCTGAATACGATACACTGTACGCAGTGTTAGTTTACCATATAAGGGCAAAAAAGAAGCAAGGGTGCGTCAACTTGATGTCGATTGAGTGAAGCTGAGTGAAAGGAGGAAGTCGTGTTGTATGTAGACAGTTCGTGAAAGACAATTTTCGTCTCAGCAAAGAAAATTTCTCTTCCATTTTTCCTTCAATGAACTTGGTCTTGAAACGTCAATAAGGTAATTTACATGCCGTAATCCAGGGGTAAATAATGGAAACAACTAGAAGTAATCCTTTCGGCTGCTATGCCAAGTAGAAGCCAGCATTCGACGGTGATCCATTTCATGGTAGAAGGATAGTTCGAGGAATTCTTTTCTTTATGGCTCTCGTGGCTGAATATCAGTTAATGAATGACAAAATGGATACAACTATTGTGCTTTAGCTTACCGTCATTTTAACACAGCTTTAACAGTCCAAGCCACTATGGGCGTACTTTCGTAATGTTGGATCATAAAATAAACATCAGTGCATGATGTTCACAAGCTTCTTACCAGTTTGAACTAGGCAAATTTCTACTTGGAGTGATGCATTCCCTGATAGAGGAATACCACTTTTCACTTACTTTTTTATATCTTGACAGTTCAACTATTCATGAAACGGTCGATAGTTTAGTACACGGACTAGAATAGGGTAGATAAAAATCTGCCATTTCTCGTTAGTGTTATGGGTTAGAAGAAGGGTGAAAGACCTACCTAGTAGGACGACTTGACTTGTTTATTTCAATAGTCTACTATCAAACATGTAAAAATTAGCATAAGTAACAAATAGAAAATGAATTGACGTTTCACTGGATGCATCTTGGATAATATATAGAGAGAATGCCTGCGAGGGCTTGCTTTGACGTGTATCATTTCATGATCATTGTTTCCCTTTCGGTAAGATTGGACTAATTGACAGGTTGCCGTCGAGTTGTTGAATGATATTGGTGATTCACGATTTGATTTGTATATGCATCGTTAGAAACACGATAAGCTAGGAAGAAGTGTCAATGGAAATGTCTTCAGTTGAAAATATTCAATCTGAACGTTCTTTCTTTTTAATAGGAGATAAGAGATTCTCGTAGCCTATATTTTCAATGACTGGTCAAGAGAACCCCAGCGAAACCTGGGATGAAGTCAGAGAACAATTGAAAAAGAAGATTCTTTTTCCAGGTATTGTAATTTGTATCTGAGGCATTGGAGAGATGGCAATTTTTAATCAATATTTCAAAGTCGAATGAACAATAAATATCTGCTAGTTCATGGATTACTTTCATGCTTCATACGTTGCAGTTTTACCTTCAACAAATATACTCGTACTCTGTTCCCTACTCTATGGGGAAATCACGAATACGAGTATATTCAGTTAGACTGTTTTTTAAAATACTGTATGATTTATAAAAGATTGGAAAGAAATCTGACACCATGTCAAGATCATAGTCTCATTTCGACTAGTGTAAAAGATTGTTTTTCCAGAGGCAGTAGTGTTGTACAGTTAGGGTCCGCCTTGAAATTATGTTATAATAATAGATTGCATTATAGGATATGCAAAGTAGCTAATGCATAGAGAATTACATGTAATATAAACTAATCGATATCATCCAAAAATCTAGGTGAAGAAATACAATATACTCCTGATCATACTTTTTACAAGAACGTTCATTACATGCTATGTCATCGACAATCGGTATCGAAAGAGTCCAAAGTCAGAGTTTGTTTAACCAATTTTCGACTAATTATAATTGAAGGAAGTCTCGAAGATAAGGTTTCATGCTTTCCTACCAACCTTTTATTCGTATACTGTTGGAAATTTTATTACAATACCTTATATGATCTTTACCAGCATAGTATAATCAAATTAAATAATAGCTTATGACATGCTTACGATTCATAAAACTACCATTCAGGTTCTAATTCTATTTTCTTGCTTTCAACAGATACGGACTGCTTCTGGGGTGAGAAATGTTAACGATGGAGTATACTTTTTCGATGATATTGTTCTTAAAAATATAGAGAAAATAAAGTATACCTGTAAGTGCTGCGTATCAACCCCTGTTTACTGATATTATCTTTGATGAAGTTGTTACTTTTTACATTTTAAAAGCCACTCTTAGCCGAGTTGTAATGATAAGATTTGGTAGCTATTTATTATCTCGACATGTACACGATATTCTCGTAATTTTATTCTTATTATATAGTGGATAAACGTTGTCAAGAAAGGCATACAGTCACCAATAATGCACTGCCAACTTCAGGAGGCATTACTAGTTTACAAGTCTATTGTAGGGTAGGAGACTTTGTATAGCGTGCGTGTTACTTTGTAGTCATAGCCATACCCCACTGAAGTTGGAAAACATTCTGCTGTGTCTTAGCTTGATAACATATTTTCCAATAGAACTTTACCCTACTAGATATCCGTGCTAGAAGAAATGATCAGACATTGGGTGATGTAAGTTATTAATGGGATGCATTGCTCAGTAAGTTGAACTCTAATTATCGCACCTAATGCAATATTCCCTATTATATTTGGATCAATTTAGAAATCGCTCGTATCACGATTGAAATCGTTTCGATTATTACCGAGAAGGTCACAAGTAAGTGTGACGTTGAGCCACTTTACTTACTATGATGTTAGTATTAGTACTCTGAAACATTACAGTGCGTACAACGTGCGGTACAAGTATCAAATTCGAAATTATCTCCAACCGTGTCAAGGCTATATCTGAGAAATTTTTGTTTGTTTATATTGCAATTCTGAGTTATTTGAATCAACGATGATATATACTGTACAACTTGCAACATCTAATATTAGGGCTTACATGCAACTTTTAGGAAATGTCGAAATTTTAAACATCGTTTATTTCATTATTATAGGCTAACTCTGTTTCATATGAAGAGTTAAAGAAGGTAAGTGTAAAATGCTTTGATTTAAATTACGTATTAGATGTCGGCAATTAACAGTAGAAATTGCGTGTTTACTCTAGATGTTACGTTATTTGATTGGTTGCAAACATACCGAATTTTACACAAAATATGCTAACAGTATGGAAGGTAATTGGACTACTATTTAAAAATAGAATACTCATAACTGCAAAAATTAATAATATGTCGATCCTTAATAATGGTATAAAACCTATCCAGGTTTAGCAAAGACTGGTGGTGTACCATCTTACCGTAAAATAAGTGACTATGAGAGTGTAAGTTGAGCTATGTATCGTGTTGATTAGTAATGATGTCTGATAGTATGAAATGGATACTATTAAACTATAGGAACTTGACCATTTGAAGACACCAAAAATATGGTGCATTAACGAAGATGCCAATAGGGGATTTAAATATCAAAGGTCATTCTCTCTTTAGTATATTTTCATTGATAATTATTTCATAAATTCAATTGGGATATAAATATCGGAATCAATATACTAATTATCAAAAATGGTGTATTTGAATAATTGTAATTACAGTCTACCTGAAATACTGCTTTGTCCAAATGATGCTGTATCCAAGAAGTTAGATCTAAACATGCTTCTGGCAGCCTACAGGGAAAAGCGTTATCCCGTGAGTATAACGTCTCTAGTCGATATCTTGTTACGATTTTGATGTACTAAATAACTAATTAAATGTTTGTTAATTTAATATAGGTACCTTGCTGGTATTACCAAACTAATGATGTTTATTTATTAAGATCGGCATCCGAGGATCATGGCCTTAGAGAGAATTGTAACGAAATGGAAGGAAGGTTTGTAGGATACCAGTTTAAATAATTTCTACAAGCTCTTTATATTGTATCCATGCACACTAAATAGAACTACTATAATATGCATTTACATTTAGAATATTTGGAATTATAAAAGACCCAAATAAGCAAAAACCATTCAAAACTATAGAATTAGCCAATCGATTCCCTAATTATTTAGCAACTGTATGGCAACGGATATACACAGACAATGGAATTGTACGTGTTGGCAACGTAATTCAACCCAAAGAACTTTCGTCTGGCTATAACAATTTAAAATATCACTGCTTGAAAGGTATTTGATATTGTGCGGCTATTGAATAGCATTATAATTATTAAAGTTTTTCTTATTAGGTATACTTATTCTAAAATAGGTAGCGATAGAAAATATTGGAATTCCGATAAAGATTGGTTTGCTTCTCTTGCTGCAACCCAATGGCCGAATTTCATTCGGTAGACTATTATACTTTATATTATTTGACGTGACGAATAATGTAATATAATTACGCAGTATTTTATTCTATTAGACTAATCACTGGAACTGTTGTAATAGTATTAGTTTGTTACCTTTATTTTTTGTACGTTAAACTGCTGAAATCGATCATTGCCTATGCTCCACTAGGGTTTGCTTATTCATTGCTACTAAGATAGCGGATAAATTACACTATGGCGCCGTTTCCATCTTAGTTAAAGGTTATATCGTAAATGATTTATTAGAGTCATTGTAGAATTTTTAGCAAACTTTGAAGCCATTTAATTTTAATAATGTTTTCTTATAAATTCATAGATTATGACGGAGCAGAACTTTCCTGCGTAATATGTTCTCTAGTTCAAGTAATATTAGACGGTGACTGTCGTACAATTAAAGGATTTCAAACATTACTACAAAAGAACTGGGTTGTAGTTGGCTATCGTTTTAATGCAAGCCAAGAGGTAAAATTTAACGTTGTGCAATTATATCCTGCATAGCTAATTTATTTATCTTATATACAATCCTTATTATGATTTCAAAAATTAGAGTCCCTTTTTTGAGCTATTCTTAAGTTGTATATCGCAACTGTTATATCAAAATCCTTTGGCTTTCGAATTTTCTCCTAATTACATATCGCATCTTTTGGATATATCACTCTGTGGACTTACCGAAACGTTTTCTTACAACAATGAATATGAACGCTGCAGATATAATTATGTAAGGAAAGGGGAAGGTAACGTGTCAAAGCGTACTGGTATTGTTCTCCCTTCAGCTTGGAATCTCTGTTACTTAAATTGGAAGGAAGTATTTAATGAACGATATATTATGAATCAAGTTTTACAAAGAATTTATGGTAAAACTATTGCTAAACCATTGACCGTTGTTACTGATATTTTTGATATGAAAATATGGCATAGCTTATATCTCCGTAGTTTCGGTATGCATGATGAAGGTAGCATCAGGAACTACGAGATTCAGCATCAAAGTGAGAGATCATACAATGAATCTATTTTATGCTTACTTGAAAAAACTCGAGCGTTGGGCTGTCTTAAGTATACTAATGGTAGAATTATAGATGTTATTGATTATAAAAAGCTTTCACAACTCTATACATACAATGAGCATGTAAGGCATCGTCAGTACCCAAAAACTTCAGCATCAGATGTGCGCAACGTAAGTCAGTCCTTTAGCGGTTTTCCGTCATCGACCTACAACACCGACGTGTACACAGTATCGCATGATATACCGAGAGATCCGTCGATGCCTTACATAGCAACAAGATCGGGTCAATACAGAACAAATGAAAGCGCTATTTATAGTTCTTCGGCATCATTTTGCAATGAGCATCCGTTATCTAATAATACCTGGATAAATCAAACTCGTTATCCCGAGATAGCAAAATCAAGTGTACGTAATGTAGATGCTTATCCCGATGTCTCAATGGCATCGCCTTATAATGGTAGTAGGCACGCAGATGCAAAAATCAAGGAAACCGCAAATACTGGAAAATATACAGTAGGTCAGCCTAAATCGCGATCAACCAGCTTAAGAAATGATTTTTACTTCAGTCATCAAGAAGAATATTCTCCTCGTAATGATGGTAACTATTATCAACCTGCGGACCATAATTATAATGAATACGTGAATATGCAAAACTTCGCTAAACAGTACGGGCACTCTCCTAGGATTGCGTACCAAAAGATGAAATCGAACGAAACTAATTTTTAGTCGTTCTAAATGGTTCCATAGTTCGTTACTATTTCTTATTTCGAATAATTATCAACGTCATCGTCGCAATAGTTGAGATAAATTAGGCTATTTTTAAGGCCAAACTGAATTTCGGAGATCATACTGTAAACTAAAATTTAGATAAATTGTAATTATGACCATTTCGCTCGCATGATTTGTTTTCTTGTATGATATTTATTTTATGCTATACAGAAAGCTAATGTAACGCAAATATCGCTATTGACAACCAATGATACTGTATGAGATGTTGATGTACATGGTAAAGCAAATCGTCAGACTGTCATGGACTTTCAACCCATAGCATCTATATGGAGCTATTTACAACTCTTGTACGTGCCAGGATAGCAATACCGTCACGAAAGTGCATTTAATTAAAGATGTGGTATTTCACATAGCGACTGTTTAACAAGTTTTTACTTTCTCTGTTATTTATATACTGAAGTAAAAAATAACAAAATTTTAATTTTAGTTATGCTTGTAACAAGGTGATAATACGGTGATGTGATTACTTTGTGATAAACTTCTGGTGACGGATATTATAAATATATTAAAAGTTAAAGGAAGTTGCAAACTGCTGTGTTGTTGTCGGGATCTAGGATAATTTTTATGATAGCTTGATGGTGGAGTTCTTTATCATAGTATCTAATTAAGCTATCACTTGATTTATATATTATACTTATTGTCCACTACAGTTAATATAAATATACTGGCGTTCAAATCTCTTTCCATTGTATAATAAAGCTTGATTGGCTCTTACTTGGTACATATAACTGCTAGGTCTAAAAATTCTTAAATAAATCTATGAGTACTGCGTAGAGCATATTTCGGTTTATTCATTTACGCATTACATATTCTATTACATTAGAATGGATGTTAAAGCTTTTGATAATTTTAGAAGATCTTATAAGCAGAAATTTGCTGTAAGCTGCCATCGTACTTCTATGTTCGTGCCTTAATTAGTAAAGTAACTTCTTGAGTGCTAACTTTATTTATCGTATACGAATACATATATATTAACTCTATATTCTAAGAGTTTATATATACCGTTTGTTTATTTTAAGTATCAAACAGGAAACGAAATATTCTATTTTAATCACAGATCCTTACATTTCATGATGTATTAATTTACCTATCCTACATTTACGATACGAATTAATGAATAGTACTATAGAATTTCTGTAAATATCATTTATTGCACTCGTACAAAAGAACGAATTAGAAAATAACTAATCCTGACTAAAATTCTAATCCTAAGGGCAATTAGTGCGAAGTCATACAAGAACAAGTCGTGTTAATTATCCAAACGTTGCAACACCTTCATATACAAACATAATATAACATATACCCGATAGGTATCTTCTAAATTATCAATAATTATGTCGATACCGGAGTCCATTTGATAGTTTTACGCATCCTTAAAATTATAGGTAACAAAATCAGAACTACTACGACAATAGCAAAAAGCGTTGAAAATAAGACAATATATGTGGACATTAATTTTTTAGGTCGATTCATTGAGGTACTGTTGGATTTATAGCTTACAGTGCCAATGACGATATGATGAGGTCGTTGAATGTTAGTACAACCTTGACATCGTGTCAAATTGGATTCTGACTGATGGCAAACGTGAGCAAAACAATGGAGGAAAGTGGTTACTGAATGATTAAAAACAAAACTACCGGCTAAAAGACTAAACCGGGCACTTCCTGGAGGTGATGGAATAGCTTTAAAAGACGAATCTATGATACACCTATAATTTTTGGAAGATAAGTTAAAAAAACATAGATAATCTTACCTATAAGCTTATCTAATCTTGAATACCGGTATATTACATTTAGCCATTGTACTACTGTGTTCACGGAAAATATAATTAAGCAATGCTCTACCATCTGATCATCATATAAAGATTTAACAAAATTCTATAAGAAGTTATCCATTCTGTTGGTAAATAAGCAGTATACAACTTTTAAGCTCCAGTTTTGAAGTTGATATGGCTATCTTTAGCTACTGTGAGTTTATATATATGTCTAAAAGCAATGAAGCTGACTATAGTACAATAACGAAATTTATAGGAGAGCTATTTTCGTATTACGAATTTAACAGGCAAATATAGCAAGTAGTGACCATAGAACAATCATTACCTGCTGAGTATAATCTTAAAAAATAGATTAAAATAGTAATAAGTGTTGCAGAATGATATTTAGGAATTAGTACTGACTAATACTACACGTATTACAATAATTGGATTTAATAGAGTTATGTTATCATCCAGTATACAATTTATATGATAACCTTAGTAAATTTCTATTCTGATGTAAATGATTAATGTAAAACTCATGAATAGCTATTATAATCTTGTGTTTATAATTTCATGACTACTATGATCAATTTGTCATTATACATCTATATATACTAAATACTAAGAATAGATTTATAGATTCTGTCGAGCAAACATGAATTACAGAATTTATTGTTAGCTTCTAAATGTTATCGCTTACAGGGTACACTTACCGTTGGCTTATAATTACGTGTTTCTTAGACTGGTGATTGGAATAGCATGTATCAATTATTAATACTAATAGCGGATCAGCTGGCTTAACATTGATCTCAAAAAATATTTCTTCGTTCGGTTCAACATAAATTGCTCCTGAACGATTGGTTCGTACTTGTTGGTAACTTTGATTCGTATAAAGTAACATATCGTATTGAAAACTACTAGTTTTTGGCTGTGGTTGCCTCGTTAGTTGTTCTATTGTTAGGCCCTGATCTATTTTAGAGTGATTTTTTTTCGCATTCAATACTGCATTAATGTAAGCAGTACGTTTATAACTGCAGGAAAACATTAGTCGATGTTGCTGCTCCCTTAGAATAACCCCACCTTTATTCTGCATATTATTGATAGCAGTTATGGTATTGCCATAAATTATAGAACGAGGGTTAAATTGAATGTCGTTTCCGCAGCTATTAAAGGGTATCTTAATGTGAGTTAGAGTTGAATTCGTTTTATACTGACACAGCCCTAAATTTATCGTAGCTGGATAAGGTTGTGCTAGTGATGTTGCAATAGATTGGTGAATATTAACTTGTATTGAATCTGGTAGACAAGAAATGGAGATTTGATCGCCTAGAGTAATCATAGAATAGTAAGAATTAATTATGCATTTGTTAATGACTATTATTTTTTACACTTACTCAGATGTATTACTAATAGCTGACTCGTAATGATTAATATATTAATGAATTATTAATGAGACTGAATTGGCATATCTCATTTCATTTCACCAAGATATTGTCGAAAACGATAAATCACATAATAGATCAACTAATTGATAAATAATTAAACTATTGCCTGATCTATTTTATACTTATTAGGATATTAAGGAAACGCTAATCATGCGATCGTTGATGACCAGTATTTAATAAATCTGAAGTCTTCAATTTCTTACCAAGACATGACCAATTTTGCACAATAACCGTAACCTGTAATGGGAAGGATACTTTTTCATAACTTGAAACATTAGACCGGTGTTCCTGATATCTATCACTAAGATGCTGCCTGATAATGCGAGGCTGGATCATAACAGCAAATTGATAAGAACCAGAACGAAAAGGCCTGAAATCTAATGTACAACTGGTTGAATCAAGGTGAGACTGAGGTAAAGGACCGCATATGCCTCCACACTCATTAATATCAAATTGTAAATATTGAGATGCCCATTGACAGCTTGTAACTAATCCAGCTTGAAATAATGTTAAGTTAGCATAACAATCATTAGCTATATGATAGACTAATGTCGGCTTAAAGGTTGAATTAGGAACATACAGATTGAATAAATGTGGAATGGTAGAAGTTAAGAATAATTTTCGTTTATCTCCTTGATGATTTACACTTTGATCCCAGCAACAAGACGTAGCCAATAGTCTGTAATTAGCGATTTTCGGGAATTGCGTTAACAGATTATACTGTAGAGAACAGAGTTGATTTTGATCGATTTCGCTAGTGCTATTTATAACCCTGATCAGAATATTGCTTTCTATTCTTGTTGTATTTAAATGATAAAAATAGAACGTAAATAAGTTCATGATATTGATATTGCTGCAATACATTAAGGACTGTGCTCGAATCACAAATTGCAGTTTCCATTCAACCTAGCAAAATAGGAGGAATTTTTGATTAGTTCGATTAATTATATCTCATTAATATACGAGGGTTAAATTTTGTCGTGAAAATTGCATTATTAGATACGGTAGTTCTATACATATTTTATCTTAACGATAACGATTATAAAAATAGGCAATAAAAGATCGAATTCTTGAAAAAATTTGATAACTCTTTAGAAATTTTAAAATTTTCATACTAAATTCTAATTTTTTATACCGAGGCTGTTTATAACAGCGCTTTCAATTTAAAAATTAAATTGACAAGAATAAATATCGACTGTTATAATTAACAGTAAAATTAATCTAAAGCACTTTAGACCATTAGCGTCTGTTCAAGAACGTCATTGAAAATTCATGCAACAATCATAACATAGATATTAAACTAACAATATTCTAAAGACTTTCTCGTCCTTACACTAGGCATTTGGATCGTCAAATAGATAGCTTCCAATTACAATTACCACTCAGTGCTAATTAAAGCAACAATGTACTAATTTAATTAGATATCAGTATATTTTGTAAGCATTTCTTTCCTTACGCTTGTTGGTTGAGTCTGAATCCAAGTTAAATGAGCTCCTAAAAATTTTGCACTGCTGGTCTGTTCGGCTGTTATTTCAATAGCCAAGAATGTAAGCAGAACGTATATCGGTAAGATTAATCTTTGGCGGATCATACCATTCATTTGAAAATTAATTCAATTATTACATATAGAATTACGAATTTAGCAAGCTCCAAGTTCATTTGCGATGATACTTTGACGTAAGGAATCAAACCATCAAAATCAAAACAATTTAGAATCTTTCACACTTGATAGAAAACAGCTGATGTAACACATTGCAAGAAATAAAAATTAACATAGTTTCGTCGCTTACTATAATTCTATCAATAAGAATATTATAATGGTATGCTAATTAAATACAGAAAGTGAGATACTTGAATATTTACCTAATATATTTAATTAGTAAACACGATAGTATTACATACAATAGATGCATTACCAAGGCTGCAAATAAATATTCATCAAAAAGATTGATATAGTCATAAACTAATGCCAGTAATATTGTCCTTTGAACCTTAGTTATTATGGATTCAGCAATTAGATCATTAGCGATTCACTTTTCGGGAATATGATAAATATGAGGCAGTCTAAGTTATCTTTTATCAAATCTAAGAATTGAATATGAGCACAATTAATAAATGTAGCAACTAACCTTGTTATCAAATGGAATCACATTCCAAGGAATTAAGCAGTCACCCTAATCTTTCGTCGGTGTACATGCATAAATAGCTCGATTCGATAATGCGTTAAAGTTCATTTACTGACTTACATGACTAGGAATTAAGTAAAAGGTATTATAGTCTACACGCTTGTATGTTAGGAAACAGAAAGTTACATAGAATTAAGTACGAAGTTTCCAGATGGTCCGGAAAATTACTTTCCGAGTCGTAGGGTTGACGTATACTTTGAATGATGTTAGAATTAGAAACACTTCTATTATATCGATTTTGTTGTTTCTAAGATCGTGCATGGAGAATTAGATAAATTTATAAAATTATGCCATCTTGGAGTAAAAATGGCGAGAAGCAGACTAATTCGTAAGGTGTTAACTGCATGTGTTAATATCAAGCCGTAGACGTAGGTGACAATAATAAGGTAATAACAAACTTGTTTACTCTTCTTTGGGCCCAAAGTCCACATAGGCGTCGACATCAATCATTCATTTGCCCTAAAGGCGTAATAAAAATTGCAAGAAATTATTTTTGAACTGTTTCTCTCACAGTTCAATAATAACAGAGAGAACATCCGCTTAAACTATCGGCTTCGAGCCGAGTAGTAATTTGTATCATCATTTAGTCAATTCTTTCGTGAAGAGCTCTTCTGGTATGAATATTGATCATTCAGTCTGTTCTACTAGAAGAAAAGAACTTACACCTTCATTTTGACTAAGCTTTAGTGCTTTTGAGAAGAATATTGATTAGATTACACGTGTAGCGTATTCGTTGGCACAATCATCGGTTAACTTTGGTATGTACATGATATCTTGTTGATTATCAAATACTTAAACTGATCTATTTGAGGCAATTTTTGATACGTAGCTGCATTATTCTCAAAATATATTTCCTAGATGTGAAATAATTCCGTAAGTTACCTCCTGGAGTTATTTAATAAAAAAGTCATCAAATAACAGCAATTTCAGGAATTTATAAACTAGAATTTGCTCAATTTCATTCTTCCAAAGCAAAGCAGAATGAAATATTTGTGGTCTATCTTTGTCATATTAGCATTGTCAGTCACAGATGCGTCTGCTATTTATAATTATGACCATATTCCAAGGCGAAAAAGTCGACAAATTGAAGCTATAGACTGCTACGATAGTTCTAATCGAGGAATTCATTATCATGGTTTTATTAATACTACTAAATGGGGTATAACATGTAAGCCGTGGATGGAGTATCAGATCCGAAATGCAAAACGACATGGTAATTACTGTCGCAATCCAACGGGTAAAATTGAAGGACCTTGGTGCTTTACCGATGATAGCTATAAAAATTGGCAATATTGTGACGTACCGCGGTGTCAAAGTAAGCTAACTAAAAATTAAGCAGTTGTAATATAGTTTAGGTATAAATTTATATGGTTCTTGGGGGTAGCTATTAAAATCATAAAATGATATAGTATAAACTGTTCGAAATTGTTTCATTTAATCTACTCATGTAGTTAACGCTTTAGCAGCTCAACTAAAAAACTTTAAATTTGAATTAGTAGAATAACTTGTAGTATATGATGCTGGCGTGGATGTTTATTTATCGATCTACATTAATTAATGAAGAATTCCTTAATTTTATGGGCCTGAAATCCAGAATATAGTGCAACTTGCTCCTCTATCTAGAAACATCAAGTGAACTAATGTATAAGGTGTTATATAAATTCTACCAAGCCATTACCTTATTAATTAATATGATGGAACGAATAATAAGCATTACTTGACATAACTGACTGACGACAAACCTAATACTGTATGTTTTATTTGTACTAGTCGTAATTCCATCCTGTAAGTATTGTACTTGTAGGATAAAAGCAGACTCAGGCTTTTTTCTTCGTCTTCGTTAACTTTTACTTTTCAACGGTTTGCCAATCCTACAAGTATTTTCAAGTATCTTTAAAGCATACAGATTATAAAGTTAGATTAATTACATATTAAAGGTTTACATCTATCTCAGTTGCAATCCAAATAACTTAACTGTATGATATAAAGGCGATAAAAACACGCTTTTATTTCACTTGAGTCGTTTTAAATAGTTCAACATATTTTATATTCTGGAAATAGTTATTTCTACAAACGAAGCTTACTTACTTTCTAAACGGGTTAAAGTTAACTTATTTGTTACATTGTATGATCTACTTCCTATATACTTGAATACATTCTTTTTCCAAACTTAGTTGCAGATTTAAAGAGTAAAGCAATTAAATTAAATTAAATTAAAAGAGGAATACAAATTGTAAAATAAGCTAGCTACAAATAATATGTATAATCTATTTCCTATCCGCACCTTTAACAGTATGATATAAAGATCATAAATATACAATTTTGATTGGGTACTTTAATAATAGCATATATTTTATATCCTAGAAATACACATTTCTATAAACAAAGCATATTTTACTTTCAAAACGGTTAAAATTAATTTATTAGTTACGTAGCATGATCTATTTCCTACATATACCTTCTTTTTCTAAATTTGGTTACAGATTTAAAGAGTAAAGCAATTAAATTAAAAGAGATGGATAATTCTTGTTCTTATCATAACGGTGGATGCAGCCATACCTGCCTTGATCGCTTAGATGGGCATCAATGCACATGTCCACAAGATATGATCCTGGCTCAAGATGAACTTAACTGTATCAATCCCAGTGCAAGATTACCTGGAAATTGTTATAATAATAATGGCGGATGTAGTCATCATTGCATAGTAGATCAAAAAAATTATCATTATTGCACCTGTCCTAAGGGCTATAAATTATTATCGAATCAACAAGGTTGTAAATTCGAATGGAATGCCATATCCAATTCGGTGAAAAATTCTGCAAAAAAAGATGACTGCCGATATCGTAATGGTGATTGCAGCCATATTTGCATCCAAATTGCAAATCAACGACATTATTGTCGTTGTAGGAAAGGATTTAAACTGGATATTGACGGTAAAAGCTGTCTATCAGAATCTATTTCTACAAATCAGGCAGTAGAGCGTCCTTATCATGGATGTCAACATCGAAATGGTGGCTGCCAACATTTCTGTATTGATTTAAGCCGATCCCATATATGTTCATGTCGTCATGGCTATTTATTAGATGTTGATCAAAAAAGTTGTAAACTCAATATTGAAGTGCTACCATTAGATCAAGGTAAACCATCAGTAATACTACCATCGTTATCGTCTGACTATCCCAATGAATTCATTCATGGAGCGAAACATTACGGAAGTTGTTCTCAAAGCAATCATAGCTGTCAGCATATATGCGTTGACATCGATTCAACAAATTATTACTGCCGTTGCTTATTAGGCTATCAGCTCATGCAAAATGGCTACAATTGTCGAAAAAGTAATTTAAATAACGAATTATCGATTTTGGATGGATCTTGCCGTCAAAGTAATGGCTATTGCCAACATCTATGTGTTGATATTAGTGATGAAGGCCACTATTGCTTATGCAGAAAAGGTTATAGCTTAAACCAAGATCGTCGTACATGCAGCCAAAGGAATGATTATAACTCTAATTTAAAACGATTATTACGAGGACCATGCTATAATATTGGTAGTAGCTGTAGCCATTTTTGCCATACTGTTCGAAATTATCATTATTGTTCTTGTCCACTCGGATACGATTTAATGCCTGATAACACAACTTGCGATGTAAATGAATGTAGCAGTTCTCATCACCATAATTGCAGTCATATTTGTATTAACACTCTTGGTTCTTATCGCTGCCAATGTCCATATGGATTTCAATTGAATCCTGATGGACTCACGTGTCAGTCGATCGGTGGGTAATTAAAATAGTTTAAACATCATGTTAACTTTCACGACTTGAAGTTAAAAGGTTAAATCAATATGCACTCATATTTAGGTCAAGAAAATGCCGTCGTGGTATTGTGCAAAACGGATCGGATACAAATATTTATTAAGCGACAATTCATACCTAATGAAGTAAATCCTTCTAAACTGAGATTGATCGATCCTAAATGCCAACCAAGATTGAATCGGAGTTATATTGCCTTTTCTACATCTTTGCAGCAATGTGGCCATAAAGTGACAGAATCATCCGATAAAATTATCTATCATAATACTATACAGCAATGGAATGATCGAAAGGGGATTATTGCTCGTGGTCAAGGATTTCAAATACAATTGCAATGCAGCTATAATAAACGTGCTAGGTTAGCTAATATTGCTATCGAGCCGGGCTTAACGATTAAAACAATCCAAATCGGCCAAGGACGAGGCAATTTAACCTTTAAAATGGACATTTTCAATACAACAGATTACCAAAATCCAATTAATTCATCAGCGCCTATTGTTGTGGAATTACAGCAAGTTTTATATTTTGAAATTAAGATTATTCCACCGCAAAAAAATCTAATACTCTTTGTAGAACAATGCTTTGCAACGCCTGAGCCGACACTAAATCAGTCGATTCGATATAATATTATTCAAAATGGGTATGCAGTTTATAGACTTATGTCTAATTAATTTATAATATTCATTTACGGTATAAAGCAATTGAAATTTCTGAATATATGGACAATAGCAATTTTTATCTAATTTCGCTACCTCTAGTATAGATCTGTATAGTGTAGTGCTGTGCATAAAGTATCAGCATCAACTTTGAAAGATTTTTCTGCCTAACTTCAATTCAGAATAGATTCCTCCTATAGTTTGCTATGCTTGTTCCGCATTTTCATACGCAGTGTCAGCTTATGGATAGTATTATTAGGAGCTTGCAAGCATCTACATAAATTATGATTACGCCAATAGCATACTTTACGATTTCTTTCTGCTAACTAGCATATTATCTGACTGTTTATACGAGTATGATTTGATGTAGCAAATAAAACGGGCACTATTGCCTGTTTATGGATATTATTATCGTAATAAAGTCGGTGAGTATTCAGATTTTTACCTTGCTTCCTTGCTAATTTATGATCATATTGTTCAATCGTGAGGAAAATTTTTTTATTTCTACTTGCTAAAACACAATCCTTTAATAGTTCATTGTGAAGTACCTGTATACGTAAATGTAATTGGAGACTTCTAAGAGGAAATCTTAAAATTTTCTGATACATTTTAACCTATCGCGTGCTCAAAAATGTTGATGGATAAACTTTACAAATTGATATAGATGATTCTACTGATTATCTTGAAGATTTCCTTTCATAGATTCTACCGTAGTACGCTTATCTAGTATAGGTATTTATTAGAATGTTTATCTGATCATATTACTTTTTAACTCCTGACTACTTGTAGATGTGATATTGATACTACTATTCAACACTACGAATCACCATCTCCTTCTACCGCAAGATTTAGTCTTTATCCATTTCAGTTCATTGGTAATTACCGATTTGTCTTTTTCCACTGCCAAATTCTCTTATGCCATCGATTTTCATCCCAATCAAGATGCTCACGTGGTTGTGTTATGGATCGGAGTAGCATTAGTAACAGAACAAAGAGAGATTTTAATTCAGATGTTTCCAAATCATTTCATGTCTTACAAGGTCCTTTCATACTGATCAACCCTCGTCAATCGAAATCATTACAAGCTAGAGGTAAATAAAGTAATTAGATGCACTTTACGCCGCCTACTTAAATAAATACTACAATTTTATATCACTAAATAATAAAGTATAACTTAGAGCTATGTAAAGTTATTTCATGCATGTATCATGATTATGCCATTAGTACTGCCGTATCCAAGGCATTCGTAGTAGTAACATGGCACAGCTAGTAATAGAGCATAAAATTGATACCTAGTGGAATCATTGTAGATTTAAGATGTTGTGTTATCCTATTCTATTAATATTCTAAATATGAGCTACGTTATCATTTCTTTAATTTTACGCATTATAATTATCTGGCATGAATAACAAATACTTATATGATCATCATTGATTATAGTACGTGTAAGTATAATTGTAATGTTATCATGTATTTGTCTAGCTAACCATCTGCAATATTATGAATATCTTTTATAGAAATCAAAAATCAACATACTAATAACAAAACAAATCATGACAGACCTCATAAATCTGGCATTCAACAAAGCAACAAGAAACCATTTCCAGTTACTGGCATCGATGATGATTGCTATCGTTACTGGATAGTAGCTACTACTTCAGTTTGTTTTGCATTCTCCTGCATAATATTTTGTGTGGTACTGCTAGTTACTAAGGGATGTTCTAGTCGTTATTTTATTCCATCTTATTAAAACCGATTTCATTGATCATTTCAATTAGCAGCTGCAATCATGTAGACTCTATTGCTGCAATAGAAAACTGATATATAGCTTAATAAAATTTATTCTAATATCGGTATCAATTCGAAATTAATTTTGGCTATGCATTAAAAACAAGATTACCATTTTTTCATCGGATTATTCCAATAATGAATGTATTGCAAAATATTTGAAATATGAAGATTTAAATATTTAATAGTTGAGCTCAGAAATATCGATTTTATATATGTTTCCCTTTATTTTGAAACGTAAAGATTGATTATAGATTAAGATAAAAATTACGAAACGAATTAATAAACAAAACTTAGTGATAATAAGAATCAATTTAGGTTTAATAATCTAGTAACCTATTGTTATTTTTACTATGACTGGAACTAAAATGAAAGGGTGATTCCATGTCATGGAAATAAGGCCAAAAACATGTATATTGATTTAAATCCGGATTTTGCATGTAAAATTATTCTATTAAAGGCAAATCTTTATGATCGATTTCCTTACTACTTAATCAACTTTATTCAGATAGTTTACTTTAAGGTTTGCTCGATTTACCCGAATTACTACAATAACTGAATAGCGTTTACATAATAACAATTTCAGCTATCCTTTTGTAACATCGGCATTTTCTTTTGCTATGCTTGATTCTGTGATTTTTGCGTGCATAGTAGCTGTCATGGAGCAATAACTTATCTTAGTATGCTTTATCAACAATGAACTCGAGTTATGGCTTCAAAGAAAGGAGATCAAGTCACTTTAAGGATAATTAATAGAAACAAATTATTATATTAAATATAATAATTACTAACAAGATGTAGCTAACTCATAAAACGTACAAAATATGTCCTAAGGTTCTTGAAGTACTGTGTTTATTTCTTGGCTTGTTGGATTTCTTTTAACCAGCTATTAGTAATATAAGAAGTAGTATATCAGTAATACTAATTGCAAGTATAATTTAGTCTATTGATAATGTAGCTGTTAGACGCACTCTTCCTTAGCACTTTTTGACTCAGTCTCCAAATTGTAAGCCAGCTGTGGAGATGCCCTAGTGTTTACTATAACGAGCGTTCTTTTCTCTAAAACAATATCTCAGTTAGTTATTCCTCCAATAAACAAGTATTTCATATCTGAAAACAGCTTCAGGCAAAGATTTATCTTCTATTATAATATTAATGTTTCATATAATATATATTTCATTGTAATTAAAATTATACAATCATTTGACTAACTCTCTTATTTTATGATATATCTCTGGTTAATTTCATACTATTCTGCAACATTATATCCATTAATTATGAGTATATGCTTCTCAAACAATGTGCTTCATTAAATGTTCTAAAACTCCCGTAATTATCGTGCTTTTGGAAAATGAAATAACTAATTCATAAGATGTCCTTATATAAAATATCTCGCTCTATTGGCAAAGCATTGATAGACTTAGATATATCTAACCTGTTTTACTGGCATGTGCATTAATATCGACAAGCGGTATAATGGGAATTTGTAGACTCGATTGCTTTCGCTATAAGTAGTTCCATAATTTATTGTTTTTATCATAGAAATCGAATTAGTGCGTATTAAAAAATATTATAATATCGTTATTTAATAAAATTAATTAAAAACCTTTTGTTTCGTTGAATGGGGCTCAATTTCAGCCATATTTCCACATTTTAAATAATATTTATTGTCCTTAATTTCAAGAAGTACGATGTACTCTTCTAGAAGTAGCAGCTTCAAGTCTGCCATAGTTGTTAATGGTCATCGTTAGAGCAGATGTATAACTCCAATTTATGTAGTTGCAATAGTATCTTGGAAATAAAAACTCGCTATCTTGATGGCTCAGTTAACTTACGAATTTCTTCACCCTCTGGAGATTTAAACTTCACGTCATTAGAATGCAGTAACCGCTGTTTCATAAAGTCAATTGCCTAATAAATCGCAATATTAAATCTACATAAGATCTGAGATTGTAAGCCTATATTACCAAGACAATTTGATAACCAAAAACAGTAAATCAAACAAATGGCATATAAAAATACTTTATATTCCATTAATTGTGGGTCATTAGATTGATCAATTGCTGATCGGTCCATATTATTAACAATGGAAATCAAAGTTTGATAGTTTTCTGCTTCCCGTATGCCGGAGTTTACAAACATAGATACTTCCTAAAAGGTGTAATAATTTTGAATAAGCAGTTTGGAATAGTTTTTCACTTGTAAACTAATACACTGGAATTAAGCTGCATTCTTGTAGCTCATTCTTAATATCTTACTGTCTACCTTAGAACATCCAAGAGCTTTGACCACACCTTCAAAATCTGGATCGTCGACTGTATTAATTGAGATGATGAAAAAGAATATATTTGATTTAAAAATTGTAACAAAGATAATTAATAATGCTTTCTTTATATTATTATCCTTAACGATTTCTAATAAAGATGAAAAAATCTTCTTACCTTGTGTGTACTTTGCGATTTGATCTAATAGCAGGGGATATCTCATTAGTCGTCGACACCCGGATGAAATTAAATCCTGAAAACTAGTGTGTTTGCAGAGTGGATGGCTCTCACATTCCTGATACAGATACAGTAAATTGAAGAGTGTTATTATTTGAATAGGATGAAGAAATCCAAAGATGTGATTTCATAACGGATAGATATATACCCTGATAAATTTCTCTATCTTTGAATCCTTTAATTTTTCCTAATATGAAAGTTAAAAGCAAGATTTTTACGCATAAATTCGCATAAAAGTACTGTTCGATTTATATTTATGTAGCATTATGCGATATTCCCTAAAATAATAATTACAATTTTTGTACTAATCTTAAAATATCTTTAATATGATACAGATGTCTGATAATCGATCAAAAAGTAAATATTTGTAAAACTTAAACTCTTCGTATGATGGCATGTTATTTGGATAGATCAGGAAAGCAAAGCTTGCAAATAACTGTGACGTTATAGGTTTGTATCTATTCCAATGATCTATTTCTGATTACTAATGGTACCTTAAATATTGCCAATGTCAGAGATTGATTGCTATAGCACACAACATAGGCTTCTTTAAGTTCATAACCTGGCTTACCACTGAACTGTTGCAATCGATTGATTGCCGTAAAATAAATTATGCAATATAATAAGCAACAAAGATTCACGTATTTTAAGCTCAATTTTGACGACGATTATACTCTTAATTTATCAGCTAATTTTAGATATCTATATGGTTTAGATACTGTGTTTAGTTGAAGCAACTCTGAAACCTTGTTTATGATAACATCGCCTATAGATTCAACTATTTCAGATTCCGCTTGCCGCTTTTCCATAGCTGCGATGATAGATTCTGCAAACAAAAATACGCAACAGCAAGTTAGGCCAATGAAATAATTACTTTTAGCCGGCAAAACGATGTGCATATTCGAGCTGGATGCTTACTATGTATTTTTATAAGATCCAATAAGTTTGGAAATAGCTCATAGATGAAGTTCATATCGAATAAGCGGCTACGAATAAATGGTTTGTAAAATAGCTGCATGCAAAAAGGTAGTAATAGTCCGGATTAGTGAGTCAATTTCAGATATTTCTGGTAAGGGAGTCACCATAAATATAATCATAATAACTATGTATGAAATTAGCTTAATAATTCGAAATGCCTCGTAAATTACATAGTAAGCGGCTAAACAGTAGCTACTATTTACGTAACTTTACTAGCCTGTTTGCATAATCGAAAGAAAATGTATCTCCAAAACAGAAATAAATCGACTGAAAAGAGATTAACTACCATCTGATTAACACTAAATTATAGCTTTGACTTATAAAATTATAGTTCCTGATAATAGTCAAGGTAATTGTGAAATTCTTTAAGTAAAAAAGGATATTTTGTATTAATGGTATTTAGTAGATACCTTTCTCAAAACCTTGAGGCTCTTCAGATGAAGTTTTTCAGTATGAATTAATTCTATTTAATAAGAGATTAAAGTATTCATCCTGCATAAGAAACTATTGCAACCATTTGAAAACATTATCGTGTTTACATACCGAGTATAACCTTTTGTCTCTTAGTTTCCAGATCGTTATTTATTATTAGCTCTGCCATCTAAATATCACATGTGACAGTAATTTTTAATAAGTACTTAACAAGAATATTCAGATTCCAAGATTGCTGTACCTCTTTACTAACTACGGTTTCCCAATCGGGTACTTCTGCAGGTATTGCTAAGTCAGGATCATCATCCTCTGTTAATAATAAAAAATTAAGCTTTAAATATTCCTTACGTTATCATTAGCTTTATTTTGTAGAGCTGCTGCCTATACTCTTCAGGCCGATCATCTTACCGTCATCTGATAAAGCAAGATCATTTTCGCTATTTTCGGTTGGCATAGGCCTAAGGTAAAAATTTACATTTAACGTATGAATGATACAGTAATGGCTACGTATCACAAATATTTAATTTATGATATTGTATCTGCAAATAACATATATAGAGAAACCACAATAGTGCATTTAAATAGAATATACTCAAGTAGATTTAACTTCCAGTTCTACATACTTGTTATTTTAAAATGATCGTAAATTAAATCGTAATAAATTTTAACATTAATTATTATAATCTATTAATTGTAGGGATCTGTATTAAAATTAAAAATAAAGATATTACTAAATTAAAAATGCACCCTATAACTTATAATGTATAGTAATACAGTACAATTAGCTAGCATATTCCAAACTTATATTAACCCTAAATAAATTCTATTATCATATATCAATTTAAATTACTTATAGCTCAAAGTTGCTACTGTACTAGGTATCGCAGTGTTATTAAACTATTTAAAACTGCACCGTTGTTTCATGCATAAAAAGTAAACAGAAAAAATTTATATATTTTGTAAATACCTTGTTCGAAGATTAGCTGTAATCTAAAATTATTAAAGAATGGCATAAGACTAACATTAATCCAGGCTTGAAATGCAATATTTTAATCTAGGTAACTGTATATTTGTTTATAATACTCCATAGCATCACCTTTCTTATTCTTGCTTCATCTTCAGTGACTAGATTTAAAAGTAGCAGTTTTTATGTAAGTATTATTATGATAAGTATAAGAAGCAGAAATTTATTATTGTAAAAAAGATTATATTACTGTAAGGAGTAACAAAGTAATTTTTACTAACTTGTGCCAGTAGCATCAGTATTCTGATTTCTGAATTGTAATTTTTTCCTAGCTACTTGAGAGATAGCTAATTCTTCCTGTCGACGGCTTTCAAAATTTCGAGCTAAATTAAAATAGAGAAGAATTCGGTGAAATTAGCTAATTAAATAAGTATTAAAAAATACTTTTCATTTTGCTACCATGGGCAAGATTATACCGATAAATAGGTATATATGTTATATATATACTGTCACCGTAAAGATAAATATGACTATTCATTAATGTTTGCTCTACAAACATTCAGAATGTTGCTAAATAGAATTTCCGGAATTTATATCTTGTTAAGTATTGTAGCAGGATTTATAACATGTTCTTAAACCATGTAGAATGAGAATTTATGACTAAACGAAATCATCAATTTCAGATAAAGGAATAGATAGTCTGATCGTCAATAAACGAGGCTCATCAGCTAAGATACAGGGTGAGGATTTTACTTTCCAATAATTATGATCGGTTTATCTATTTTATGCATATCATATTTTCTAATTGATGCCTACTAAATTCAGCTACCCATCAATCTCATTGATTAAAATAAAATATTGATTACTAGCATTGCGGTTAGATTACATGTAACTTAATGAATGGAGGAATGGCTTTCATGTTAAACTAGATTATAGAAGGGGTAGTGCATTCCAACCTATTGAAGCACAGATTACAGCAATCTGAGGTATTTAAGAAGCTGATATGAATTTATGAGAGAAATCTACATTAAATATACCATCGCTGCTTTGTTTATCCGCAGTATTGCCGCTGAAATTCCACCATGATGTGCGCTTGTTACTGGCAGTTTTTATGGGCTTTCGCGCGCTACTACCTTGGCAACTGTACAAAAGGCTCTTGGCACAAGCAGATATATGGACATTGAAGCCACATGCTGATAAATGAAGAATAAGAATAAGGTTGAAAACCAGTAACAGTTTTATTCTATTTGATTGATGTTGTATAAATAGAAAGGAAATTTGGCAATCTTTTAATATTAAATCAATTAAATTTGTATAATTATCACACATACGAGTTACTTTTGAATGTAATATGCTACCATAAAAATTGATATTATTAAGGTAAGATTTTTAACTCTTATTAGGCCGTTTTTTAACCTTGACAATGATAGGCGTTCTTTCCGATACCCCATATAACGCGGTTACATTGGCCACAATATTTTATTGTGGTAAAGGCTTGCGGCTGAAAACGGTGTCCTTTAATAAAGCATTCCTATGAATCGAAGTTGGACAATAGTCACCGCTAGTGATTTCATATATCTGTATGTTATAGATTTACCTAAGGTATTTATATAATATCATAAACTGATAAATGAGTTTTTGTTTCTACTTCATGTAATATCAATTTTGGAATATCATATACCCAGTGATATATTAATTGCCAATTACAGCACGCTATCTAACAATCATAAATAAACATAATATGTACAATTATTATCAAACTTACTTCATTTGGTCCAGTTCCTGATCTATCTTTTTGAAGGAATGCAGGACATCTTCCTAAGGCACTATTAGCAGACTTGAAAATATCCGGTAAAATACTAAGTAATGATGGATTGATTTTGGATAATGATATTTACAGTATGCTGTGGTTGATAATGTGATTCTTTGATGTAATCTTATAGCGCAAGATGTAAAGTATGATTAGTGGATGAGATGTCACTTGTTTTTATACACTATCGGCTATAAATATTATTACGGAACGTTAAGAATAATCGACTCATGACTGCCTACACAGTGATCGGCTTGATAAAGTATTAAATCTTAAACTAAACAAGTAGGTAAACAGTAACCCACTTGTCAAGTTAATTATATTTTATCTAGATCATTATAGCCAGCAAAGACTTTCATGAAATTGAGATAGTTGTTTCAAAAATATAAGCTTACTGCTGGTTCATAGTCAAGAAATCTCAAGAAAGTGGCAATAGAGGATGCAATGACAGACCTGTTTTATCGTATGGTACAAAAGAAGAAATATAACAGTCAATGTAATATTGAGTTCTGTAGTAATAGGATATTTTCTCCATTAATAATTCAATGGTATTAAATAAATAGTTTGATGTATTAATTTTTAATATATACTTCCTTTACAATAGCAAGATTATCTATTTATTATTAATCAAATTCATATTATGACTTCATATAACTTACTGCACATCCAAAGTTGATTGAGAAACCTGTCTAAAGGCTTCAATATCTTCCCTAAGATTAAATGATACAAGTTGCATTGAATATTAAAATTGATTTAATGCATCTATCATGTTGATTAGGAGGTGAAAATATCATACATTAAGCGATTTAGTTGCGGCGTTAGAATGCCTTCAGCTGCTTTTATATCATCTGATTTGCTTTTATCAACTTCATTAGATCCATAAATTAATTAATAAGGTATAGTTAGAAATTATTTCCTGGATAATCACTTTAAACTTATTCATTATCTCTTAGAAATATATTAGATCTGGCCTGGAAAATTTTATTTCCATTATTACTTAGATTAGGTCTCGTTTTCTTATATTCTGTAAACTTTTCCATAACTACACTCTTAGCAGGTTCCCTACAGATGAAGAAATTGAAGCACGGTTAGAGGAAATTTTATATAAATGGTATTTATATTATAATTTAATTAAGAGCTTAACCGAAAATACTTTTAAACTTAAACCTTACACACGATTATTTTATGTAATTATTAAAACTATTATACCTGGCAGCCAAGAATATGTTGGAAAACACTTGATCATCCCTGATGCTTTCGTTTTGTATTACATTGACTACGAGTATAAGATACGTTACTTTGATCAGTTTTTTATTATTTTTTATAATAGTAACAGTATTTGGTTAATAAAAGATTCCTAATGGCGGAAATATTCTTAGCATTTTATTGGTATGTTAGTTTGCGATATTAAACTAACCAATATTGTATATGATCTGCGGCTCCACCGATATTTCTAAAGGCTAAAATCATATGGTGGCATTTTATTGACAAAGAATCCATAAAAGTAAACATTTTTCTAACATGAAAAGGACGTACTGCGGTAGGAACGAGGAAGGCAGTAGAAATTTCATACAGCCATCTTTTTTTATCCTTCACTTTACCGGGCTTTTGGCGATAAGCTTCACTCATTAACAAGAATAGCTGTAGACAGAAATATGAAAATATTAAGTAATGCTTCAATATCTAATCGGACTTCAGTCCATTATCATATTGAGATTGGCCTACCCAAAGCTATGCATATACTTACCAGTGCGTTTGGTTTTTCATTCGCGATTAAGTACCGTAAGAAAGCAGCTGTCTTTTCTGCAGGAAAAAAAATTAGATTTAAATTCTACTTTCGTGTATACATTACTAGCATATTATAAGAAATATTGACTAACATATCTTGTGCAGCTTATGGGTAATGAATATATCTCAGCTGTAGCTTAAGTTTGTACAGTAACTATCGATATAAATAATTACCTGACTTGGGCTTTAGCAAACTAGAACAATCAATCGTTGTATCATCACGCTCTGCCAATGTTAACGTTACCTGATTTGCCGCTGTGTGAAATATATAATTTTAAGTAGGTTACATGTAGCTAACAATGGTAGAATAATATAATCTATCTAACAAAAATATCTCTATAATTACAGTACTTTCATTATACCTTTCATCATATCAGTAACCGTTTCGTGACTGGCCGCAATCACGAGTTTTCCATCAACCTAGTTGCATCAAATAAAATAAAATTCATTGCACGTCTGTCATATTCAGTAGATTATTGATCACAATTCATAATTTACCAGTACAGTGTTAATGATTTACAGTTAGTTTAAAAATAAATTTAACCAAATATTAATTCTTAAATGTTAATAACAGTCATTTAACGTTATATATCAATGATGTGTAAGATGGTTTAGACATACAGCCATAAGACTTCATAAATTTCAGAATTTTATAAATCCCGAAACGATGATTTAAAATAGTATTTATCACTACACTAAGATTACCTTTATAATCATATCTCCAGCTTTAAGGCCTGCAATATCTGCAGGACATCCTATAAAAAAGTTGGGGCATAGTCAAACATAATCATGGCTACACAATTGCTGCGGACAGATTTCCATAAATTTGATATTTACGAATTATAGGGCAATTATAATGTAAAATAGAGCTGCAACCATCACATTGCTATAGGTTATCTGGTACTGAGTGATATGATTAGCGAATTACTTAATTGGAAAATAGAGCAACTGTTTGATTTTAATAATTAACCAGTGATCATATGAGGTTGCTGTTCCATTGCTAGAGTACAATATGCACAATTTACTAGTATATCACTGTGCTATTTAATAAATATCAGTTTTCTAAAGTCTCGAACATTTTTAAATATGATCATCAAAGACCACTAAATCTTTAAAGTAAATGCATTTCTAATTAACATATCAGATGTACCGAGAAGCTTTCATTTTTACCTTTACGAACTGCTTTAATCGAAACTGGATTATGTCCGGTTATACTAACGCCGTATTTATTGTTTTTATCTCGACAGACAACAATTATTTTCTGCCGTACATCAGAATCATCGTTCCTATATAAATTTAAAATAACAAAAAAGTAAATGAATTCAGATTTGCTTTGGGACTATATATTCTATTACTAATTCCTAATATCTACATACAAAATGCTATTCTATTAAGCTGATCATAACTAAATCAGTAAAAATTGAAAATTTATTATAATCGCTGATTAAAGGAGTAAGCTGTTGTATAACTTCTCATATCTTCGATTGGCAATGTTGTATAAAATTCTCATACCACCTTGTTGGTGGCCTTAATAGAAGCTTTGTGTTTAATAGGTCATAAGTTGATTGATGTAGTTAATATTTATCACAAGCTTATCCGTTTCATCTTTAAATACGTCTTAAGATTCACTAATTAAGCGAACGTTATATGCAGAGTTTAAGAAGAATATTTGATAATAGTTATATCTTGAAGAACGTCATTTTATAACTATCGTACTACTGTTTCAGCTGCAGATGAAAACTACCAGTTATATTATAACGGAAATTCTCTGAAGGCTTCCTCAAAGCTAATAAGACAGATATACATCAATACTGTTAAAAATCTTCTTAGAGATGCCGTAAACAACTGATGGAGAATCAAAATGATCGGTTTAAATATTATTATTGATAATTTGCATCGTTTTCATCTAAAAACTCTAGAACTACTTGCTGCGTCGTATGCTAACCATAACTTAAAACGTGGATTATAAAGAAGACTCAACGTTTATTTCACTAAACGAGTTTTAACTTACTTATTGATGGGTTTGAGCGTATCCATTTCAATCACACACTATGAAAGCAAAAAGGTGAATAATCGATAGTTAAACAAGATATTAGTTTTAATTTTACAAAACTTGATCGTATAGACAGTAACAATTGTATCCAATTTTATGGTAGCTATTGATAGTCCATGGCTAACTGTGTTACATGTTTATAGGATAAATGAGTTAAGTCTAGTTATTGTACTAAAAAGATTGGGGTGTTTAATCGATTATATCCTTATTTACTAAAATTCGACCACATAACAGACCTTAAACCAAAACAGTTTAATTAAACTACTTAACATTGAAGCTTTATCGATACTTTTGCTTACCTAACGATCAGATTGGTCTATAAAATGATTATTGCAACTATTTGAAGTATTGTTCAATTTTGAGATAGGCGTCGACACTCTGCGTGCCAATGCGAAATAAGACTGTATGCTTGCTTTAGCTAACAGAAAAGAAGTGTCTTGAACTTCTAGTTATGCAGTATGGCAGCAAGATTACTCTGGTAGTCAGAGCTACTAATATTTTCCATACATGTGTACCCCAATTCCAAGTTCAAACCATATAGTGCCATACAAACTAATCTATTGTCTCAATTCTCATTTTAAACAAAAGCATAATTTACATCTCTATAATTATAGTAAGTATAGGATTAGATAATGACAAGGAGACAATGATAAGTTACGCTATCAGGACATAATGACGTAGGTAGTCATTAGTATTTTAGTACAGTATCGAATCCCTATCGAATTAGTCAGTCTAGAGCTACATGACTGCGATGCTGATCGGCGGATTCAGATAGTTACGCGTTTTGAGTACGTTGCAGCATCGTTTTAATGAGCAAGGCAATTACTATATTTAATGTAAAGTTTTCATATTATAATAGATTAGCCACTGTTATATTAAAAAACATAGACTATAATTACTGTACGAATATACTGTAGAACGGAATCAGCTATTGAATGATGTACCAAAAATACCATCAGCCTTGGATTGGCAGCATTGTTTGAATGAATAAAGTAATTGCATTCATTTTTTAAAGTCTTTACATTGTAGCAAATTAGCTGCTGTTACATTGGAAATATAGCTTATGAATATAGAAAGGACCAGTTATTAAATTATGCGCACAAAAAGTTACTCACCAGCCTTGGATTGGAAGCATTGTTTCAATGTATAAAGTAATTGCATTATTTTTTAAAGGCCTTTATATTATAACAGATTAGCTGCTGCTATATTAGAAATATATTTTATGAATATAGAACGGGATCGCTTATTAAATTATGCGTTACAAAAACTTATCTAACAGCCTTCAATTGATAGCTTTAATCTGTAATTGACATTATAAATGCAATGAAAGAGCCGCTCTTCTTATATAGGATAGCCGTGAAGAACTCTTATCATTAATTCATAGTAATATACAAGTATCTTGTACTTGTGAAAGAGCTATTGATACAACTTACAAGTCATTAGAATCTGACAACTACGGTAAGTATTATTTTTAGAAGAAAGGAAAGGTTTCTGCTTTTCAAAAGTGTAAAGAGTAGTCAGTGCTGATATCCTGCTATATTAAGTCTACGCTAAGGCTAATCGAATACTCATAGGCTAACTAAACACATAGTAATATCTCTATAGATCATGATGCTTGTTTGCCTGTACGATATGATACATTAACAAGCTCATAATAGCCTGTTATCTAGAGCCAGCTGGTTATCATTAAAAGCTGCATCATACTTCTATCACATATTCACTTATTGCACACTACGTTATAAAGGGCTGCGCTGGAAGACCTCGAAATCTTAGCTCATGCATTACTGAAGGACAAAAATGTTGTCTAGCCTCCACGTTAGTCTATGAAAGTAATGAGCTTGCGAAATAAGTTAGGGCTGTTTGTTGAATTAGGAGCTCTACTTTATTATTTTTGTCATATCAACGCTGATTTGCTCTTACCACAGTTACAAGTTACATTTATGATAATTGGTGCTTTCGACTAGTATATTATCAATTATTGTTTCTTAGTTCTCAAGACTATGTAACGATAACTATACTGTACGCGTGGATACATGGCTAGTGTTAAAGTCAAGACTGTTATGCAAGTTATGCGCTAAATTTTACGACCGTTATAATGAACTATGGTAGTAAATATAGTACAGCTGAATAAGTAATTGCACAATAATTACCTTTGCCTAGTCCATGCTATAGTTATAATTAAGTATGGTAGTGAATGTAGTACAGCTGAACAAGTCATTGCACAATAATTACCTTTGCCTAATCCATGCTATAGATAAGTGTTAGATTACAGGTGGTTCATGGAAAAATGTACGGTATAATGTACTACAGTACTTTATAAGCGTGGAGCTCCTAAATATCATCGTTACACTGGTAAATTTATATGCAAAAAGTACGTTGTATATGCATTCCGAGCAACTAAAAAAAGTAATATTAACAACCTATATCGTTTCATCAATGGCTGAATCAATAATAAAAAGCAATATTTTCGCTTTATGGTAAGGTGCAATGGTAAGCTATGATCCAGGTAGATCTAAGTAGAAGGGTGTTCAAACCCTAATGCTACCTGTACGATAGCATAGATACTGTACATTGTGCAACGCAAGCTTGACCAACGCAACTCTAGCTAATTACAGGTGAAAATTAGTATTTTTTGTTAATAGGTGCGGTCCGTTGTCCAGTTCTATACAGGGTTCTATAAATAAATAATATAATACGAGATAATTGGAGGATTTATTGTCTTCTATACGGTATTATTATACAGTACCACATATAATATGCATATAGGCTAGGTAGTACTGTATTTGCAGGTACAGGATGTAATCATGCGAAAGGCTAGTAGTAAAGTAATTTACCTCAAAATTAAATTTAATTGAACTCGGTACGCTCCATATATTTCAGTGATTGATGCTTCTGCAATGGCTAACTGTCATGGATGAAATGGGTAGTCTACGATGTGAAGCGAGTTGAAGCCATAACTTTCTGACATTCAGCAGATAAGATTGAAATTGTGAAGTAAAAGGAACAAATTATAGCGATGTTGAAGTCAATAACAGTGGCTTGTCTGCTAACCCTGCTGGTGTGTTCGAATTCATTGAAAATTGCAGTTTTGCCAACGCCTGTTGCTAGTCATATTTTATATATGAAAGCTGTTTCAGAAATATTAAAGAAAAATGGGCATCAGGTAATTATCAAGGTTAAAATTTGATGGCAACGTTTAATAGCTTTTTTCTTTAGAGAATATAATGCAAGTACGTATTTTTATCCTCGTATTTCGCTGGCAATTAAATTCACTACAGCTATGAAGGCATTTCAGATGCTTTATCAAGAAATGCTTGCTAAAGCACTGAGAAATTTTAATTAATATAATTGAAAGATCTCATCGTGCTAGCTTTTTCAGGCTTTATAAGTTCTATTTTATTTACTACAAAACTACTTTAAACTTACTTAATAATTGCACACAGGTTAGCATCATCGTAACCGAGGCAGGTGTTCCTATGATTCCCAACATTCATGCTATAACATTCAGAACAATATCACCTTCTGAAAGGGTTCCTGTTGCAAGCAATAAATTCGGCTTACTTGGAATAATCAACCTAATGTCGACGATGTATGCTATGCAAGGGACATTTTGTCGCAGTATGCTACAAAATGATACGATAACTAAACTCATCAAGGAATATGATGTCTTCGTCACTGACTCTATTTACCTTTGTAGCTTTATGCTCCCTCAAATTGTTAACAAACGCAATATCATGATTGGTATACAAGGAACATTATTATCGCCAATTGGATATCCAGCCTATCCTAGTAATCCTGCTTATATACCTCAAATAGGAACGACTTATAGTTCGAAAATGAACTTTTTTCAACGTGTTAAAAACACAGTAGCTGCATGCTTAAAAGAACTCGTAATGTTTAACGTTATGAACTATTTAGCTTACTCTATTAAACAAGAATTCAACATTAGACCCGATTTAGGATTTTATGAATTAATGTTATCGCCAGAAATGACTTTAGTAGCCGGAGATTTCGCTGTAGATTATGCACGACCTATACCGCCAAATATGAAACTAATAGGATCACTATCAAGTGTATCAGCATCTCCAGTACCTGAAGATCTAGAAAACTTTATGGAGAGTTCGAGAGAACGCGGCGTAGTTCTTGTATCAATGGGAACAATCTTTGAATTTCCTGAAAGCAGCATACCGACTCTATTAGCTGGTTTTAAAAGACTTGAACAGAAAGTTCTATGGAAAACTAAATTAAACGTTAAGAATCCTCCAGATAACGTTAAAATAGTAAGATGGATGCCACAAAATGATATTTTGGGTCATCCAAAATTAAGAGCATTTGTAACCCATGGTGGATCAAAAGGTATTTACGAAGCCTCTTATCACGGTGTTCCATTAATTGGTATACCGATACAAACCGAACAGCAATTAAATATAGGAAAGGCAAAGGCTGCAGGAGTAGCGTTAAATCTGGACAAAAATAATCTTACACCTGACGTTATCGTTGAGGCAGTAGTAGAAATTATTAATCCATGGTATGCCATATAATATTCCGCATTATGCATCATCTAATTATTTGTTAAACGTTATTTTACGTATTAATTTATTACGTATGAATAATAGATATACACAGTATTATAATACTTCGTTCATCGTCTTGACCTTAAATAACATTAATGGTATCATTCTTTGCATTACATGAATATGTGTATAATATAATAGGTATAAAGAAAATGCTATCCGAATATCTAAGAGGATGCAATCACGACCCAAACCTCCAAGTGAAGCTTTAGTACAGTGGATTGAATATGTCACTCATAACGATGTTAGCCATTTAAAGCCTGAAGGACTTGATATGCCTTGGTATCAATATTACCTTGTAGACGTCATAGTATCTTCAGTGTTTTGTATATACAGTATATTTAAAATATGTAAGTATTTGCTATATTACCCTTCAACTAGCAATGTAGGTAAAGCCAAATATGATTAATGAAGCTTTTACTACAGGCTCTTTAGGAAGATTATACCTAAGTATGAGAAATTGATTTTAAAATTATAACGCAAGGAAATTTAAATCATTGTTGAAGAATAATGAAGTTTCCTTTACGTATTCATATTCTGTATTAGTAGAAGAAGAAATTATCTATTTTTGTTCTGGATTATTTAATTTTAACAATATTAATGAGATTTATATTTGTATCATGCATACTCTTGTACTACTCGTATATTGAAAGTATCGTCCAATACATTGCATTGAATCATTCGTGGTACCTGCATCACTTATACACTCCCGACTATTAAATTTTTATTGCACTAGCAGTACCTTATTAGAGATATATATTCATTAAGTAATGAGATATAATTATACTTCATGTTTAAGTAACTTTAAATCAATTTATATAATCAAAGCTTATGTCATATTTCCATATATATTATACGGTATAATTGTAATACAAGTTTGTAAAGTATAAAGAGGTAAATTTTAATCATAAGTTGGCTGCTAAGAAAAATCTATTGCATTACTTTATTGTTGCATATTATAATGCTCATATTTGTGTACATAACGGTAGCCAACAAGCTACAATAATATAATTAAGCCTTAGAAGGTGCAGAATAAGAATAAATAAGTCGACGTGACAACTCCTCCATCTCGGCACTTCTCTCATGCTGGTTCACCAATTAATCATCTTGTTGATATAATCAACCCAATTACATAGTTGTTTCCTTACTCTATATAAAATACTATATTGCATTTATGATTGAAACAGTCTGCAAAATATAATAAAATATAAAATGTAATATTATCTCTTAGACGCTATAGCATTTTTGTCAACTTGTTTTCATTGTGCTTTCATGATATACAAATACTTACTCCAATTGGTGCTGTTATAATAGGATTGAAAATAAAATTAAGCATGATTAAGAAAGGTTTGACTATCCTATAATTTCAGTAAAATATATTTAAAAAATTGTCTAATTTATAATATAATTATTGCACTTTATTATGATATAAAGTTTAATTAAAATATTGTTAAGAAATAAGAAGTCTTTGGAAGTTTCGCGTTTTATATTAATAGAAGAAACCATAAGATACAATATTGTTTATTCTGTAATAATTTGATCGATAACTTTTCACATTAGTACATGTTTTGCAAACCGCTATGTTGCTACATATAGCACTGATCATGCTATCAATTTTCGTGAGTAAAGGTATGATTTAAGTCATAATTTGTTGCTCATAAAATTAATATTTTACTTTGAATAAAGAAAAAAATATAGTATTTAGATATTGTGTTGTAATAACTTCAACCTGTTCCATGCATAGGTAATCAATACGGAATTTAGGATAATTGGTGCTCGAAATGATATAACCTTCTGCCCTTTGGGGTTGTAACCCTAACTATGTTTGAGTATAGTGATTATTGTACTATAAATCTACGTTCTATAAGTGCAGTATTTACAGGTTTTGTAATTATATTAGTAAAGAGATTAATTTGTTCCGCTAGAGATGAAAAACAATTCTTTAAATAATTTTTCAATAATCCCTGATTTTGAAATAATGCCTGATGTATTTATATTGTAGAATCAAACTCTTGGAGTATGTTGCTTCGTAAGCAAGATCCCGTTATTTCAGCTTACCGCTGTAGAATGCAAAATACCGATTAACCAATACACTTTAGAATACTATTTGTATTGCTAAAGATTTTTTAACATCATGCTAGCATTTGAATCAAATAAAATCAATTGATGCAAGTAATCCTTTAATAGCTGTAATCAATTGAAAGATTCTCCAGATGGCGTATGTAAGTAAATTATAGATTAAACTTACATTTATATACTGTATTGTGTACAGTGACATTAAACCTGTATCTGGATCCATTGATATACTGTACGGTAGTTACTATCCACTATCTTTTCTAGTTCTCAATTATAGGCTATATAAACTTCAAAATAGAATTTCTTAAATTTTAATGCGATCAATCAAAAATGATGTAGTGCGCTTTGGAAGAGCTCATTTGTTCCTCGATTATGACTTGGTCTAAAGTTTATTGTTGTATATGTATACTATTCTTATAAAAATTTTTTAAATTCGAAGCATATTTTTTGGTCATTTCCAAAGCTGTGATGTAGATTTCTACCCTCGTATGCTGATAATTATATAACTTGACCGTTGATCGTAATAACTATAGTTTTTCTTTAGTATGGAGCTCCGATACACATTTTACTGTACAGTGTACACCCGTATACATTATTGATAATATACTGTATATAATTATAATATGCGTACGTAAGGCTTATATATAGACCGCGATTTAGTGGAAAGATACTGTACTACTATCACAAAGGTTTCTCCTCGATATTGGAAGCATATTTTTAGTCATACGGTCCGACTCCTACTTTTTAAATTTGAAGCATATTTTTAGTCCTTTCCAAAGCTGTGATGTAGATTTCTAAGCTCGTATGCTGATAATTACATAACTTGACCTGTTGATTGTAATAACTATAGCTTTTCTTTAGTATGGAGCTCTGATACACATTTTGCTGTACAGTATACACTATTGATAATATACCGTACTGTATATAATTATAATATGCGTACGTAAGGCATATATAGACCGCGATTTGGTCGAAAGATACTGTACCACTATCACAAAGGTTTCTCCTCGATATTCGAAACATATTTTTAGTCAAATAATTATATAGCTTAACCCGTTGATCATAATAATTATAGCTATTCTTTAGTATGGAGTTACGATACACATTCTACTGTACATGGTTTGGTCGAAAGATACTATATTACTTTGTGAAAGGTTTCTCCTTGATATTCGTAACATATTTTTAGTCATACGGTCCGATTCATACTTCGAGATCTGATGCAGATTTATAGATCGGTACGACGACGTAACTAGTAAAATGATTGAAGCGATCGAACCTATCACAGCGACTGATAGTTTGTATTAGAAGTTTGAAAGAAATAGATTATTGAATACTGCGATAAAAAGTAATAAAAAATATTAAGAGCCAATTGCTCAAGGTTGTACTGATCTGTATGCATGGAATTGGAGCCAAATTTAAAGTATATTTCTTGACAATTGAAAGATATAATTGAAGACAACACTGTAGCCGAACATCTTTCAACCATATTAGAGGGCTCACTACGTCCCTATAACAGTGGTCTATACCCTGATATACGTAGACGTACGTATATAAAATCGAGTATAAATGGACTGTACAGTTTGCATTTATTTAGGTCATGAGTTCAAGAGGCTCACTTATTAAAGGTCAACCCTGCTCGTCCACTAACTTTTTTTAGTTACTTTAGTTATATAATTACTATACAACAAAAATGTGTGGAAAATCATTGGAAAATATCCTGATATTACACTTAGAAATATCAAATGACTTTCCACACACCCTGTACTGGACTTATATTTTGAATTGGCTATACTGTCCTATGTCATTGTAATGACTGACCCACCATTTTGTTGCGTGTGTTGACTGTCAAGTGTCAACGTATTCGCCTTCAGGCGAAAACGTTGACCTGTTATCGCTTGATGACGTGACATGTTGAAATTTTGACAGCACGTTACAGTTTTACAGTGTATAGTACAGTACATTCAGAGTGTACTGTACAGTATTCAGCATGTCTCGTACTGTACAGTACTGTACTGTACTGTACAGTACCGTACAAAACATTTTTCTACAGTACTGTACTGTGCTGAATGTACTGTACGGTACCGTAACGCTTTTTTTAATTTTTGTTTATTTAGACCGTTCATTCAGCTTATTCAATAGAATAGCCTAAAACTTTTTCAATTGCAACATCTTCCTTATTGATATGTGATTTCTAACTAGGCTGTGCAATTCTAAAAAATAACAGCTACAAATACAAAAATGACAACCAGATGGAACACTATTGCAATATTTGGAGTATTAGCTATGCTCCTTTGCTCCAATGTAGGTGCCTTGAAAATCGCCGTATTACCTATGCCTGCCGGAAGTCATATCGTATCTATGAAAACCGTTTCAGAAACACTAATCAAGAAAGGCCATCAGGTAGAAAGAAATGCAATAAGTAATAGTCTGCAGGCCACTTTAAAACTTCCAGATTCGATAGAATTGCCGCATAGGAGTAAAGCATATACTGTACATTAGTGTACAGTATATTTATAAAGAATGAGATTGCGTGCGCGAGATGCGAACTATATGTACTATACAATGATAACAATGTTTATTTTTGGCAATCACATCATTTATATCTACATAGTTGTATATGTTCATTTATTAATTAAATATATATTAATTAATCGTGATATAGGTTAGCATAATCTTATCAGAAGATAAGCTATCGATGGTCGGTAATGTTCCCGCTATTACTTTCGAAACGATGAAATTTGAAGGTCTTCAAGGTGCTACTACAGTAGGAGGCTTATGGAAAATTGTGTCGATAATGCTTTCCCTTCAAGGAACTTTTTGTCGTGATATGCTACGAAACGATACCATTACTACTTTAATCAAAGATTATGATATCATCATCACCGACTCTATTTACATTTGTAGCTTTATGCTCCCTCAAATTGTTAACAAACGCAATATCATGATGGGCATACAAGGAACACTACTATCTCCTATTGGATATCCAGCCTATCCTAGTAATCCTGCTTATATACCTCAATTAGGAACGACTTATAGTTCGAAAATGAACTTTTTTCAACGTGTTAAAAACACAATAGCTGCATGCTTAAAAGAACTCGTAATGTTTAACGTTATGAACTATTTAGCATACTCTATTAAACAAGAATTCAACATTAGACCCGATTTAGGATTTTATGAATTAATGTTATCGCCAGAAATGACTTTAGTAGCCGGAGATTTCGCTGTAGATTATGCACGACCTATACCGCCAAATATGAAACTAATAGGACCACTATCATGTGCACCAGCATCTCCATTACCTGAAGATCTAGAAAACTTTATGGAGAGTTCGGGAGAACACGGTGTAGTTCTTGTGTCTATGGGAACAATTTTTGAATTTCCTGAAAGTCTGATACCGACATTAGTAGCTGGCTTTAAAAGACTTGAACAGAAAATTCTATGGAAAACTAAATTAAACGTTAAGAATCCTCCAGATAACGTCAAAATAGTAAGATGGATGCCACAAAATGATATTTTGGGTCATCCAAAATTAAGAGTATTTATTACTCACGGTGGATCAAAGAGTATTTACGAAGCTTCTTATCACGGTGTTCCATTAATTGGTATACCGATACAAGCCGAACAGCAATTAAATATAGGCAAGGCAAAAGCTGCAGGAGTAGCTATTGGCTTGGAAAGAAATGATCTTACACCTGATATTATCGTTGAGTCAGTAACAGAAATTACTACTAATCCATGGTATGGTATATTAGATTACACATCATATATTTTAATTAAATACGCAATTATGTATGACTGATATTTATATGCTTGATAAAATAACAATTAAGTAAGAATTATATGATTTTTATAGTACTTTTTGATCATATGAAATACCTAGCACCATTCTTTATATCATATATAATAGGTACAAAGGAAACATGTCTCGAATATCAAAAAGTATGCAATCATCCACGCCACCAAGGGAAGCATTAGTGCATTGGGTCGAATATATCACTAACAACGATGTGAGTCATCTAAAGCCAGTAGGACTTGGTATGCCATGGTATCAATATTACCTTTTAGACGTTATAGCATTTCTTGTATTTTGTTCATACTGCATATACAAGATATTCAAGTATTTACTCTGTCGGTGTTGTTGCAGTAAGAATGAAGATAAAATTAAGCGTGATTAACGACTATTTTAATTTATACTTTGTCATCCTGAATAAATTTAAAAACTATTTGCATGTCGTTTGAGATAGAATTTAACATGACGTGAAATAATTTAAGAATTATAAAGCATAAAGAAATTTTTGAAATAATCGCTTGTCATATTACTATAAGAAGCAATTAGCAATGAGATGCATCGTAAATCTCCACTATATTGTTTAATTTACTCGATAATACTTTACATTTGTATATTGCATGTAGGGATATCAGATGCATACTATTTTAGTTAACTATGTCAACACAAACGTGCTTGCAATTACTATATTCATTCTTTTATTGCATAGGTTGTAGTTTAATTATGTTTTTCAGAAATTGACTAAATAAGCATAGCACTTACACGCGTTATAATGATAACTTTGAATCAGTTATGCTATCGATACGGTAGAGTAATAACTACGGGATAATTTAAATAATGCAGCATATATCCTTATACTTGTGTATTACCGTTATTGAAATTATGGTGTATTCAAACGAGTTTTATAAATATGTACTATGCGGCTTATACACATAAACAAGAGTTTTATATATCTAGTTCGCATAATAAATATTTCTAATTAACTGCAATTAAGTATCTACAATGTAGGATCAAGTTTTACGACACTTGTCGTATTTATGAAGAAAGATTTTTTATACTCAGCTTACCACAGCAGAATCATACAGGTGCTAGGCTATATTTTTTATTAATACATATAAGTATTTTGGCTTTGAATGTTTTTCAAGCAATATTAGAGAAGATATTCGACGAAATCGCTCTCTGATGCAATTACTATAGTAACGGTATACGTATTTTCATCAATACACTGGAATGCATTGCATGCTGTATAATATTCATTTATCCAAGTGATTTTATATATTATACGGGTATACTATAAACTATCAAAAAATACTATTATTTGTTATACAATTCACTGCAGTCCAATTGAGCAGTACAGATCCTGCAAGAAAGGCTCCATCATTTTATCATTTAAGCTACACCTACATATGATGTGATTTTTTTACTGTATGTAATAAAGGCTACTATACTGTAAGGAAGATTCTTTATTATGTAAGAGAAAGAAGGACAGTATTTTAGTGAATATTGCAAGCTCTGATGCAGAATTTACACCCTGATAATAAATAAACCCGCATGTAAAGTAGAGTGTCAATGGACTGTGCATTTATTCAGGTACTAAGTTCAACAGGTTCCCTCGTTAAAGGTCAACCCTGTTCATTGGCTTACGCGTAGACTGTCTACGTGTTCACCTCCAGGCAAAAACGACCTCTATCTGCGCTTGATGAAGTGACACGTTGAAATCTTTATAGTATTGTACTCAGTATATTGTAGTGTACCCTACTGTATAGTACTGTATGTACGACTGTATGTTTATTTATGTGTAATGTATACCTCGTCGTTCAGGCAAATTCAATAGCATAGCCTTAAGCTTAAATTGTTCCTATTGCGAACATCTTTCTCAGGATATGCAATTTGCCTAGTCGGTGCAATTCTAAAGCAACAGCTACAAAATGACAACCAGATGGAACACTATTGCAATGGTTGGAGTATTAGCTATGCTCCTTTGCTCCAATGTAGGTGCCTTAAAAATCGCCGTATTGCCTATGCCTGGCGGAAGTCATATCGTATCTATGAAAACCGTTTCAGAAACGCTAATCAAGAAAGGCCATCAGGTAGATAGTAATGCAATAAGCCGCATATGAGTAAAGCGTATACTGTACATTAGTGCACAGTATATTTATGAAGAATGAGATTGCAGGCACAAGATGGGAACAATATTTACAGTGATAACGATGATCATCATTGCAATCACATCGTTTGTTTCCATGTACTCGTATACTGGATATTCATTTATTAACTTATGTTTAATTAATCGTGACATAGGTTAGCATAATCTTATCAGAAGATAATCTACCGATGGCCGGTAATGTTCCCGCTATTACTTTCGAAACGATGAAATTTGAAGGTCTTCAAGGTGCTACTGTAGTAAGAAGCGTATTGGAAATTGCGTCGTTAATGTATTCTCTTCAAGGAACCTTTTGTCGTGATATGCTACGAAACGATACCATTACTACTTTAATCAAAGATTATGATATCATTATCACCGACTCTATTTACATTTGTAGCTTTATGCTCCCTCAAATTGTTAACAAACGCAATATCATGATGGGCATACAAGGAACACTACTATCTCCTATTGGATATCCAGCCTATCCTAGTAATCCTGCTTATATACCTCAAATGGGAACGACTTATAGTTCGAAAATGAACTTTTTTCAACGTGTTAAAAATACAATAGCTGCATGCTTAAAAGAACTCGTAATGTTTAACGTTATGAACTATTTAGCATACTCTATTAAACAAGAATTCAACATCAGACCCGATTTAGGATTTTATGAATTAATGTTATCGCCAGAAATGACTTTAGTAGCTGGAGATTTCGCTGTAGATTATGCACGACCTATACCGCCAAATATGAAACTAATAGGACCAATATCAAGTGTACCAGCATCTCCGTAACCTGAAGATCTAGAAAACTTTATGGAGAGTTCGGGAGAATACGGTGTAGTTCTTGTGTCTATGGGAACAATCTTTGAATTTCCTGAAAGTCTGATACCGACATTAGTAGCTGGTTTTAAAAGACTTGAACAGAAAGTTCTATGGAAAACTAAATTAAACGTTAAGAATCCTCCAGATAACGTTAAAATAGTAAGATGGATGCCACAAAATGATATTTTGGGTCATCCAAAACTAAAAGCATTTATTACTCATGGCGGATCCAAGAGTTTATACGAGGCCTCTTATCACGGTGTTCCATTAATTGGTATACCGATACAAGCCGAACAGCAATTAAATATAGGAAAGGCAAAAGCTGCAGGAGTAGCTTTTTTCTTGGATAGGAATAATCTTACACCTGACGCTATTGCTGAGTCAGTAACAGAAATTACTACTAATCCATGGTATGGTATCTGATTATACATTATATAGCTAATCAGATCCGTAATTGTTCTATGATTAGTATTTATACTTATCATATAATTTACAAAGTAAGAATTAAATTATAAGAGATTACATTGATGTTTTCAATAACTTTTGATGATATATAATAATAGGTACAAAGGAAACATGTCTCGAATATCAAAAAGTATACAATCGCGACCCATATCACCAAGAGAAGCATTAGTGCAGTGGGTCGAATATATCGCTAACAACGATGTGAGTCATCTAAAGCCAGTAGGACTTGGTATGCCATGGTATCAGTATTACCTTTTAGACGTTATATCTTTCCTTGTATTTTGTTTATACTGTATATACAAGATATTCAAGTACTTACTCTGTTGGTGTTGTTGTAGTAAGAATGAAGATAAAATTAAGCGTGATTAACGACTGTTTTAATTTATACTTCATTGTCAAAATTAAGTTATATAATTATTTACATATAGTTGAGATAGAATTTAATATGACACTAAATAATTTAAGAATTATAAAGCATAAAGAGATTTTTAAACAGTCACATGTCATATTACTATAAGAAACAATTAGTAATTAGACGCATAGTAAATCTTAATTATAAATTTCAGCGTATTGTTTAATTTTCTCGATAAGATTTACATTCATACCGTACTTTGCATGCAAGGGTAATGCATATGTTATTTTCTGCTATAATAGGTACATGCTATTTTAGTTATCTATGTCAACGCAGATATGCTTGCAATTGATATATTCACTCTTTTATTGTATACCGTAGTTCTTAATTCAACTATACTTTGCGGAAAATTGACTAAATAAGCATAGCGTTTACACGTGTTGTAATGATAACTTTAAATCAGTTATGCTATCGATGCGGCAGAGTAATAGCTAAGCAATACTTTAAATAATGTAATGTGCAGTATACCCTTATACTTGATTTGTTGACGTTATTATTATTATACTATGTTTGAATAATTTTTCATAAATATGTGCTATGCGGCTGCATACACATAAATAAGAGTATTATATATCTAGTTCGCGTAATAAATATTTTCTAATTAACTGTAAGTACCTACAATGTACAGTAGGATCAAGTTTTACAATGGTTGTCGTATTTATGAAGAAAGATTTGTTATACTCAGCTTTCCACAGCAGAATCATGCGGATGCTATACTGTATTTTTTAATCATACATATAAACATTTTGGCACAAAAAGTTTCTTAAGCTATATTGTAGCAAATATCAGACTAAATCGCTGATATGCAAACAAAGACTATGTAACGATACATGTTGCACGGGTATACAAACTGTGTAAAATAGATGTCGTATCATTTCTTGGTATTATACTTCAAACGACCCCTAAGCTTACAACATCTGTTTTACATCTAGGTGTACTGTAAATTGCAAAAAATGCTGTTATCCCGTCATTCCCGTACGGGTACACTTCGCTGCAGGGCAATTATCCAATTTAGATATTGCATGAGAGACTCCATCATTTTATCAATTTTATTAACTACATTCGCATATATGGGAAGGATATGTTTTATTATTCGGTATACACTTAAAGTCTTAACTATAGCGCTTATACGCGTATACGGCATAATCGAGCCGTAACTTTTCGGTTTACAGAAGCTAAATTCGCCAATGTACACTAGTCACTTAAGGCTCGTTATACAGAATAACACGCCAAATTTAATCAAATACAGTACCATACGCGTATATTCGATTTCCTAAACTCAGAATTATTACCATGAGAACTTATAATATTGGATATACAGCACTGTATTTATTTATTTTATTTATGTAGTTGAGTGATTATACACAGTACAGACAATCAGTGATCATTGCCTACTGTAAACCAAGGTAATTATGAGTAGAATGTAGATGCGAGTATAAGTACTGTACCATTTGTAATATTTTTGTAAGTATGAAATGAAGCATATGCTTACACTAAGTTCATGCATTTACAGCACTATAAATTTCGATACTATTCCGTAATGACCATGAAAAAATTGGCTACATTTTACTTTTACATTGCTCCTGGAATGTTCATTTGCTGTGGCCCCACTTACAGATGATGGAGATTTTGGCTCCATTTCGAGCCTAAAGTATTGATATGGTGGCCCAAATGTTAGCGCTCCATATTTTTCGTACACAATTCGATGTTTATCTAGTGGTTCATGGCTTTTCCTACCTACTGTATGCTATAACTGCGCAGATGCGTGTATGAGTACTATATACTGTAACTGTATATAACATTCACTACTTGGAAGCTGGAAGGTAGCTCAAATCAAATCACGCACGGGCTATATAAAATAGATTTGTCGTCACAAATTGCCTATGCATAGGATTTTTAACTGATCGGTGTAATCATAAGAGCGAAAAAATGACCCCCGGGTTGAACACTATTGTAGTATTTAGCATCTTATCCTTTTTTCCTTTATACGAATGTGGATGCTTTGAAAATCGCTGTTTTGCCGGTGCCTACAAATAGCCACATAGTGTCCATGAAAACTGTTTCAGAAACACTGATAAAGAAAGGTCATCAGGTGAGAAATAATACTGTAGCACAGTAGTAGTCTATATGCTATTGTAGTTTCCGAAATGATTAAGCTATCGTGTTTAAATTTTCGCTAATGAATAATATAATGAGTAAACGCTGTGAACTACACATAGCTTGATGTCAATCAATGTTCGTTTTTGTGAAAGATTCTATTAAATAGTTTTTTAAAATTACAAATCTTCACATTACTAATACTATGCGAATATACGATCCTAATTCTAAGGCCAATGTCCGTATCACGATACATAACTTGCTATTAATTACATAATTATAATTGTTATAGGTCAGCATAATTATACCAGAAAATAAACTTTCAATGGTAGATAAGATTGATGCTATTACATTTGACACAATGGACCTTAAAATCGGTCCAGGTGGTAAAAAAGCGACGACATTATTGGAAATGTTCTCACTGTTGTACACCTTTCAAGGGACGTTTTGTCGCGACTTACTACGAAATGGCACGATAAGTGCGCTAATCAAAGATTATGATATCATTATCACCGACTCTATTTACATTTGCAGCCTTATGCTCCCTCAAATTGTTAACAAACGCAATATCGTGATGGGCATACAAGGAACACTACTATCTCCTATTGGATATCCAACCTATCCTAGTAATCCTGCTTATATACCTCAAATAGGAACGACTTATAGTTCGAAAATGAACTTTTTTCAACGTGTTAAAAACACAATAGCTGCATGCTTAAAAGAACTCGTAGTGTTTAACGCTATGAACTATTTAGCATACTCTATTAAACAAGAATTCAACATTAGACCCGATTTAGGATTTTATGAATTAATGTTATCGCCAGAAATGACTTTAGTAGCTGGAGATTTCGCTGTAGATTATGCACGACCTATACCGCCAAATATGAAACTAATAGGACCACTATCAAGTGTACCAGCATCTCCATTACCTGAAGATCTAGAAAACTTTATGGAGAGTTCGGGAGAACACGGTGTAGTTCTTGTATCTATGGGAACAATTTTTGAATTTCCTGAAAGTCTGATACCGACATTAGTAGCTGGTTTTAAAAGACTTGAACAGAAAATTCTATGGAAAACTAGGCTGAATGTTGAGAACCCACCAGATAACGTTAAAATAGTAAGATGGATGCCACAAAATGATATTTTGGGTCATCCAAAACTAAAAGCATTTGTAACTCACGGCGGATCAAAAAGTATATACGAGGCCTCTTATCACGGTGTTCCATTAATTGGTATACCGCTACAACCCGAACAGCAATTAAATATAGGAAAGGCAAGAGCTGCAGGAGTAGCTATTGACTTGGATAGAGATAATCTTACACCTGACGATATCGTTGAGTCAGTAACAGAAATTACTACTAATCCATGGTATGGTATATCTGATTACACATTATATATTTTAATTTAATACGTAATTATTCCATGATTAGTATTTATACTTATCATATAATTTACAAAGTAAGAATTAAATTATAAGAGATTACATTGATGTTTTCAATAACTTTTGATGATATATAATAATAGGTACAAAGGAAACATGTCTCGAATATCAAAAAGTATACAATCGCGACCCATATCACCAAGAGAAGCATTAGTGCAGTGGGTCGAATATATCGCTAACAACGATGTGAGTCATCTAAAACCTGTAGGACTTGGTATGCCATGGTATCAGTATTACCTTTTAGACGTTATATCTTTCCTTGTATTTTGTTTATACTGTATATACAAGATATTCAAGTACTTACTCTGTTGGTGTTGTTGTAGTAAGAATGAAGATAAAATTAAGCGCGATTAACGACTATTCTAATTTATACTTCATTGTCACAAATAAATTATATAATTATTTACATGCAGTTGAGATAGATTTTATTTTAATATGACGTTAAATAATTTAAGAATCGTAAAGCATAAAGTATAGCATAATGAAATTTTTAAACAGTTGCATGTCGTATTACAAGAAGAAGCAATAGAAGAAGCAATTAGCAATTAGACGTATCGTAAATTTTTACTGTATTACTTAATTTACTCGATAAGACTTTACATTTGTACGCTGTATGCAGGAATATTGCATGTATATGATATTTTCTGCTGTAACGGGCACACACTGTTTTACCTATATGTCAACGCAGATATACTTCCAAATACTATAATTATTCTTCTATTGTATAGGTTATAATTAATAAATTTTCTAATTAGCTGTGAGTATCTACAATATAGGATGGAATTGCAAACGCTTGTTGTATTTATGATGAAAGATTTGTTATACTCGGCTTACCACAGCAGATTCATCGAGGCACTAAAGTGTATTTTTGATTCGTACACATAATTATTTTGTTATGGAATATTTTTAAAGCTGTATTAGAGCTGATGTTAGACGAAATCGCTCTCTTATGCAAGCAATATACTATAGTAACGGTATACATATCTACATCAATATGCTGTAGTGTCGTCTCAATGTCAACCGGTTGAAAAGATAGCTCTAACCCTTCCTACTCCATTCTTCGCTCATGGTCAATTATACGTTGCATTGTCGAGAATGCGACATGGATCCTCAGCAATTGTTACTATGTCGCAAAAGATTGGTAACGTTGTACTCGTATATCATTCAGTATCCGAATAAGCTCATCGTAAATGCATCTATTCTGCTCAATTGTTTTGTGAACTTGAGCCAGGAAACTGCTCGCAGAGCGGGCATTCCCTAGTCATTTTATAGTAATTTTACCAGCTACTCCTTTTTACTGTACGTACGATACTGTGAGGATACGCTTTATCATTCGGTACTCTTAAGCCTTAAAAACGTATTTGTACATGTGCATAATCGAGCTATCGAACTTTTTTAAGTTGCAGAATCTAAATACTGTATAGTGCACAGTACACTGATCAGACTTGTTACATAAAATAATATTAGCACTATATCATCTATTCGACCTTCCGTCAACGTAAAATCATAACTGAGGGAACTTATAATTAATATAATCAATATTTGATATCTAGCTGGTTGAGTGCCTGTACACTAGGCCATGGATGACCTACTTTACACCACAACATACAAAGGTGGTTGTGGATAGAATCATAGACTTCTGTTAGTCCATGATAGAAAAGTGATAAGCCTCCCAATTACTTTGCTCTGACGACCGTTTGCTGTCCCCGTTTGCTCCTTTTTAAACTATGTCATAGACCACTAGAAGATTGCTATACTTTGAGTACAGTACACTTACTTACTATATACAGTACTATGCTATAAATTTCGGTACTATTCTATGATGAGTCTGATGATCATAGAGAAATTGGCTGCATTTTATATTAATTGCGCTCATGGAGTGATCATCTACTGCGCTCCCACTTATAGAAGATGGAGATTTCGGCTTGTTGTCGAGCCTATTGACGTGGCCCGTGTGTTAAACGCTTTATGCTTTTTCTTACCTCTCTTTCACCGGTTGCTATATATTTCGGACAAGGACTACTAGAAAAGAGCCGGCTCTTTTCTAATAGTCCATTAGTCCATCATTCCGATTAGCCCTCGGCATTGTCCAACTTCCGATAGCTAAATAAATAAATAAATTAATTAAATTCAATCGCATAAATTAAATTAAATAAATTACTGTTTAAAATAATGTTGTCACCGGCAATTTCCATTGCGCAGATGCTGAGGAGTAGAATTGCATCCAGTACTGGAAGGCAGCTGAAAATAAAATTAATTAATTAAATCAGAGGCTACTGCACACTCACAGTCAAGTACCTGAAGATCCGAGTATTTGTGATCAGAATTTGCCAACGTATGCTTTTGAACTGATCAGTGCGGCCATAATAGCGAAACATGAGTACCGGATTAAATACTATTGCAGCATTTTGCATCTTATCTTTGCTCTTTTGTTCGAATATGGATGCTTTGAAAATCGCTGTGCTACCTATGCCTGCAAATAGCCATATCATATCCATGAAAACTGTTTCAGAAACACTGATAAAGAAAGGTCATCAGGTGGGATGTTGTAATATTAGTGGTCTTCTACATGCTAATTTAATTTCCGAAATGATTAAGCTATCGTGTTCCTAAAATTTTCGCTAAATAATGAATGTAAACTACGCGTTGTTTATGCCAAACAACGATCGTAATTGTGAAAGTGTCGCTAAATGGTGTTTTTAAAACTTACAAAATTTTCACTTTTACGGACACAATACGGGTATACGCATTTACGTAATGTCTAATTAATTAATTCGATAATTAATTGTTACAGGTCAGCATAATCCTACCAGAAGACAAATGTTCGATGATGAATAAAATCCATACTATTCCATTTAAGACGATGGAGTTTAAAGGCGTTCAAGGTGAAAAAGAAGTGACAGGAATCGTGGGAATACTGAAACTAATGTTCTCCGTCCAAGGGACATTTTGTCGTGACATGCTCCGTAATGGTACAATAAGTACGCTAATCAAAGATTATGATATCATCATCACCGACTCTATGTACCTTTGCAGCTTTATGCTCCCTCAAATTGTTAACAAACGCAATATCATGATTGGCATACAAGGAACACTACTATCTCCTATTGGATATCCAGCCTATCCTAGTAATCCTGCTTATATACCTCAAATGGGAACGACTTACAGTTCTAAAATGAACTTTTTTCAACGTGTTAAAAACACAATAGCTGCATGCTTAAAAGAACTCGTACTGTTTAACGTTATGAACTATTTAGCATACTCTATTAAACAAGAATTCAACATCAGACCCGATTTAGGATTTTATGAATTAATGTTATCGCCAGAAATGACTTTAGTAGCCGGAGATTTCGCTGTAGATTATGCACGACCTATACCGCCAAATATGAAACTAATAGGACCAATATCAAGTGTACCAGCATCTCCATTACCTGAAGATCTAGAAAACTTTATGGAGAGTTCGGGAGAACACGGTGTAGTTCTTGTATCTATGGGAACAATTTTTGAATTTCCTGAAAGTCTGATACCGACATTAGTAGCTGGCTTTAAAAGACTTGAACAGAAAGTTCTATGGAAAACTAGATTAAACGTTAAGAATCCTCCAGATAACGTTAAAATAGTAAGATGGATGCCACAAAATGATATTTTGGGTCATCCAAAATTAGGAGCATTTGTAACCCATGGTGGATCAAAAGGCATATACGAGGCCTCTTATCACGGTGTTCCATTAATTGGTATACCGATACAAACCGAACAGCAATTAAATATAGGAAAGGCAAAAGCTGCAGGGGTAGCTATAAGTCTGGACAAAAATAATCTTACACCTGACGTTATCGTTGAGGCAGTGGCAGAAATTACTAACCCATGGTAGGTCAGGTTTTACCAAAATTAGTATTGTGTACTTATTACCAGGTGTCGTGACTTTATGTAGCACACGGGTATTTTGACTATACGTTATGATAAGAGTAGAAGTATGCTACATAATTTAGTTTCATAATTTAATGTAAGTTTGAATCACGTATTTACAATTACTGTTGCTCATTTACTATGTGTAAAGGTATAAAGGAAACGCTACTCGAATATCTAGGAGCATACAATCACGACCTATACCACCAAGAGAAGCTTTAGTACAATGGATCGAATATATTCATCATAACGATGTCAGCCACTTAAAACCTGTAGAGCTTAATATGCCGTGGTATCAATACTATCTATTAGATGTAATAGCTTTTATTACATTTTGCATGTATTGTATATTTAAGATATCCAAGTATTTGTTGTGTTGGTGCTGTTGTAACAGGAATGGAGATAAAGTAAAATATGATTAGTGAAACGGGAGCTATTATTGTATAATCATGCGAGTATTTGAAGGTTGAAGTTAACCTTAAAATTTTTAAGTTTTTGTAACAATGAAATAATTGTTAAATAATTTAAAAATTGCTACAACCTACAAACAGTACAGATTCTTTGCTATTCATTGTTACTTATGCTATTTGGTAGTACTTCATATCTGAACAGTACCTTAGTCAAATTTTCTCTAATAGCTCATTGACGGATAGAATATGCGTTTAGCATCGATAGTATTTGCCTTTTTAATGTACTAATAATATTTTGCGCTGAGATTAACTAGTATTTCGGTATGATATATCTAAATTTTGATATCTCAATAGTAAAATAAGGCCCAATGCAACTGGTTTGGATGATTTCTTTTAATACGAATTAATAAAACTGTAAATGTGAACTTCAAAATAGTTTACCAACTACAGCATCAGTAATGTATTGTATTGAATGTACAATAATGTTTTGAATAATTATATTCAGATTGTGATAGGCCTTTAAGTTTAATCTAGAATGGTGCAATAGATTATGATCATAATGGCAGTAGCGATATTATGATCATAAATAGTAAAGCTTGGTGATTAAAGTATTCTACTCCTATGTACTAGCTTAAGAAATCGTTGTTATCATCATAGAGAATGCATTAAATATTATAATACTGTAGTAACAGCATTCACGTAAATGAATTCGAAATGCGGTTGTATCGAAAGTAAAATATTACAAATTCATTTATCGGAAAAGAAATGACAGTACTCGCTATACAATTTGTGATAAGGTAGGATTAGCTCGTAACGATAGTTTCGACAATCGCGTTTATCTTAGAAATTTCTATGTAAATAGTCCACTAGACATTAGATCTATTTCCAGAATGTGACAAAAAAATTAATAATTAATACATTTGATTTGCTGCTACATATAATCTTCACTCTTGATGTACGGATAATTTAGACATAACCAAAACGTAACTAAAGTCCTTTACCTTTAATATAATTTACCTAAAAGTTACATTACTTTCTAATTTTGCTTATTGTAACATTTAAAAGTGTAATTGTCCAGGAGACTTTCTTAGTTGATCAAATAGAAATACTTGATATTGTTCAATTCAATTATGACACTTTCAAAAATTCTCTTACTTATGCAACAATCGACCGTATAGAAAAGATAGATAATGTTAAAGAAATCTTAATTAGCCGTTACTTCTAAAGAAAGTTTCATGAAATTTCTTAACTCTTACAATATAGATAGCATAAGTACATATAGATAGAGATAGATAATATTTTTCTAATCTACTTTAGCTTTTGATTGAAATATCATTTTCGTACAAGCTTTCAACATTCGATAGATAATATAGAGTACAATTAGTACGAATAGCATAACATCTAGGTTGTATAGTTCGTAGAACCACAATTTCTCTCCTTCTACTTTTAGATGATGAGCTCCTTCCGCTTGCACAACGTATTCAATCCAGTCGACAATAGCATCTCTTGCCGTTCTTGGCGAGCTTTTGAGAATTTTAGATATTCTTTTGGCGTTTTCTCTGTATCTAAGCGTATATACATAAATGTAGACGTATAAAATCTTTAATCTGTATACATCACTTAAACAGGAGACATTACTCATATACTGTATCTATCATTTATCATTCAATAAGAACTTAGATATTAAGCTATGTAGCATACAGACTTTACAACAACTGTATAAGTCTATTTAGGAACAGCACCTGACGAGATATGACGAGATATGTAGTCTAATATTTAACGACATCTTCGATAGAAATAATGTTAAATAATTCTTATTCAAAGAGTTATATAGAGTCTTACGGTACCTTTTATTGGCAGTGATTTCAGTAACTGCACTTGTAATATCGCTCATTGTGAATTTGTAAAAGTCTACATGAACTCCAATTTCGGTGCGAATTATTCTGCGAATATTACCCATTTGCTCTTCCATAGCCGGCATTCCTATCATAGGTACACCATGATAGGCCCCTTCGTACACGCCATTTGAACCACAATGAGTGATAAAGGCAATAGTTTTGTTATGACCAAGAAGATCATTTTGAGGCATCCATTCGACAATTTTTACATTTTCAGGTACATGTTTAATTCTTTGCTTCGTTTTCCATATAATTTGATGAGGTAATTGACTTAGAGCTGCTACCATTTCCGTTAATTTATGATCTTGAATCTGAAGTTCACTACCTAACGACAGAATTATAACACCTTGATCGCCGGAATTTTGCATAAATATTTCAAATGATTGAGGTAATGGCGAGGGTGGTACGGGTGTTAGCGGTCCTACAGTGTGAATATTTGGTGGTATAGGTACGGGATATTCGATAGCAAAGTCAAGAGTTGCTAAATAAACAGAAAATTTTCTACGTAACTCAAATAATGTTAAGTTTGTAGCAATATTATGCTTAAATCTTAACGTATTAAGCATTTTAGAGGACCAATTTTTTATTATAGCTTCCATTCCTAAACCAACGATAACGTTCATTGCTCTTTGTAAGAAACTCATATCCTTTGAAAACGGTCCTATCAGAGGTACATATGAATAAGGTGTATAAGCTCCCAGAAAGGTATGAAAGCCAACGATGCTTCCTGAGGTTGAAACGTGTACCGACGGCTTGTTTAATACCTCCTTTAAAAGAAGACTACATACAAGTAAATCATCGGCGACAATAACATCGACATCTTGAAGTGATTGGATTAACGTTTGATTCGATAGCATTGCATCACAATATCGTGTTTGTATATCACTGACATAACTTAGTGCTATAAATGGATTAGTGGTAGTAAATACTTTTTGAAGTTCAGTCTGAGTAAAGGGTCTTTCAATGTCATATAAGGCAAAAGCAGAAGTCTTTAATTTCTTAAGGACTTTAGGCTCATTTGAAATAATAGTAATAGGCTAGATCACAAAACCAACAAAAAATTAGTTTTTTCATTTCTTAATTCAAATCGTAGAGAATAGTAACTCAGGAAGGTATTATTGCTATAAAGATTCGTATTGAATATTAAAAACTTATAAATTTTTCAATCCAATAGACTTTCATTTTTCAAAAAGGCAGTAACTGATGATATTCAATTCGGATACAATGCATCAATAATGTTTACAGTACTATCGATGACTACTTATGATTTTCTGTATGTATGAGCTATAATAAGATAATCAGTACATTCAAAAATTAAAGATTTCGGCTGATGAATGAATTAATTTTTAAAATAGCATTAATCACTGTTTTGTTGCCTCTTATTTTCTTACGCATTACATATTTTTAAATCAGTTATTTCACTTGAATCGTACTGTTATAGGCTGATTAGTACAGCTTATCTTTTGGAAGGGATTGTAAAGTACTGTAATAATTCTACTGTATACATATCACTAAATTAATTTACTTTATTAATTTGATACTGATAGTTAGAGGTTACTTATTCTATGACCCTATACTGAACTAGTCATAGCTGCCAGTAGGTTATTAATATGTTATAAAATAGTATGAAGGAAAGGATAGTGATGTAGAGTATTAGAAATATCGATACATCGTTGAGAAAATTGGCAAGACACATACCGTATGACCTCTTTTAATCAGATGTTGCGCAATGATATCCGCCGATAAAGGATGGCTGCCAGCAATAAACGGCAATATAGCGACTTTTAACGACGATATACATGGCAATGCAAAGATTAATAGAATAAGTAATATGCTGGGCTTGTTGTTAAAGAAATGTCGGATCGGCTGGTTGTCAGGCATTTTTGGCTAGTCTGAGTGCATGGATCAGGTCTCAATATCACAATTACCTGGAAATTAGCTATCGTTTACTGCTGGCATGAAAAAGAAAGTGATTACTATACCAAATCTCTGCTGGCCTATCTTAACGATAGCACTTTAGTTTGTGTGATGATATGGTGGCCCCAAAACTGTGAACTATGGATTTGCGTCTGCGTAAAAGACGTCATTACATTCAAAAAAGAATTTACTGATGCAATTAGATTAAAAATTTCATCCGTTCGAGGCTAGAAATTATCTCAATGTTTGCAATGATTTCGACGATTAGCAGCGTTTCTCTCCGTCAATTTAATAGGTCTTCAATTCAATTTTTTGTCAATTCGATAAAGACTATGACTTGCAGCTACTTAAGTAAACTATTAGCTAGCTGCAAATACTGTAAGTCTTATAGCAATGACTTGCTATTATTCATTTAATTCTTCCTGATGATGGTATATTAAGGATAATTTTGAATCTGGCCAAGAACTTGCTACTTGATTAATAGTAAGAAATAACTAAAATTTGAATTCGCTGACATAGAGAGAGTGAATTAGAAGTCTTAGAACTTGCGTGGAGTAAGAGGGAGATGAAGCGAGTTACAGTATAATGACTAATCATTTTATCCTTCTAATAATATCTTTCTTAATATTTCGATAAATCTTACTACTCTATCAGTCGGACTATTATCGAATTACGCTATGGCTATGATACTTCGACTCTTGAGCTAACGCTTGGCTTGAAATACTTATGGTCACGTTTTTAGATATATTAGAGAGGTATAAAAAAGAAACAGATGACAGCGATAATTGAAACTTTACTAGTAACTCAACTATTCTAATTATAATTATTCTTGGTGTGACTACGATAATATAAGCTTACGCAAACACGAATAATAATTACATAATAGCTATTCATTCAATTTATTATTAGCATTATCCCAGTCCTTTATAAGCGCATGCACTCGCTTCTATTTGCCAAGCCTCTTTTTAACATCGGAGTTTCGGGACAGCGCCGCGCCGTTCCAACATCTTTCCTCACTTTTACGTTATATAAGTCGAGCTTGTAACGTCTTTTATTGTAGTTATTCTTTAAAAGTAACTATTTTACTCCATATTTCTGACTTGGACATCTAAATTGATCGCTGACTATGGGTAAAATCTGGACCTTTACGGGGTTATGCTTGCTGATTACTCTTGCATCGTTACCTTGCACACAATCCTTGAAAGTTGGTGTCTTACCCATGATTGGAGGAAGCCATACATTGTCTATGGACTTAATTACCCAACAAATAATCAAAAGAGGCCATGAAGTAAGCACGTTCAAAAATTTCTATACCTTAGATTCTAACTAAGAACTAGCTAACATTAAGAGAGCCTACACATTTTCTACATTAATTTTCTAAAATTATACTAATAAAAGATCGTTCACGTTATTTTACCAGCACGAATAAGTCTCAATCTTACTAAAAGAGTGCACCTTTTAAACATTAATTCTTTTATTCCTAGGCAGTTACAATTATATCGAACGAGCCTGATCGACTGAAAAAGCTGAAGCCTTCTCCTCTAGCTCTATTTGAAATCGATCGACCCGCAACCTCGGAAGATTTCCAGTCACTATTGATCTCGAGTGATCCATTATATCCTGTTTATGGATTATATGATATACAGACACGCTATTGCGATGCTATCTTATCGAATAAAACTTTACTACAATCGATTCAAGATGTAGATATTGTAGTCAGTGATGGTATCTACTTCTGCAGTATACTATTGCCTGAAGTATTGAACAAACCAAATATACAAATATCATTTTCCGGAGGAATCATAGGCTTCCATACCTTCGTAGGCCAGTATGAACCCAGTTCTTATATACCGCTACGAATCACACTATCTGCTTCTGGAAATGTAGAGAAAAAGATGGCATTTGCACAACGAGCTGCTAATTTCATCTTTGGTAAAATTTTTTTTGCCTTGATGGAATATTTTTCAGTGAGCGTAGTCAATAAATTAAGATTCAAGCACAATATCAGTACACATTTGACACTGCATCAATTACGTCAAAAACCTTCATTATTTCTAACCGCAGTCGATTTCTCAATCGAATATACGAGACCATTACCACCTTATATTCAAGCCATAGGACCTATTACTCCAAAGCCTGCATCGCCACTACCTCCAGCTTTCCAAACTATTATGCAGAATTCGACTAGTCGAGGCGTAGTTCTTGTATCTTTTGGTAGCGAACTTCAACTGTCTGATGATAATTTACCGAAAATGACGGCAGCATTAGGCAAGTTACCCTATACAGTTATTTGGAAAACTAGACAAAAAATCGATAATATACCTAGTAATGTTAACGTAGTACAATGGGTACCTCAAAATGATATCCTTGGCCATCGTAAAACTATTGCATTTATAACACATTGTGGAAGTAACGGTTTATACGAAGGTGCATATCACGGAGTACCTATGATAGGGATGCCAGGAATGATAGAACAAATAGGCAATGCTGAAAGACTATTACGTGCAGGAGTTGCAATCTATGTGGACTTTAACAACTTTAGCGAAGCAGATATTATTAACGCCGTGACGGAATTGGTCGAAAATAAGAGGTACTTAATTTAGCTTTTTAAGTTCAGAATTTTATCTTGTATGCTTTCTTAATAATCACACTTAAATTTGAATCTTTATCAAGACATAATGAATAATTATCTATATTTCTTCTACAAATACTGATCTTAAACTAGCTTGCTATAGAAGGGAACTATAAATTTTAAATAATACGCATTCTCTACTGTTCAATTAGATTATAATGTGAAATATAAATTAATCTTAAACCGATACTGCTATATTCTAAGCATTATCATCTTAGTTATACATAATTAATTATAGTACGAAGATACGTAAAAAATAGTAAGGATATCAGAGTAACAAGAAATCGACTTTAAATATTTGTTTTAGATATAAGGACAACGCAGTTAAGATTTCCAAAGTTATAAAAAGTAGACGAAGATCGCCTACGGACACTGTTGTTGATTGGATTGAATATGTTGTGGAAACAGACGGAGCTCATCATTTAAAAGTAGAGGGAGAAAATTTATGGTTTTATGAATTCTACAATTTAGATGTTTTACTAGTAGTTACAGCTATAATCTATATTATTTATTGCGTGCTAGCATTTTTTATAAAAGCAATTTGTAGTTCAAAATCTAAAGCCAAAGTAGATTGAAAGTAGATTGAGTATGAAATTTAGTAGCTTTTTTCTATACCTGTTACCTCGAATACAGTAGATGCTATACGAGAATTCCTTAGTATAAATAAGTAGATATACATTTTTATAGTTAGTTTGCAATCACTTCTGTAGGTACGATGATTTACTACTTTGTCCATAAAATAATTTTTCTTTTGATAAGATAAGTAGTAATTGTCGGTTCAATAGCTAAGACCACGTGAATTTTCCATATTTTAGCCGTACATAGCTGATTTTACAAACAAATTTATTATATGCGTTAGTATAGTTTAAGAAAACAAATAAAACTAAACTAGTTTTCTACTTTAAGTAAAACACTATCTAAAAGTTAATAAGGCTCTCATGAGCGAACCTCTAAGAGCTTCGAGTCTGGATTTTGCTACGGCAATTGCATAACGAAATTCTGTAAATAAAGCGTTAAGATAATTTATTTTAAAATTTTACTACAATTACCAAAATTCAATTTTACTAGCGGTGCATACCAGTGTAGAATCTAAAGTAATATGTTACTTTCTCACCTTGTAATTATAGCTCGCTACCGAGTAATATTATTAAAATAGCTCCTCCTGTAGATTTCTAAATAAAATCTTCAAAATACGACCTTATGTGGTAATAATGATGGAGACTGAATAGATGATATTCCAATAAAACGTACATATACAGGAATACTGTTGTGTTTATATCGTAAATCATTTACAGCATTGTCGCATGACTATGTACAGAATATCCCTAGAAAAATTGGCTTCGCACTGTATTGCCTAATCGCTGTAGAAATGAAAGTTTGGAGAATAGAAAGCTGGATGACTGGGTATATACAGTAAGGTGCAGGTCGATATCATTCAGAAAAGGTATTAAGGCTTAAAATATCGTCATTGAAGGCGATAATTATGAATGACTTTGTAATACTTCCGGTATTAAGATACTCCACACAGAGACGTCATTACTGGCAACAAGATCAGCGACTTAAAGCGTAGTAAATTCTTGTTAGAAAGTGTAATATCAGAATAGTGAATCTAAACATTCACATGATGAAATCGAATTTTTAAAGGACTTCTTTTTGCAAGCATAATTTGAGTATCCTCCTCAGTAATTGGATTATTCATATCATGTTATACTCATGGAGATGGCTTTAACCTTTTCATACGATGTAGTCTATAGAATAAAAGTGCCATAGTCTGCAAAGACACAATTAGACAACTTTAGATATGGTGATAATAGTGAATATAAGCCATGGTGTTTTATACATTGTACATAGGATCTAAATATATAGTTTGAGTATATTTACAATGCATAGGTATGTTTACCGATGTAGCACTCAATTGAAAATTTTTTAATTTCTAGATATTCAATAAATAAAACTATTGACTATATATGTTATCATTTAGTTATATTTGAATTTCGATCTTGGCTTATAAATTTTAATCATAAAGTGCTATAATAATCTATTAAAAATATATTCCATCAATACTATAAATGCAAACACATGCCATTTGTCAATTAAAATATCGCTTAAAGGTTGAAAAAAATTTCTCTCGTGATATACTGTACCTTTATATGGCCTCCAGGACAAAACACACCGAACTCTATATTCAATACTGAAGAGTGTTCTAGTTAGTTTCTCTCCCTCTCTTTTAGTAATCCCTAGTCTAGTAGTCCATTGCTGAGGTAAACAAGATGGTGTACTGTAGACAGATTTATTTATATTTTTTCCATTATTTGCCTATAGAGACCCCATGAACACTACAGAATAATTACATAATTACATATGGCATAACTCTGTACATTACTGTATATTATAAATTATGGTATTTGATCCATTAAAGGCCTTATTATTGAATAGTACGTGTTTATATAAGATAACTAATAGTTCAAAATTTCAGCCCTATTATTATGACATATTAAATTGCTCAACCATAAAGAATAGTACTGTATCAATCTCTTTGGTAGTTTAGGGCTGCAATAGTTCAATTATTAAAATCTCTGCAAATATAGTGATTAATTATAATATGAAAAGTTACTTGGCCTATCGAAATTAAGTCTTCTGCCTGGATAGTATTTGGCAGTACTACTCGTTTCTATTAATAACAATTATACGTGTACATATACCGTTCATCGCTTCGAGGGAAGCTTCTAATAGAAATTATTTCCATATAGAACTTTTAATTCTGTTAGATACTATTGCGAGTGACTAGTTAAATATGTTGCTGTTTATTGTCGTCAAATACGATGTTTATATAAAATTATCGCTATAGCTAGCTAGCTGTTATATGCATTCAATAGTTAGCATAATTTAAAATTACCCCTCTGTAGTCCTTACTCTGACAGGGTAAATTATTTTACTTGTACGTATATATGTTATACGTTCAATTTGTTTATTACGAAGAAATTAGCCATTTACGTGTCTACTATGTTACCTCAGGAAATATATCATAATCTTATCTTACGTAATATATAGGTTACATTAGTTAAAGCCAAAACATAGTTACTCTAGCAATAAAAGTATAAGAACACACTTAATCGATAATTAATAAATCGCATCATAATTTTTGTAGAATTATTCTTTCTGGAATCTGTGTTTTATACACAAATTAAAAGGTTACTCTACAGTAATGATTTCGTAGCTCGATTATATATCGCAGATGCCTCTGCATTTATATTCGTATATCTCATCACATGAACACTATGGAAACCGCAAAAAATCGAACCTTGTGCAGGACTACCTACAGAGTTAATGGACATAAAAAAAGTGTCGCAAAGATACTAAACTAGCGTCCAATAATAATTTATCACGTAATTTAAATTATGCATAACAGATATGAGCGGCTATCGTAGCCATTTCTTAGTTTAATATTTACTAATCAGATTTTGCTTTCGTTGTCGAACAACAAATTCTATTCGTAACATAGTTTAACAACCGATAAGAAATATACAACATCAATATTATAAATGCAAAGACATCCAAGTTATAAAGTTCGTAAAACGATAGCATTTCGCCTTGTACTTTCAAATGATGAGCACCGTCTGTATCGACTGCGTATTCTACCCAATCTACAACTGTATCTCTTGCCGATTTACTGCTTTTAAGAATTTTTGAAATTTTCTGTACGTTTTCTTTGTATCTATTAGAGTAAAAGTTGAATTAAGTGCTACATTGTAGAAATATACTGTATTTAACATCATTACAATAGATAAAAATACGTGATATAAATCCAAGTCTATCAAGTATTTACTTTACTACCTCAAATCATAACTTGAAATGTTTTACTCGCTTTTTTAAATTATAAATTAGCTTAATTAGTTAAAGATAACTTACTTAAACTGATAGAATGTAATGTACATAATATTTGCAATACCCCCATCATAGATTAAAGCAGTATATACTGAATTATTACACATGTGCCTCTTTTTTATTATAATGTATTCGATCGTTAGAGATACGTAATATTGTAAATGATAATGTATTTCTAATACATCTATTTTATAATAACGACGAAAGGTATATATGAAGATATAAATAGAAGGTATCTATTTATAATCTATATTATCAATGATTACCTTGGACTTGCTGCTAATGCATTTATGGCGTTAATAATATCTTCAGACGTGAAGCTGTAGAAATCAACCTCTAACCCTATTCCAGCATGTTTCATTCTTTGAGCATTAAGCTGTTGCTCGATCATAGATGGCATAGCTATCATTGGAACGCCATGATACGCTGCTTCGTATAAACTATTCGAGCCACAATGTGTTATTAGAGCGACTATTCTCTTGTGACCAAGAATATCATTCTGAGGAGTCCATCCGAAAGTTTTAACGTTCTCAGGTAAATTATCCACAGTCTGTTTCGTCTTCCATATAACATTATAGGGTAATTGACTTAAAGCTTTAATCATCTCCGACACTTTATAATCTTCTAACTGTAACTCGCTACCGAATGACATTAAAATAGCTCCTTGCTTCGAGTTTTGTATAAAGTTTTCGAATATTTGAGGTAGCGGTGATGGAGATTGAGGAGATAAAGGTCCCACTAGATGGACATATGGAGGTATAGGTCGAGGGTATTCGATTGAAAAATCCAGTGCCGATAAATGCAAGGACAATTTTCTTTGTAATTGAGCAAGGCTTAAGTGTGTACTAATATTATGTTTGGATCTTAATTGTTCGGCAACTTTTTCGCAATCCCATTGAAAAATTCGCTCCATTACTAATTTACCAATAACGCTGATTAATCGTTCGAAAAATGATAACTTACGCGATGTTAGAGACGGATGGGTGGGTACATACGATGCAGGTCGATAGCGGCCATAAAAGGTATGTACACCAAGGATACCACCGTTGAAATAAATGTTAATGAAAGGTTTTTGCAAAACTTCAGGTAGTAAAATACTGCAGACGTAAACTCCATCGCTGACGACAATGTCGATATCTTTAAGCGATTGTAGTAGCGTTTTGTTGGAGAGTGTAGCATCGCAATATCGCTTCTGTGCAGCCATAAAAAGCCGCCAAGTTTTGAAAGGATCTTTCTTAGTAAACATATTCTGTGTATCACTTTCTCTAATTGGTTCATCGATTTGATATAACGCCAAACGAGAAGGCTTTAGCTTTTTTATGTGATGCGGTTCATTGGACATTATCGTCACGGTCTATGCAAATATCGAAAATTATTCCCATTACATAGTGTAAGGATATTATGATTATATGGACAACGTATTAAAATAGAAGATGATTTGATACAGTATTACTAGTATTCGCTAATTCAACATAAATCACAGTAAATAAAAAAAACCTCTTTATACAAATTACCTCATGGCCTCTCTTTATTAATTGCTGTGTAATTACATCCATACAATAGGAATGACTGGTTCCCATCATAGGGAGGATGGCAACTTTATACGATGATCCTTGTGAAATCATCATCAGCACACATAAAAGTGTGCAGTAGTAAACGCATGTTCTTGCATAAGTCATTTTCTCATCAATAGAAGAGCCTTAACGATTAGTAAATAAAGACAAGATTATAAAGATTGTATCGATGCAATACAAACAAGAGATAGTTACTATTTTTATCTAGAAATTAAAATTACTATTACTGATGGACTGTAATCACATTACTTTTTAAACGTTTCGTTTCCTACACTCTAGAGTAGCTGAGTAATACTCATTCAGCTTCTAATCCTCTCCTCTTATCCTAGCGAATTAATCTTACTAACTGCTTTTTAAAATAATATAAATCATAAATTAGTTTATTTCTTTGCCGATAATTTGATTTATTGCACTCTTGTCGCTGTTCTTTATCTCAGATGCAACGAAGATGGTATACTCTACCAACATGGAATGACTTAGATGTGCTTGATGAAATTAGCTAATTTAAAATCTACCTTTCGAAACTCTCAACTTCTGTTGTAAACAGGTAAAAATTATTCAAAATGCTGCTAAATTTATCTACTTGATTAGAGCGACATTAGTTTCCTTTAATTTATGATAAGTTTGTAAACATTGATATATACGAAAATAAAAGAGGGTAAATACTGCGTTAAATCCTTACGACTGGTGAAATAATTCAGACTAAAAAAGGACTATCCAATTTATCCAATAGAATGAACTCTACTTTATTTTGCTTTAGTAAATTATAAGTAGCCGGTTGGATAGGACATTAATAATAAACTACTATTTCAGCATGACTTATATACTGGTTGAACCGACCGTATACCTACCAGTGACTGATAGTTTGTAAAAATTGCGAAGAAATAAAACAACTCAATAATGTAGTAAAAATAAAATAAAAAACGACAAGTACTCAAGGTTGCAATGATCTGTATTCGTAAAACTTTAGCCAAATTCAAAGTAAATGCCTTCAAAACTTAAAGACCTAATTAGTGACTACATTATAGCTAAACAGTTTTCCACCGGTATACTCGTACAGGGCTCCCTACGCCCATGAAATAGTGGTCCAATTTTACTGAGACGTGTAAAATATCTCTCAATCAGGTGATGCGAGTAAAATTACTAGCAATGCCATTCAATTTTACCGTACTTGAGCTTAGTGAAATCAATTTCTACCGCTTATTTTTACCTTGGTAAGTATTGCTTGGAGGCAATCGCTTGGTTAGGTCGCCAGTGGTTAATAAAACTAGGCAAAAGCTCTTCTAAACTATTTAATTAACAGAAACTATTAAGTTGCTACGCAGGCCAGCTAAAATGAAAGATTCAAGATGTACAGACGTACAGACAACAGCTCGGTCTAACCTAGCCCAAAACTCGTCATTATCAACCTAATTTATATGCTGCATCAAGAGGTAGAGATTATTCTTTCTAGTATATAAATATAATCCATGATAGAAATATCTATGTTGCATTATCTTCTGCAATGGTATTTGTGATGGAGAGTTGAATGATTCAGCTGAAGTAGATTTCATTGCTACTTAGAGATTTACACAAATACATTGAGTAAGAAAATCGATTCTTTATTGTAAACTTTATGTGTGAGGGAGTTACAGTAAAGTAGCGCATAAGCTGTTGTAAAGTAACCTGAGAATTATCATAAACATTGCAATTATTGCAAATAACTAAATCTAAGGCAAAAATTGCAATACGTCAAAATGATTAACATCGTAACTAATGCAACGAACTAAATCTGAAGCAGAAATTGTTATACGTATCGTTAAAATAATTAGCATTATAACTATTACAACCAACTCAATCTGAGATACAAATTGTTATTATTTATAGCTTTATAGATAAAATACATACACAGAACAAAATTGTAAAATTAGATACAACATATTCTATAATATATGTAATAGCAAATGATCATAGAAAATAGCTAAGACTGTAAAGGCTATAATAAATAACCAGCACAATGAAATCTTATGCCCTATAGTATTTTCTTAATTTTCATGTTAGTTCTTTATAGTATAATCTAAGATTCGTGATAGAACGATTCTCTATAGTATCATCTCGTGTGATAATTATTTTCTTGATTCTTGGGCTATTTCTATTGCTCATAGACAGTGATTGTATGAAGTAACGGCGCGAAATCGTAAACGCTTAAATAGACACAGATTATTGTTTATCGTGTAAACTTCACAACAGAATAATTCTTAATTATGCTATCTTCTGTATAAATATAAAATTTTTTTATTAATGTAGTGCTATATCACGCAGATAGTAGATAAAACTTTAAAATTATAGATTTTTATTAAATTCTCAAGTTTACCAATGTAGATGCTATATTAAGTAGATAGAGAATAAAATTTTGCAATTATCAATATTTTTATTAAATACTAAAGTCTGTTATTAAAATCATGTACTAAGTGTTATTTTGACGCCCAATATTAAATTGTAGAGTTGCAACATACAATAGAATTCCCATGTTTGATTTATTGAATTATACAGATTAAGTAAGGCATAGGTACCAGTGGATATGAAAAGTTCGGCTTGTAATGAGTCTTCATGATAGAGTAATATCATGGCATCTTCTGTCATAATATCATATTTCTTTGTGTTTTCATGAGATTATAGCATAACTGTATTTTTCGTATTGGAAATCGATTAAGATGTTGTATAAATTAGAACTACGCCAACATGTTCATAGGATCACGATTTTCCCCGTTCATAAAGCGGGTATGATGCTAGTTATATAAAAGCTTTTTTGTCTGTATATTGCGCATTACAGTACTGTACATACCTGATATGTGAGTACATAAAGGAATAATTAGTAAAAATTACAGGTAAGGTACTCGAGTAACTAGACATCTTCAGCGTACATACGCCCGGGAACACTAGTAATTAAGTAAAAATAAATAAACGCTTCCGTTGACTGAAAATTTACACTTTATTAACTGTGAAGTTAAATTTTTATATTAACAACCTCGCTTATTGCTTCATGTATACTGAAAAATTAGCTCATGAAAGTTCATCAAGGTCAATATCGGAAATAATTACATATAAATATCATACTACAGCGAAAATAACTTCATCTACCAAATCCTACCTGTATCGAGGACTTCTGAAAATTACAAATTAGTTCTTGTACGTATTAAATATATATCGCTAAATGCGAAAAGTTTACTATAATATTTAGTAATGGCCATGTTTACACAAAGTCTGTACATATGGGGTAAAATACTACAAATTACTAATCTAGGAATAGATCAGCTCGAATTTATAAATTAGATAGTCAATTTATATTCAATACGAGTAAATTTTAAGCTTTACTTTATTAATCACACTTTGTTTTCGCGTTTAATCTGCGCATTCTAGTTATAATATACTTTAATAATCGATAAATTACATACAGTATTAACATTATAAAAGCAAAGACGTCTAGGTTATAAAGCTCATAAAACCATAACGTTTCACCCTGTACTTTCAAATGATGAGCACCACCTGTATCTACTACATATTCTATCCAATCCACAATTTTGTCTTTGGATGATATCTTTTTGTCTTTAAGAGTTTTAGAAATTCTTTGGGCATTCTCTTTGTATCTATAAAAGCGCAAGAAGGAAAGAAGTAGAAAGCGCATTAAGTGAAACATTGAAATTGATCTTTCATACAATTAACTCCTTGTTATCATACGAATGGATATAGTGCACTGTGGTTTACCTTGCTAATATATCTTCTACTATATTAATTATTACAGCCATTGAAAATTGAGTAGTGCTGTGCAAGAGGATATAATAGCAATACCACTATGAATATTATGTAAAATTGTATCAGCTAAAATTTAACTTGGAGGGTAATCCATCAACAGTATCACCGTGAAAAGAAAGACGAATGTTAGAAAGCATATTCTACATCAATCTACTCACAGTTTTAAGTCTTACCTCGAATCCGATAGTAGCATCTTTACGCCATCGACGATATCGTTAGAGCTGAATTTGAAGAAATTGACTTTTATTTCAATTCCAGCTTTTACTATCCTGATGACATTAAGGCGTTGCTCCATCGTTCCTGCCATCCCTAACATTGGAACACCATGATATGCTCCTTCATAGATACCGTTGGAACCACAATGAGTTATAAATAGGTCTAATTTCTTATGACCAAGAATATCGTTCTGAGGAACCCAACTGAAGGTTTTAACGTTCTTAAGTAGATTGTGGATATTCTATTTTGTTTTCCATATAACATTAAATGGTAATTGACTTAAAGCTTCCACTATCACCGGTAGTTTTTCATCTTGTATTCGTTGCTCACTACCTAATGACATTAAAATTGTACTATGTTCTGAGCTTTGTATAAAATCTTCGTATATTTGAGGCAAAGGTGATGGGTTTTGAGGATATAATGGTCCAACTAAGTGAAATATATGGAGGTCAAGGCCGTGGAAATTCAATAAAAAAATCTAGCGTCGATAGAAATAGAGATACTTTTCGGCGTATTTGATTCAGGCTTAGATGCGTGCTGATATTATGCTTATACCTTAAATCATTTGCAATATTCATAGATTCATAAGATAGGAAATTATCTAATATTAGCGAAAGAAATACATTACCTAATCGTTGTAAAGATGGTGATCCGGATAAATACGTAATTGGATGGCCATGTATATTCGATGCAGGTTGATACTGGCAACGTCCATGAAATGTGTGAATACCGATAATATCAGCCTTGAAACTGATAATGATATAAGGCTTTTGCAATACTTCTGGCAATGGAATGCCACAGACGTAAACGTTATCAGTAATGATAATATCAACATCATGCAATGATTTTATTAAAGTTTTATTGGAAAGTGTGGCATCGCAGTATCGTTTCTGGGCGTTAAAGAAGCTTAGCAGTGCGCTTAAGGGATTACTAGATTTGATGATTTCTTGAATTTCACCCTCAGTGAATGGTTTATCTATTTCATACAGCGCCAACGGTGATGGCTTGATTTTTTTCAGAATCTCTGGTTCGTTGGACATTATCGTGACGATCTATTCCCTCGATTAAAACAACAATATTAAAATAAGCTCAGGTAACCACAGTAGTTAATAAATAATGACAATATTGTTAAGTAGGTACGTGTATTCCTCTAGATATGCACCTATATGATATAAACTAGATGTGCCTGTGTATTGTCTACTAGAGCCGATTCCTATTTCTCCGTTAACAAGATATTAGTAATTGAAGTGAAAGTCTTCGCCCCAACTTTGTAGTTTCTAGACAACCTTTTACTAGTAGGGAAATCAGATTGAACTGTAGTTCCTTTTCGGCAAATCTAATATCGTACATTGTACCATCGACCACAGTCTTTTTTAGGCTTAATTTATTTATACAATAACGCTAGAAATCAACATAATCAAGCTAATAATAAATAAATGAGTTACCTGACGAACTCTCTTAATTAGATATTGTATAATGGGATCCATACAATATGAATGACTGGTTCCCATCATGGGCAAAATAGCGACTTTATAAGACGATCCTGGTGAAATCATGACTACTATTAAGAACAAACTGGTAAAAGCACGAGAGAATCTCATATTCCATGTCATCCTGCTGCCGATAATGATCAGTAATTTCTCTTGTAACCCCTATTGAGATCGCGATTACACAAAAATTCACGAAAATCTTAGATTAAGCTAACCGATTGATGACTGATAGAAATAGTTGTAAGCTGTGTATATTGTAGTAAAAGCCTTAATAGTAACCTTTGAATAGCTAATGACATTTATGGTCCTTAATAAACACCTCTAATTGTTTCATTCAAGTTCAAGTTATAGCTAAAAGAGACATAGACTACAGATATATGGACAATAGTTCCACCTATACCTCTTACCTCTCTCAGAGACCTTCTACTACTGTATGTTAATATTTCTAGGCAGTATTTACTGTAAAGGTAAAAAAGGCGTAGCCTCCTTGTAGTCTATAGTTAATAGCTGATAGTAATTCAAAAATAAATAAAAAATGAGATTCAAATTTACTGCAAGATTATACAAGAACATTGGACATTGCTTGGCGCAATCTTGCATAGTCATCTCTAATTAATAAGTATCCATGAATTGCTCATGTAATCGATCCATGATAAGGTTAATAGAGCTCACAATTCATCAACCTTATAATAAATAAACTGGAATAAAACAAACCCACCCTGTTGATACAGGTTGGCAATGTACCAATTTATGGGCTTATAAATAGTTAAATAGTACGAAATACACAGCTGATATTGCGTTACTACATTATCCAGAATAATCGCGTTATTGCACACCTTTGGGAATGTCGATATTATAGTTACTGACGAGCTATGCAACTACAGTTTACTCCTGGCCTGGATTATTGAATAAACCAAGTAGTATAATAATATCCTTTCCAGTAGTGCAGTCGGTATGCCTACATAATACCACATCCATCGACGACATATAGAGTAAAATCAATTTATGATTCTTTGACTTCGTTGTAAAAAGGGAATTTAACATCAAGTACTATCAACGTAATTCAAGGAAAAATCATCAATACTGCTATAAACTACATTTCTGCCAAGGCTATTAATTAGTTAAGATCTAATAACCACATAGAAGACTTTTACGGCTGTATTTCTCAGTCCTTAATCGATTTCTCTATCGAATATCCGAATACTGGACCAGTCAGTACCTCCGTGTACTAGCTCGTATAATATTAAACCGATCACTCCAGGATCTTCATCTCTATTACCTCAAGTATTTGAAAGTTTTGATGGTACACAAAATTCTAATAATTTAAGCATTCTTTTCATATCATTTGAAAGTGTAATTTGACTTCTTAATGAAAATTTATTAGAAAAGATAATACCATTACGACAATTGCAACATAGAATTATTTGTGTACAGATGCTGTAACTCTAAATTGACCAATTCTTATGCCTTAATCTACAATATTTTTTATAGAATATGTCATTGTAGTAATTTTACAGATAGAAGTTGATATACCTGAATATTGTATTTCTATTTAAGTTATATCCAATCTTTCTAATACATTTAATTTTAAATTCAATTTGACAAATGCGGTCATGCTTACCTGTTTAGCAGTAACAAGTATTACGTTATAATTATAGTAACCTATTATTAAGCAATATACTGAAATTGTTCTGAAAAGTAATTCGGTCTAAAAAAATTCGCAATACCTGTTGGCTTGATCGCATGTGTTTATTTATAAAAAATATTATCATTTAAGAGATAGATGAAGATAGTCCTTGGTAGAAGAATTAATGAATGTAATAAGAAATGGTTAACAAAAAGTTGAAGTTTTGGTTTTATTACTTTCGAAGGATTTTATCACATTAATCTGTCTTAGATGAACATTGTGATTTATAGAGTTTATTCTTCCAAGTCTTTATACACAATGATGCATCATCTATTAAATATAATAGCTGCTTGTAGAAAACCAAGATTATGAAGTTGATAGAAACACAAACTCTCTCTTTCTACTTTTAAATAGTGAGCTCTATCAGTTTGTGCGACATTCTCAATCCAATCGATAGAAGTATTCGTTGTCAATCATTCATTGGTCTTGATAATTTTAGGCATTTCAGTTTTATTTCTCCATTAAAGTAAACTTTATAATTTGGTAATCGTTATTTATGGGCTACTATCATCCACTTTTCATAAAACAAGTTTAACTAGAAGTGTAGATAATTATAACATTACTACTTATACGCTACTGTGCTACACAGGAGTATTGTTTCAAGTAAAGTTCAACTTCGATTGCAATTTGGCCATGTAGCATATTCATTCATTCATTATTTATCTTATTAATTGTCCCGCATTATATTTATATAAATGTTAAGATGATGCAATAAAATTAAATCAGTTGGTATCCTGGTGTGAAGACTGCATGATGGTAAATCAATATAACTATACTATCTATCAGATCTAAGTACGGTGTTTTAAGTAATAGACGTTTTGTTTACTAATTCATATCTCCTGTTGAGTTAATGTTCGAGTATGATAGTCATAATTAATCATAATGATCGATTTTCGGAGTGAAGTTCATTGGTGCAATTTTGGTGATTCATTATTTATATTCGAATGAATTGAAGTCTCTTATGTTATGGCTTAAAAACTACTGTATCCGCTGTTAGAAACAGTTGATTTACCGATCAATAACCCCTACAGAGTTGTAACAGAAAGGTCTAAGGTACGGAAAGTCATGATTCAAAGTATATTGCGACAATTGATCTGATGACTAAACTGTGCCATACAGTATGCTACAGAGTTACAAGATAAAGACCAATCTTCTTTATAGCATACGTTCACAACACTGTAATGGGAATAATGTAAACTTTAATGTATTATAAGCATCAGGACCGTTGTAGATTGGAACCATGCTACGCTATGAAGTATAATACAGTAGCATTCGCTACAAATAGAATAGTATCCTCTAAGTTGAAGACTTGTCCCATTTTGATGCAGCCTGTAAGGCAAATAAATAGGCAGAAAAAAAATGAAGACACTCTCAAGAGTTTGTGTGTTTTTTATGCTGATAATATCAACGCCATGCATACTAGCACTGAAAGTTGGTGTGCTACCGCTGGTAGCTGGTAGCCACACATTATCCATGGATGCCATTACACGACAAATACTTCAACGAGGCCATCAGGTTACATAAACATACGTAAAATGAAAAAATCAACAAATGGACAGGCCATCGTTAAAAGATGTAGTTAACATAAATTTCTAATACATAGTTTATCGCCACTTTAGATATTTTACTAAATTTATGCCATCAGCTATAAATGTAATTATGAAAAGTAATAAAGTACACAATTAAGCTGTACATTGGCTGATTTTGCTATCGATGATGAAATCGATCGAATTCGAAGTTAGCTATGAAGGATAATAAATTGCAGAAGGCTAAAAATAAGTAAATACGGTGGACTGTATTATAATACCACAACATTAGGTATCTCTGGATTTCATATACTAATGCGTCTAAATCTACCGCATAAAATGGAATATTATAACTGCCTGAGCCAAAATTCGATTTCATAAATATCTTCTTAATATCATCTTATGCTGTCTTTACTTAATAGCTCTTACACTAATCGCTCATCCTATTTTAATCAACAGGCAATTACCATTATATCAAATGAAGATCGTTACTTAAAGAGACTTATGCCTTCTGCTCTAGCCTTGTATGAAGTTGACGAACCTTTAACTGAAATGGATTCACAGAAAATGTTGACCTCTAAAATTCGATTACAAATTCTGCGAAACTTTTATGAGATACAGAGCCGATATTGCGATGCTACGCTATCCAATAAAACGTTACTACAATCTATTCAAGATGTCGATATTATAATAACAGACAATTTATACGTTTGTAGCATACTCTTACCTGAGCTATTAAATAAGCCAAGTATCATTATGTCATTTTCTGCTGGCATAGCCGGCATGCATACCTTTCTAGGAGAATATGAACCGACTACATATATACCGATTCATGGTTCTATGATATCATCACAGAAGATGACCTTTAAACAACGTGCTATTAATGTAATCCAAGGTAAAATTATGTATGCTGCTATGAATTACATCTCTGCAAGCGCTATTAATAAATTAAGATTAAAGCATAATATCAGTATGCATTTAACGCTGGATCAACTACGTAGAAAATTTTCACTGCACTTGTCTTCAATCGATTTCTCAATCGAATATGCCCGACCGTTGCCTCCTTATATACATGTTGTCGGACCAGTTACTCCAAGACCTCCATCTTCATTGCCTCCAATATTTGAAAATATTATACAAAATTTAAAGAACCAAACTATTATTGTCTTGTCGTTTGGAAGTGAACTTCAACTTTCTAACGAAAAACTACCGGAAATGGTAACAGCATTACGACAATTACCTTATACAATTATATGGAAAACGAAGCAAAACATCCAAAATATACCATCTAATGTTAAAATAATGGAATGGATACCACAGAATGACCTACTTGGATGTAATAAAACCATTGCACTCATAACACATTGTGGATGCAATAGTTTATACGAAGCAGCATATCATGGAGTACCAATGATAGGTATGCCAGCGATGATCGAACAAATGGGAAATGCCGCAAGAATGGTTCATGCAGGCATCGGAATACATGTCGATTTTCATTCTTTTGAAGCTGCGGATATGATCAATGCCGTTACAGAATTAGTAGAAAACTCAAGGTATGAGTTAGTAGTCATATGTCTTCATATAATAGTATAATTATAGACTAGGGCTACAATTTATAATATCAGTTACAGACTGACAAGAAATTACTAAGATGAAGAACACATACAGTACATACACTCTTCTACTACGGAAAAGATTTGCATCATTAATTTTAAACCAAATCATTAATGACACTGTGGTCTGATTTCAATCCAAAGTAGCTCAATAGTAATTTTATTTACTGTTACTGATATTGTACTATGCTTATACTACTGTACAGTACACGAAACTTGTTTTGCTTGAAGTTTTTACTTAAAGCAGTAATTATAGTTTCAACTAATTTGATATATTCAGTTATGCTGGCACGTTTACATGTAATAAATAATATATTACAGCATAGTAGTGCCCTTAGTGCTTTATTAAATGGTACTAGCGAGCTTTAAAAATCGAATCTATTTAACTAGGTACAAAGAGAATGTAGCCAAAGTTGCTAAAATTATTAAAAGTAACGGAAGATCGCCAGCGGACGCTATCGTCGATTGGATCGAGTATGTCATACAAACCGATGGAGCTCATCATTTAAAAGTAGAAGGAGAGAGTTTATACTTTTATCAATTTTACAATCTAGATATTTTACTTGTCATTATTATATTTATCATTATTCTATATCGTACGATAAAGTTTTATAAGAATTAGTGCTATAGTTCACAATCTAAAATAACGTAGACTATAAATAGCGTTCTTGTATAAACCAAGGATTATTACTATCTTCTTCCACAGGACGAATTACGCTAGTAATAGTAATAGTGCTATAATTTTGTACCTACTTGTATATTCTATTGCGTAGGAGAAAAGTTTGAGAGAAATTTATTCAATACGAGCGATTTTAAGTACAATATCATGCATTACTGTGAACACTTTGCTTACTGTTAGTATCTTCTGTGCATTATTGTGTAATGCGATGGCCATAGCAAACATAATTGCTAACTTTGAAGCGAGATTTGATATTTCAGTTCCGATTATCCAGTATTATATATTCTAACGGATAAATACAATGGTTATAGGATGCTCTATCACTGTTGTCTTGGTGAAGGTCTAACATTCTTACCACGAATAGATTGAGAATTAATATGTCACGCAAATATTGACTATAATTAAATTATGCTATAGCAATGAAAAAATTGCAAAATTCTACAACTGCAATAAAAATGTACAAGTCGACAAAAAAATGGAATTAGTATCAGTAGCTGTATAATTCATGTGTCTCTCATATTGGTTGATAATAGCATATGCATGCTAGCGTTAAAAATTAGTTTGCTACCATTGACTGCCGGTAGTCATACGTTATGCAAAGATGTCTATGCATCACAAATATTTCAACGAGGCCAACAATTTACATATTCTAGATAAGGAAAGGAAATGAATAAACTGACTAATGCAGCATTAAAATGTAATTTATACGTATATAACTAGACGATTTACTAACGCTTTAGATATTACATACTCTTTTACTAAGTTTATGGCATATTAAACACAAATGTGATTGGCAAATATAATACGATATACAGACATATGCACGGTCATTGCAAGGCTGATCATTAATGAAATGTTTTATTGAAGTCAATGTTGGTTATGATGCATAGTAAATTTCAAAAGTTAGAAAATAAGTGCATTAATATTCTATTCTGTATTTTATTAATATGTCTAGATATACTATTAAATATGTTAATTTTATATGCATGAATTAATTAAGATGTTCACTTACAGTATATTACACTGTCTTTATCAATAATGTCGGCTACGTATCATATCATAATCAGTGATCCCTACCTTACAGATTTAAGCCATCTGCTCTGATCTTGTTTGAAGTGGATAAACGTTTGATTATAGATTATTACAATGTAATCAAGATGTCAATATTGTAGTAGAATAAGGAAGAGTTTGCAAGTTTCCATGTATAGTATTATGGCCTGAATTATTCAACCAATGTATACTAAATATTAAATATCACTTTTTGTCAGTGTAATCGGTCTACACACATTTAGGACTATATGAACCGGCTAAATGTATGTTAATTGATGGTTCTATGATTTTATTGCAAAATAAGCTTACCTAACGAGGTATTACTTTAAATCGTTGTAAATTATAAAACTGCTGGATATTACGATACCACTAACAATAGTATTAATTCAGATTGAAAGCTAGTATCAGGATATATTGAATTTTGAACAAGTATTACGAATTTAGCGGTAAGTGTCCTATAACAATGGGTTTTACATAGATGGAGCTATTCTATCCAGATATTTATTCAAACTGAAATGGATCAGCGGCTTGTACTGTAGAATAATTGAATAATTACATAATAAATGTAGTAGACAAATTTTTCAAGTCAAGATATGGGTAAGAATTGAATAAGGCTGCTCATCAAGAGGATTCAAATGCACAATACAATATAGTAAATAGCTATCATGGAAATGATTGTAATACAGGAGGATAATTATATATCAATATCGCATGTTTGTATAATTGCTTGACTATACAGTAGGTCAAGAAACAAATTAAAAATTTACAGAATATAACCTATAGATATTATACTGACGACGAAATCGTCAACTTTTATGGTGGTACTAATATCAGCATTGAAGGGCCCAGCTATAGCGAGGCATTTCTTCCTCGAAAAGTGTCCAACTATAGCACCCATCGAGGTAAGAAGAAGAAGTTCTTCTGGCCTCCATGGTAGTGTTACCGTCCAAGTACGAAATCCAGTCAATTCGCGAAATGTCTAGTCAATTTGCGAAATGCCCAGTCAATTTGCGAAATGCCCAGTCAATTTGCGAAATGCCCAAATATATTTCTTTGCTGATTATGTCAATTCGCTTGCGAAATTTGTGGCTATTGAAGAAATTTACGACATTCTGAGCAGTATCTAGCTCATAATAATAGCACATAGCACATAACAATTACTACGCTGACTAGAAAAAGGTACTAGAACAGGACTACTGATGACAGTCATTGCTATCAGATTGCATCGAACAGCAGAAATTAGACCTAAGACACGACTCTTGCCAATCGCATAGCCAATTGTCATATTGGCAACACTTGAGTACAAATAGTATGAAAGGCTTGTCGCCCCCCTTGGATGTATTGTCGATATGTGTTGGAAACATACCGACGATCTCATACAAATTAACTAGCTAGCTGGTGCAATAGCAAGGCATAAGTCTCATTTTGGACGTTGTAGTTTGTAGCGAAATAATTTTCGGACTCCCTTGGTCTCTACTATCGATCGTAAGGTATATAGTACAGTATTACTTTATCACTCATGTATGGGTAAAGGCAGTGCTTATAGACTGTCAAATTCATCATCGCCAATAAATTGATGATCCTGTAGTAAATAAATAAAGTAAAATCTCATCCAATTCGTTTCTGGTAGGACTGCACTTGTACTTTGGACGTATTTTACTTCAATTCAATCTATTCTTTTACGATCAAGAGCTCAAACCAATGCTTTACGATAGTTAAAGTTGTCTATTTGGATGCTCCAAACATCACTCTACTCCACCTTGTATCGATTCAGTTCTAGAAACGCTTCTCGTCTAGGTAACGATTGGATAGCAACGCCATCAATTCTCCTCTTCAATCTACTCTAATCAGTTCTCGCTATCATTAATTTCGATTCAACAGTTAAGCAGAACTACCATTATTCCATAAGCTAGTGCCAACTCCTTTTCCATGTACTGTAATCAGTGCTCGCTAGTCACTATATATTGTTCTAGAAACGCTTCTTGTCTAGGTAACGATTGGATAGCAACGCCATCAATTCTCCTCTTCGATCTACTCTAATCAGTGCTCGCTATCATTGATTTCGATTCAACAGTTAAGCAGAACTACCATTATTCCATAAGCTAGTGCCAACTCCTCTTCCATGTACTGTAATCAGTGCTCGCTAGTCACTATATATTGTTCTAGAAACGCTTCTTGTCTAGGTAACGATTGGATAGCAACGACATCAATTCTCCTCTTCGATCTACTGTAATCAGTGCTCGCTATCATTGATTTCGATTCAACAGTTAAGCAGAACTACCATCATTCAATAAGCCTAGCGCCAGCTCCTTTAACGTATACTACAGTTGTAATCAGTGCTCACTATCATTGATTTCGATTTAACAGTTAAGAAGAACTACCATCATTCAATAAGCTAGCGCCAGCTCCTCTACATGTACTACAGTTGTAATCAGTGCTCGCTACTTACTACCATTGATTTCGATTCAACAGTTAAGCAGAACTACCATCATTTAATAAGCCTAGCGCAAGCTCCTCTTACATCTACTGTAATCAGTGCTCGCTATCATTGATTTCGATTCAACAGTTAAGCAGAACTACCATCATTCAATAAGCTAACGCAAGCTTTTCTTATTTTTACTTTGTTCTTAACCTTCAAGATGGACAGTAGACTTTCATTTTTATGTTGCTGCCGAAGGGGAAATGATGATGATGATGCCAATGTACCAGACTTGGTTAGTCGATAATAATTATTAATTTAATCGATACGAGGATAATTTTGTAATGAATATTGTAACTATTACAATATCTAGCCTCAACGTCAAATCGAGTCTTCTGAGTTGATGCAACTTGGGCTTACAATATTTTTCTTTGTTAAATGAATCGATAGAAATGCTAGCTAGCAGTTACTTTTAACGTAGCTTTTTGTATTGTAATTCGCCTATTCTACACGTAGTCAAATGGAAAACCGCCATCCAATACGTTTACACTTGATCACAGCTGACAAGCTACGCGTAGGTATTGGATGCTGTAGTAAAATAAACCAAAATAGCCAAGTAGTAAATCACTCCAGCTGTCCTACGAGACAACTGCCTTGATTATTGTTTACCGAATCGCTCTGATCAATCATACCGCACTTTAGAAGAATTATGCTTATTAACATTATACTGTATTTTTTACAGCATGTGTAACATTCATTGACAAGAATAGTTACTAACGTCAGTATAGAAGGATTTCTATTAGTACAGAGACCTTAGCTTAATTGTGTTAATGTCAGCAACCTGATCTAATAAGGTAATCACTAATGTGTAATATGCGATGTGTAGTGTGAATCACTAATGCATAAGATCGTTGTATATAAGCCAAGATTTTACTGATTATAGTTTAGTTCCTCAATCTCTGGTCTTGACACTGATCTCCCAACAAACGTAATAAAATAGCCTATTATTATCTAGCAACGTTTAGATTACTGTAAATTTTATTACAGCATGTCAAAGTACAAAGCAGAATTACACCTTGAGTATCGACTACTTCTTCTACTATAATTCATCCTTATTAAATGAGAGTCAAAATGTAGTATGACAATGCCAGTACTGACACCTTTTGATTCAACATGATTTCTTCTACATAGTCAAGTCGCAGTCTAATCATACTCGACGTAATAGAATTTCTTGTTGCCCAGATGGGTCTCTACCTTGTAAATCACACTCAGTGTGAGCTTTTACGTCTGAAATGCTTAAAAAATAAAGTAATGCAAGCTAATTTAGAAACAATTTCTTATACTGCAGGAAGAGCGTAGAAGGCTGCAGTTAGCAGCTGCGGAGGATAGAGAAAAATCGGTATGCTTGATTAAATTGTATCTACTAGTTGAGAAATAGCATTACTAGTCTATACGCGTAGTTGATCAGATTAATTAAAAATGCTATAATTATCTCTTTATATTGACAATGAATAACGCAGAATGCAGGCCGAGGGCTGGCAGACCCTGAAGGAGTAAAGCGTAGAATGCAGCAGAGGGAGAAAGCGCAAGCAGCAATTGCTAACCAGCCAGTGTCAGATACCGGCCTTAAGGTATAGTGAATACCTGTAGATGATGAAAGAATCTTTTCTTGTGCGATTACTGTATCATTATTGATGTACAAATTGCACGGCTAAATGGCATGAAAACATATAATAATATAATATAAATCTATCTATAGTGGCAGGTTGGAAATTAACTACAAAACGATAGCAATGAAACAAATCACAGATGTTGAAGACTATTCTTTGGAAGCTAATTAATACTATATATATATTAAATACCGGTATGTCTTCTAGACATATTGAGAATAAATCAAGTT